GTGTACAAGGGGCGGAGACTCAGACGGAGCTCGCCGATCTAACCCCTAGACGTAGAGCTGGGGCGCTGCGGCTTGAAAATGGAAACTGTACTTCAATAAAGACTTTTGTACATTACTGCCGGCTAGCGTTGGTCCTCTGTGAGCTGGGACCTGGAGCCAGCTCTGACACCCGTCCATTTTAGTTCACTGATGCCCAGGATGTCAATATTTATTCTTGCCATCTCATTTTTGAGATGTTCTCATTGGGAACATAGAAATCTGCTTGTTACTGAGCCAAACCATTGTTTCATCTTGCTCAGTACTGTCTACTCACTGACAGTGGTTCTTCAGGCTTTCAGATAGGAGATTTCGATCTCCTACCTGGTGACTTGAAACTTGGACCATTTGCATGCAGAACATGAGCTATACTCCTGAGCTACAGCACTTATACCATTTGGCTATAGTCCTTACACATATTCAAGTCAGGCTATATAGTCTGTATCTATGTTGGGTTGCACTTGAGGAAAGGAAAGGACACAGTAAGGCCTGTTCATGACATCCTGAACACAATGAACAACCAATAAGAATCTGTTACCATTGGGTTTGGGTTTTAGGGGCTGTCACTGTTGTTGTTTATAAAGACAAACTTGATATCTGCAAGACGTTTTGAACTACAAATGCCATAAATCGCAGCCAGCACAGCTACCGCTTTTCTATGGCTCATCAGGATTTTGTTAATAGAAATGCCAGATAATAACCAGGGGAGAGACAGTGTGTGTGTGTGTGTGTGTGTTTACTGCTTTCACCTGCCATGCTCTACCATCCTTTCCCAGGGGCCTTCATAATGAAAGAGCTGCCAGAAAAACTGTGGTGGGAATTTTGGCCTTTAGAATCAAGTTATAAAAACTGAGCACTGCTAGGTATTGCCATCGGCTTTGGGTCTACTTAGCATATTATTAATTGCCTTATTGGTAAGTTTTATGCTTTCAGTTTTCTTTGGACATTTAAAAAAAATTTTTTTTTATTAGGGTTTTTAAACAAATTTTAACATATTCAAGAAACTCAAATTACATTTTACATACTCAATATACCCCCCACGACTTCCCCCAACTTCCCTTTCTGGTTTAGAGTGTATTACTTTTGTTCTGCATATAGTTTTGTATCCCTTCTATGATAAACTTATTTCTTAGTCTCTTAGTCCTTCTTTGTTTTTACTATTTGTATTTGTCCATTGTAAGTGTATTACACAAATCCTGCAAGTAAGTTCATTTCAATGTATTGTTTCTGTATATATATCTTAAAAGGTTCCCAATCCTTTTTGAAGTCATTATTGTCTTTATCTTTAATTTTCTCAGTTAGCTTCACCATATGTCTTTGAACATATTTTAAATCAGTTGCTACTTATTACTAGTGATGTTGTGATGCTTTATGAACACTGTATTGCACTACTGTATTTATTTTCCGTAAATGTCTTTGAACACAAATACAAAATGTGATACATATAAATTGATCAATGACTAGCAATTCAGAGTGCTTTCCCTCATTTTTCTGGGCATCATTTGGTTGCTAAGCAATATTTTCAAAATATTTTAAAAATCAACAATAGCATCATCTGCTATTCTTCCATAGTTCCATGCCTGGCTACGTTACATGGCAGCTGAACACATTACAGCAGGGGTAGGCAATCTAAGGCCCATGGGCTGGATGCGGCCCAATCGCCTTCTCAATCCGGCCCACGAACGGTCCAGGAATCAACGTATTTTTACATGAGTAGAATGTGTCCTTTTATTTAAAATGCATCTCTAGGTTATTTGTGGGGCCTGTTTGGTGTTTTTACACAAGTAGAACGTGTGCTTTTATTTAAAATGCATCTCTGGGTTATTTGTGGGGCATAGGAATTCATTCATCCCCCCCAAATATATATATATATATTTATAGTCCGGCCCCCCACATGGTCTGAGGGACAGTGGACCAGCCCACAGCTGAAAAAGGTTGCTGACCCCTGCATTACAGTTTCCTCACTGTATTTTTAATCTTTTGTTGGAAGCTGCCCAGAGTGGCAGAGGAACCATATTATTAATATCATCACTGTATTGTCAGAGATATCTTTAGAGTTTAAGTTGTCACTATATCTTTAATAATTATTCCTAAAGTCAACTGTTTGGTATCCAGAAAAAAGGAAACAGTTAAGCTAGCTGGTCATGACATTCACAAGCCCACGGAAAACAAGCAACTTGCTCCAATGTAGTGTTGAACTGAACTGAAGCCTTCTATTCCTCTGGGGAAGGAGTGGCTACTGGTTTGGGAGGCAAGGCCACACTGACTCGTGGAGGGGCCTGTGACAAAGTGGGTGTGGCCAAAGTGTAGAAATGGGCATGGCTGGGTTTTTCATTGTAAGTATTAAGGTTACACTTTAGGGTTTTGTGGAAGCTCACAAAAACCTTTTGGCATCACAGAATCACAGCAGTGGACCCCATGGGAGTGGTCAGATACGATACACTCATATACACATAGGCCACATGCTTGGGGTGCTACAAAGAACCTTTTAGTATTACGGTATCACAGCAGAGGAATCATAGAAGAGTAAAATAATAATGTCTATGAAGCACTTAAGAGACTATCTCTTTAGGTCCGGTGCAGAAAGGGATCTAACCATGATTGCTTCTACCAAGAGCTCACCATGGTTCCCACTTATCAAAAGGAGCATGCCCGAGCCAGATACCTGACAAAGCTCCCACTTGCCATATTAAGAATCGCTTTTACAGAACTACGATTCCAATTGATGCCCTTGGCAGTGTTGGATGGACGGTACGGCAAAGTACATTACAAAGAGAGACTCTGTCTGTGCGGACAACCCTGCGTCGAGGACCTGTGCCATTATTTATTGCAGTGCCCGTTATATATAGACCCAAGAGACCGATTTATAAAATCCCTGTTTACGAATGGAACACATTTGAATAGGGTGGAAAGGGTGAAATGGCTGCTGAGCGACACCGACGACTTTGTTACTTATAAAGTAGCACTCTATGCGCTGGCAGCTAAGAAGATCAGGAGAAGGAACTACACAAAACAGCGGTCAACTGCAAAGGGGATTCGGATACTTAATTTGGCACATCTTACCTGAGAATCTCCTACTATTCTATTCTATTTAATGCAACAAATGATTTTAGTAGCTGTGAACGTGGTTTTATTGTATGTCTGTGTCCAATGACTTTTATGGTTTTTTTGTTTTGTTTTGTTTTTGTTCTCCTTCTGAATGATGCCATGGCTAGTGCAATAAAAAGTTTAATTGGAACTGGAATAACGTTTATGTAGAGACGGATGGTTCTTAAGGGGGTGCAAGCTCATGGACTACTGATTTAAGAGACTTCAGTGGGGTCCATTGGCTCCAATGTCTCTGACTGATAAGTTCCACCTCAGGTCTGGTTACGATGCTGGATGAGGGTCTGCACTCAGCATCTCTGTCTGCAATGCCATTGGCCCAACTGAACTGATTGGTCCCAGGTGGTTGCTCAGGGTGGTGACATACGTATACGCATTATATTTTACAACACTAATGTTTATTCCCATAAGTCAGATTAATGAACTCCATAAAATAGCCTCAATGACAGCAGCAGTATGCCATTTAACTTTTACAGAGGCAATAAAAACGACACCCTTAAACCTCATAGGCATCACCTTTCTCCAAGATTATTGGCACTACTTGCAAAGGCATTTTGCTGGGTGGTGATATAAGAGAGAGATTTTTAAAAGGCACTATCCAGTCAAAGTTAAGCAGTTTTTAAGTCCAACAAATACTCAACACAGGGTACTTATAAGTAAACATGTATAAAACTGAGTTGCTTATTCAGAGGGATTCATTCCCCCGAAAAATGTGTTTAGAATTGTAGCTGAACTGCTCAACTGCTGTTAGACCATGCCCTATATTTCTGTGCAAAGTCAGCTTCCATTTCAGTGGAGGGGTGGGAGGAGACAGGCAATTTTAGGAGAAACCACTTTAATGATAAGAACAGAAGATGCAACAAAGATCCTCCCAACAAAATATAGGCTAATCTAGTGTGTGCACTAAGGTCTCCTATTTCATAATTCTGTTGTACTCAAATTACATCAGGGCTGGAGCTAGAGCCAACGTAGATAAAAGCATAACTGTTAAGTCCATGGCTGAGAATCTAGGACATGGTTTAGTTACTCTCACAAGTCTCTTAAACAAGGTTAGCTTGTTTTTTTATTGTTCATCCCTTCAGCAGTCTGCTTATACTCATGACCCTTTATTTCTGAGTACTAAAACTAGTATTTTTATGCATGAAACAAGTACAATGAAACCTATTATTAGACCAATTTGGTTAGAATCCACAAGCTTTTGATCACTGAAGTTCATTAAGTAGAAAATAGAAGGCTTGGCCTAGGGTCTGTTTCTTTATGAATAAGAGTTCTGTGTATCTGAAGCTTGAACGCCTTAATAGCATTGTATCCAATGAAATAAAGCATTGGGTCTTTTCTTTTCTTTTTACCCTGCCTGCTGTTGCCTGGTATGTTATTAATGTTTCTTTCTTGCTGATGACATACTATATCAGATTTTCTAAGTGGTCTGCAAAGTGAGCTGTTTGGCATCTTATACTGTTTGGTTGAGGATGTAGAGATGCACATAATAAAACTATTGTACTGTACTCAACAATATTTACTGTAGTGTACTGTATCTTTACTTCAGGAATTCAGTTAAAGAGCCATTCATCTTTAAAATGTTATCAGTTTTGCTTATGTCCTCTAAGTCGATTTAACTCTGTAAGATATGCATCACAACTACATTTCAATTTTTTGCTAGCTATTCTTTTGTTATTGGTGGTGGCCTGTTTCTCCATTTTTGTGCCACTAGCATGTGAGCAGCAACCATTAAATTCCATATTAACACCTTATGCTTGATTTGTTTCCCCAAATTCCCTAATAAAATTGTCATAGAAACATAGGGTTGGATGGGACCACAAGGGTCATCTAGTCCAACCCCCTGCAATGCAGGAATATTTTGCCCAGTGTGGGGCTCAAACCCATGATCCTGAGATTAAGAGCCTTATGCTTCATCAGCTGAGCTATCCCAGGACAATGACTCTAAGGATAATAGGTCAGCTTGTTATCATCGAAACAGTTTTAACCACTTTCCCCCACAATTTTTTTGATTAATGGATATGGCTACCACTTATGCTTCATGACTGCCCTTAGGATATATAGATTGCCATGTTGGTCCATGGGGCGGGGGGGAGGCCAAATATTGCAGTATAGCAACACCTTTATTAGAACCCACCAAAAGGTCATGAGCAAGCTTTTGAGTTCTTCGGAACTCCACATCAGCCTGGATTTTAAACAAAACAAGGAGTAGGGGAGAAAAAGCTGGACACGATATTCTCGCTCCAAAACCTGCAGTTTGTGTAACAGTCTTAAAATGGAATTCAAGAAGAGCTGTGCAGAAATAATTGGATTAGGCGTACAAAGAACACGACACATTCCAGGATGCACCCAAGGCTACTTGGGATAAGTAAGCAATAATGGCCACTTCCACATTTTTAAAAAACAGAACACCACACCAAGTAGTTACCCAGTTTTGTCTCTAGATAACTACAAATCTATTAACAGTGCAATCCTAACCATGTCTATTCAAAAGTCATATTGAATTCAGTCAGGCTTACGCAAAGTAACTACCGGCATACCTGTAGGGACATCTCCATCCCCAACGTTCAGCCTGAACATTGAGGTCCAGCTCTGAGGGCCTTCTGGTAGTTCCTTCACGGCGAGAAGTGAAGTTACAGGGAACCAGGCAAAGGGCCCTTTTGGTAGTGGTGCCCGCCCAGTCGAATGCCCTCCTGCCAGATGTCAAAGAGATAAACAACTATATGACTTTCCGAAGACATCTGAAGGCAGCCCTGTATCGAGAAGCTTTTAATGTTTGATGTTTTGCTGTGTTTTTATGATGTTAGAAGCCACCCAGAGTGATTGGGGCAACCCAGCCAGCTGGGCGGGATATAAGTATTAAAATTATTATTATTATTATTATTATTATTATTATTATTATCATCAACAACATCAAATCGAGTTAGGAATGCCGCTTGTTCTACTAGATGTTATTTTGCCTGTTACAAACTGCAACCTGCGACTTTTCCCTCCAACCCTGCCCCCAGTTTTGTTTTAATAACAAACATGTTGAAGAACTCAAAAGGTTTGCTTATTACTTTGTGATTTTTTGCTTCATTCTAATGAAGTGTTACCATATTGTGGCTTTTGGAAATTGTTGTGTTATTTATTCGTTTCTTCTGTTTCTACCCTGCCTTGTTGCCAAAACCTCTGGGTGGCTTACCACAGTATAACAAGCCAGAGAATTAAACACGAAAAGCTGAAGCATAAAAACAAAAACAATACAAGCATGTGTAATGTGCTTGTTTACATCACTGAGGTTGAAAAAGGCTTGTGTGGAATTACAGTCAAGGAATATGGAAACCAGGACTCTCCCATGCTTCCTGGGTCCCCTGAACCATCGCATTTTCATTGCTCAGATGTGTTTTGGTTAAGTTTTGTAACTTGGATCTGCTGACTCACAGTGCTGAGATCACAGGGAAATTTCACACGCAAAGACCAGGAAATAAGTCCCACATCCTTTCCAGTTACTTCCCTGCCTACTTTCTCTTACTAGAGGGAAGCAGGCTTCATCTTAGCCATACTCATACTGTCTACTCGTTTGAACAGAAGAGAGCTTGGAGCAGGGACCTGACCACTCAAATAATATAAAGCACTGAGTGCAGATGTTCCCATATATAGAATACTGTAATGAAATTAGTTTCTCTCCTGGCTTGAAGATGCTGTGCTTTTGACCCTTAAGATTGCCTGTTCCACTGATCCAGAGACAACCAGTTTATTTGTTGCTGTTGCTGTTTTAAATCTCTTCTTGGGCTTCTGCTTTTGCAATACTTTGCAGCAAGAAGCAGCACAGGTATCTTCAATCAGAGTTTGCTCACTTTTCATTTCTGTTTCACTCCCCACTTCCCCAAGGGCATGAGGTAACAACATTTTGAGGGAAACACAACATGTTTTCCAATTAAATAAATTAAATGAATCTCCCCCTTCAGCTTTGTTTGTTAAATCCAGCACAAGCAGAAAAGGTATTTAGGCTTTGTCCTTTCATGTTTGTCTAGAGAAGAGTTCCCCAACTGACACACACAGCTCCTCTCTAAGATGTGCCCTTGATGTTTGAACCTGGTGTACAGACGCACTTGGCTGACATTTAAAGGCCATGCCTGAAGAAATTAGAAAAGGCAGGCCTCTGAGATATACAGAGCCCAAGCCATTAAGGGATTTATTCACCAGTACAAGCACTCTGAATTGTTATCAGACAGTAAAGGAGCCAATACATATGCTTAAGCACTGGAGCAAGATGCTCTTCACAGCTCATCCCTCTCAGTAAACAAGCTTTTGCAGTATAACAATGAAGATTTCAGCAGCCTTCAAGGACTGCTCCATTTGCAGCATCAGACCAACTCTGGAATGGGCAAAGCCATAATTAAGAGAATGTTCCCTATAAATTGATGCAGAGTGCCTTTCCTTCTCCACTGAACTGAAGCTCAGTTAAGCAAAATCTGATAATATCCAATTCAGTGGGCAAGATTGGATTGATTCCTGGGGGAATTAATCGGTACACAGTATGATCAAAATACAGGTCAAATGCAAGTGTGGATGTGCCTGTAGCACACAATTCCCACAACTTTGGCCCTGATATTAGAGAGCAGGACTTTCAGACTACAGAAGGTGGGAGCTTCCCAACATCGCTCTACATGCTAATGATTATTTAGTTAAATGTGTTAAGCTAAACTAATCGGAAATAGCTTCCAGATATTTAATGGGCTTAGGATTGTATTTATGTTAACTGATAAAATAATGTGTTTAATACTATAAGGAGAAGATTTAAAGATGTTAATGTTCAATTTAAAGTGTATAAAAATTGGGTTTTGGAAAACCGTTATAAGGATTTGCAATGAAATTCAACTAAGGGGAAATGAGGAAGTCGCTTTACAAAGTTAATAACTGTTATTTTTAATAAGGTTATGATTTATGTTTGTTATGTTTGTTGTTTTGTGTTTTTGTTTGTCGTTAATATTGTAAAAATCAATAATATTTTTTTTGGGGGGGGGGACAAAAACATCGCTCTACATGCTGGGCCAAGCTTGACTCAAGCAGCCACCATGCCAAACAGGAGTCCCTTGCCTGTTCCCAATAGGCACAGAAAGGGCTTCTCTACACTTTCCTCTGCTCTTTCCAGGCACTGCCCCTGCTTTAAAACTCTGTCTGATTATCTCCCCCCCCACCTCCAAAGCTTTCTTTGTGAAAACCTGTTCTTTAAAGCTGAATTGGAGCAAACAGCAATCTGTGGGAAACCCAACTGACATTTGATCTGATTGAGTGCTAAAAAGCAGGTTTTTGCAGGGAAAGAGGTTAAAGTCTCTGTAAAGAGAAAGAGTGGGGTAAAAGGTAAGTATGGATAAATACTAGGGCAGCAATCACAGGTGGAGTTGGACAGCATGTTTGTGTGTGTCCTTAGGGGTTGCCTTTATCTCTCTTAAGGAAAAACACTTTCCACATATAACTGGGTCATAAAGTAGAAAGTGAAGGTGGGTGGGAGAGATGGTCCTTTCGAGTTCTGTGATTCTATGCAATTAAAAGAAGGCACTTCTCCGCAGCCGCAGCCGGGAGACACATAACCATCTCGACTCTCTCCCTCCCCGCAAATAAACCCGGGAAAGGAACAGACGAGCGCGACGAGGATTTAAGCGGCTGAGGAACAGACTACGCCCCCTCGCGAGGAGGGCGAGTTGCCAATCCCGGCGCATGCGCGGCGGCAGGGCTCTTGTGGCGGCGGCGGGAGGGGGGGATTGCCGCGGGAGAGGCGTCTTCGGGTGCGCGTGCGCGGTGGTGCCCCTTTGCTTTCGACTATATAGGCGGCGGCGGCCGGAGCTGGGTTGACACTGAGCGGAAAGAGCTGGAAGGCGAGGGTTGGAGGGACGCTAATTGACGGGTAAGGGACCGGTGGGGGGGAGGGCGGCGGATAGGATGGCGGCGGGGGGCGCGGGAGGGAGGCCCGGTTTCCTTCGAAAGCGGCGCTTAGCCCTCGCTTGCTCGTGTCCGAGGCGGCGGCGGCGGCCCAGCCGGCACTTCTTCGCTCCTGACCTTGTCCGGCCTCGGATGGACGGAGCTGTCCGGGGCAGGGGAAGCGGGTGGCCGCTCGGGGCGCCCTTGGCCGCCGAGTCTGGGCGAGATGCGGAGGGGCTTCTCCTCCCCCTACAAAGCTGCCCCTGGGCGAAAGGGGCCGGGAGGGAGATCTTCGTCCCCAGGAGGGGAGAGGGAAAGCGGGGGGTGGTCCTCCTCCTCCTCCTCCTCTTCCTCGCCCCGATCCCTCTGTGCCCCTCGCTTCGTTTCCACCGTGCGCCAGGGGAGACACGGCCCTCCTTCACTGGCAGGCTTTCGATCGGCCACAGCGGAGTCTTCACTTCGGTCCCCCGCAAAAGAATCCGAGAAGAGGAGGAAGAAGTGGCCGGGTTGGGGCGATCTCGTTCAGCCCTCGGGGATGGAGCCTCCCTAGATCTGCCCGTGTCAGTTGTCTTAGGAGACTTGGATGGGGGTTTCCGACAAGTTCCGCGTCCTCTCCACAAACGTCCCTCACTCACACCAATAAATTTTCCTGGTTTTTAAACGCCTTGCAAACAGACGTGTTGGCGGGGTGGGGCGAGGTCTTGCAGGTTGGCGAGTTTATTGTGGCATATTCTTAGGTGGGCTAAAGCTCGCTTCACTGAACCCATGAAATATTGCCTGTCCAAATACTGGCATCTAGCGTTATCTGTCATTTTGGGCAAGCACTCAAGGCTGGCTGTATTCCACAATGTGCTATGCCGCAATAAGTCTTTGTAAGTTTTAACATGCTGCAAGACTCTTTGCACGCAACGTTGCAACAGATCCGTAGGCTACCCTTCTGGAACTGGTGAGTCAAGATTCCTTGGACTGCCTATCCTCCCAGTTTTTCTTTCCTTCTTTTGTCAGTCAAGAGGTCATATGTGAAATTATCCACTGCTGAATTACTATGCCAGTGGTTCGGGTATTTTGGCCTGTAGCTCAATGCATGTGCAGCTATTTAATCTTTGGTGGCGCTATGTTTTTGTTTTCTGTTGTTTGCTTTTGCTTAAAGGTTGCTTCATGCATTGTAAACATCTTGAACTGGAGGGGTGTCCTTTGTAGGACTGAACCTGCAACTGTGTGTGTAGATCATAATATGTTACAATCTTGTGTGCATCTAAAAGCTGCAAGCACATCCAAAAGTCACTAACCTATGTATGCTGGTCATCTATATGTTTGTCATATGTGAAGTGACCCCAGTAGTTCTTGAAGAAGTCTTGTATACAGGCTTGTCTCTCTTGCATCTTTGTATGATGTTAAACTACATTGTTTTGTTATTTTCAGCAAGACTTTTGAAAACTCTTGAAAAATGGAAGCTGTTGTTCGCCGCTGCCCATTCCTGTCAAGGGTATCCCAGGCTTTCCTGCAAAAGGCTGGCAAATCCCTTCTTTTCTATGCCCAAAACTGCCCTAAAATGATGGAAGTTGCGACTAAGCCTGCTTCACGTGCCCTGAGTACTTCATCTGCTCACTGTCAGCAAACTGAAGAAACCACTTCTACTAGTGAGAGTAAGGCTCAACTTTGCGATTTTGCTATTTAATACTGCATAACTTGAAACTTTCTTGAAATGTTGTCCTTACTAAATTGAAATACAGCAGTGAGCATACTTCTGAAATCCAATGGAGTTGCAATACCATTGGCCTGATCTTATTCATCCACAAGAGTTTTTGCAAAATACTGATAGTTAAACCTCCTAGAATTGCCTGCTTGTTTGTTCAGCAATTTAATTTATTCTACAGTACTCTGAAACTTAGGGTGAGATCTAGTAATGGCAGCCTGTGAGTGCAACAGCCATACAATTGGGGAAGGTGGGGGGACATTCTTAATTTAGTGCAATGGCCAAATCCAGTGAGTGGGCAGCTTAGGGCAATAGAAATGTCAAACAGAATTAACCTGTGATATCCTGTTTTATACTGTTATACTACTTTTGCATGAGTAGCAAATAGCTTGCACAACAGTGCCAACTCTCCTTGATATGGGATCTTGCCCATAGTGATTATAATAGAAGTGATGCATTACATTTTAAAATTAACTTTTTATTGGCAGTATGTTTGTAAATGGTTTATTATTTCAAGGCAATATGATGTTAGCCAAGTTCACTTTTGAGAAAGTGGTAGGCTGACTGAACTTTGAACGTCCTTTTCCCAGTTACAGAGGCCAAAGTATATTGTAACTCGCTCTCTGTACAATCTAAGAACAAGGGTGAAGAACAGTATAAAAATTATTGCATATGGTGGATGACACTGATGAAGCTTTTGCAGGGCAACCTTCCAGGGCCCACATGCCAGCAGTAGGGGGGGGGGGCAGAGACAGAACTGGGCAAAGCAACAAATGGAAATGTTACCTTTGAAGAGTACCCTAGTTTATATACACACACACACACACACACACACACACACACACACACTGTCTAGGCAAGCAAAAGGCATTATCAAAGTTCACATTCCAGCCATGCAGTAGTGTATGAAGTGGGACCGGTGAGGAGAATGGCTAGTGTGGCTGGTCACGGGGTGTGGTTTGCAAAGAGATTCAGGGGCCAGATAGGCTTGCGAGGCTGCATTTGCCCCTGAGCCTCAGGTTCCTCATTCCTGATTTAGGGGCATCTTAAATGGCAAATGACCTGGCACCACAGTTTTGCCTTTTTTGAACTTTGCTTTCGTTGCTTAAAATATCTTTAATCACAGGCTTTCTACATGCTGTTGAAATATGTTTTCATCACTGCATCAGGAAGTACTAACTAAAGGCAAGAGCCTGGCAGGAGAAACTTCAGGAAGCAAGAACTTAGGAAATACTAACTATACAAATCTATGTTTTTCATTAGAAGAAAATCCCACTTAATTAAATGAGGTGTACAACCCTTCAAAGTGTGCATAGGACTGCAGTCTAAGGCTTTTATCCTATTTACTGTAACTTAGAAGTAAATCCCATGGATTCAGTTGGATTTCCTTTTAAGTAAATGTACATAAGAGTGCGCTGCTGGTTCTCTTGAACACTTGTCAGTTAAAACTATATGTTACACACTGTTATTGTGAGGCATAGCCCTGATTTTTAAAATGATTCTACAAAAGCAGACTTCTCATTAATGAAAGAAAACTGTTGTGTGTTCAAATATACTGTATGTCAAAACTAATAATGGGACTGATGTAACGATTCATCCATTTCTTCTTTGCACAATACTGGTCCGTTTTTTAGTGTTCCCCTCTGAGTATAGTGTTCCCTTTCAGTTTTAGTGTTCCCCTTTAGTTTTCTGAGTATAGTTTGATATGTTGCTGGGCAGGGGGGAGAGTGTAGTGTTTCCGCTCTCTGAGTATTTTTTTAGTTTGGTTCGTTAAACAGCGCTTCTGAATGAAAATGTTTTCAATCCTTACAGTATCTGGATAATATTTAAGGTATTACACATAAAATATATTTTAAGACACATACAACTAGCACCCCTATCAAAATGAGTACCTCAGATACCTTTGTTGCATACTAAACACTTTATTCTTTTATTCAAGAGGCCAAAAATTCACCAGATGTGGCCCAACGAAACATAAGCAGATCCCAACTTCCACTGAGCCACCCACCTGCCGCTAGCCAGAGTGCTAGCCAAGCCACTGTGACTAAATGCCCATTCTTGGCAGCTCAGATGAACGAAGGGAACAGCAGTGTTTTCCGCAAAGCTAGCCTGGAACTCCAGGAGGATGTGGAAGAAATGCAAGCAGTAAGAAAAGGTATCACCTCTTTGGAGGTTTAATAAAATTTGGTTCTAATCGTGCTAGGTAGATTTTAAAGAGAGGAGACAAAACTGAACAAAGTTTAGTCCAAGTTTCTCAAGCTCTTTAAATTGTGTAGCTCTTGCAGAATCCACGTGTTGCACATCCATTGGCTTGGGTTTTTCTATCTGCTTTATTTACAGTTAGTTGTTGGTGTAATAATAATGATCATAGTTCTGAAACCTGTCTGAGCCAAAGATCTCTCTTTCTAATGGTGGTGTTTCCTGTAAGTACAGTTATGAAATAGAGGAAAACACTTTGGGACAGTTAATTCACATGCTGCTTTAAATGCACTGTAAAATAACAGACTTTCACTTGCCTCTGCTCTGAAAGCATGGCTACTTTTAGGGAAACACTAATTGATTCTCAGTGACTTGGACTTTGAATAGGCCACAATACAAGGAAGAAAGCAAGTGGACACCAGTGTAGTGCTAAGCAGTTGTTCATGTATAACTATAAACTTTTGTTGTCTAGTTAACTAGAGTAGATTCATGCAGCTGTGTTTTATTGGTTGGATTTTTTGGGGGAAATGTGGGATAGTCCTGAGTTTGAAAATAACTAACACACATAAAACTGGGAAGATACCTATCATGAAATGAATGGTAGAGGGCTGAGAAACAGTTATCCCCTATGTGAATCCCCAGCACTTCCAGGACTTATTCTGAAGAAAAAAAGTACTTGTAATCATTAAATATACTACTTCATTCAGTTACAGTAACATTTTTTAAAAACAACTGCATTGTTTACACATGAAATTTAATTTGAGCTGTCCAATCACTACTTTAATTTTCTTATGCCACCTTGCTATGTAGAATTTGCCAAAACACCAGAAAGTACTGTTGCGGTAAACACTAAGATGGATGGGGGAAATCCAAATGATGGCTTGTTGAAGAAATTCCAAGATATGATGTTGAAACAGAGACCAGAAAGGGTGTCTCATCTGCTTCAGGAGAACTTACCGAAATGTGAGGCACAGTCTTGTTTAACTTGATGGAAATCAAAAGCTTGTATAAACTTTGTTGGTTGTTCTAGCTGCTTACATGTGCTAATGCCTTCCTCTTCTAGCTGTTTCTACTTTCCAGTATGATCAGTTCTTTGAGAAAAAAATTGATGAGAAAAGAAAAGATCATACATACCGTGTGTTCAAAACTGTGAACCGAAGAGCCCAGGTTTTTCCCATGGCAGATGACTATTCAGAATCCCATAGCAGCAAGAAAGAGGTGTCTGTCTGGTGCAGCAATGATTATCTTGGGATGAGTCGTCATCCTAGAGTTTGTGGAGCTGTTATGTAAGTGGTTTTTAATTGACAGTAAAATGTTGGCTAATTACATTGTGTCTTTTAGAAGCCTACCCAACACCATTGTTGGTACAAGCAAATTATTAAGTTATAGGTCCTCTTTACTTACTAGGGGACCTTTTGTCACTGTCTTTTCTTTGCAATGATCCACCCACTTGTATCATATTTCCACATGACACCAAACTGGTTTTAAAAGATTAAATGCAGTTCCACTGTATTTCTTAATACAGAATGCTTCTCCTCTAATTACCACAAGTAGTTTGCTTATAATGAAGAATGTTTTTTTAAAAAAAATCTCAAGCTGTTAACCTATGAGATTCCCCCCAAAATTATCCTAGTTTGTGCTTGGATTTATCACTCAGGCCAACTATTTAAAACTCCCCTACATGAATGAGAATGCAACTTATTTGCAAATGTGAGATTGCTTCAAGTTGTGTTTAATGACCCTGTTGGAACCTTCCTCACAGGGAAACACTGAAACAGCATGGTGCGGGAGCAGGAGGCACCAGGAATATATCAGGAACCAGTAAATTCCATGTTGATCTTGAGAAAGAATTGGCTGATCTCCATGGAAAAGATGCTGCTCTGTTGTTCTCTTCTTGCTTTGTAGCAAATGATTCAACACTCTTCACACTAGCCAAAATGTTGCCAGGTAAATCTAACATGAATATACTGTTCTACTGTACCTTGAAGGAATTGCTAAAAAATATATATTCCATGGTACATTCATTTCAAATACTGTAAAACACCAAATTGCACCAACATTGCCCCAGATTAATTCAATACAAACATTTAAACTAGCTTGGAATTGAACGTGGCTAGCAGTTTTATCAATCCAGCCAGGTTAAGTGCATGTTAATGGTTTTTGCCACCTCATGGAAATTGTATCAAAAGCTTTGAACTGAAAAACAAACAAACTAGATGTGTGAAGACAAAATGCAAGTATAGTACGAGCGCATAGCGTGCAGGGTTTTGTTCCAAGGATTCCTTGTATACATGAAAATTGCTTATACCCAAACCCTTGGAGCTGCCCCAGCAGCTAGCAGGTGAGGAGGAGAGAGAATCCCCCATACTCCCATAGCCTGTGCACTGGGCAGGCTTTGCCTCCCAAGTAAAAGCAGAAAACATAGAAGTTCTTTTTATGCCAGGTAGTCCCAAGTGGCCCAGTGCAAAAAGAGCTTGCTGGGCACATCCCGCTTGGCACACTGGCTCTGGGAGGCTAGGGATGCTCATATGAGATCTTGCAGGAACTTGGATGGGCCCCACAAGATCGTGTGCAGAAATCCCAAAGCTGGTGCGCTAAGCACGCATTTCCCCCCATGGGCAAGATAGGGAGCTTAAAAGCTCTTTACGCACTGGGTAACCCCAAGCAGACCCAGCAAAAACATAACTTTTAACCTCTCCACCAGGCTTGGATTTAACTTGCCAACTTGTTGAAACTTGCTCAAGTTAAATGTACGGTAGCTGAATTTGAAGGCACCACTTGGTTTTTTGTTTCTTTACATATTTTCCCTATGTTCTGGGTCTCTAATGACACTTCCTATATAATGTGTGGCCACAGCAGTACCGAGGCAACACTGGATCATTCCTGCCCTGCTCACTCACTAGATTTCCTGCTTAAAAGACTACCTTGTTCAGTGATGTTGCTTCCCTTCCAGAATCATAGAATGGGGTTCTCCTAACAATTCTGGATTTGAGCAATAGTTGCCAGGAAAATTCCGAGAACAGAATTTGAAAATTGAGGTGACTTGCAAAAGGCAGGACCAGCTGGGTAATATCTGGGTTCAAGGTTTGAACCCGCTGCCTCCTTTCCCCCAGATACAGTAGCTTGTTTGACAGGTTCCCACAAGAATCTTATTGCTCTAGGTTTCTTTACATTCAGGTTGGGATAATCTGATCTTTCTCTAGCTGGATTAGTGAGTTGTCCTAATCCTATCCAGTTACAGATGATCAAGCTGCCATGTGGTATTTGACTGGCCTCTTCCTCTTTCCCTCCTCAGGTTGTGAAATTTACTCGGATGCAGGAAACCACGCTTCTATGATTCAGGGGATTCGAAACAGCAGAGTGCCAAAGCACATTTTTCGCCATAACGATGTTGGCCATCTCCGAGAACTGTTGAAAAAATCAGATCCATCGACTCCCAAAATTGTTGCATTTGAAACTGTTCACTCAATGGATGGTATGCTTGCTATATCATGCTCCAGGTCCTGAAAACTGGGAAGACATGGATTCTGAAATGCAAGAACTTGATATATTACTATTACCTTGTTTTAGGTGCAGTCTGCCCGTTGGAAGAGCTTTGTGATGTGGCTCATGAACATGGGGCAATCACCTTTGTAGATGAAGTACATGCCGTTGGGCTGTATGGAACTCATGGTGGAGGCATTGGAGACAGAGATGGGGTCATGAATAAAATGGATATCATCTCTGGAACGCTGGGTATGTGCACACTGGTGCTGTTCATTCTAATTTTGAGTAAGAGTGACTAAGAATGAGTCATAAAACAGAATGATCATACCCTTGTAATTCCATTTGCAAGGATAATTTGTATTTGTGGTAGGTCCTCTATTCCTGCATTAAATCAGTGTATGTGAAAATGTTAGTTGTTTTACAGAGTCCTCCTATCCTTACCTTGAACTTAACTCTGTAAAGTAGAACGTTCTTAATCCTGAAACCTGACATGGGAGTTGTGTAAGGAGATTTGGTAGGAACAGAAGTAGTAAATCTATGTCGTAGCAACAAGTTTTACCAGTTAAGGCTATTGCTTATTGTAATTTCAAAAGCTGCAATGAAAACAATGTACCAGTGGAAGCACTTTACCTCCATAAATTTTAAGGAACTATGAATTGGCAGTTGGTATTACATAACAACTGCAAAGTTGTACCCACCCCAGACTGCTTGCTCTTATTATGCAAGTGAAATATATGCTTTCTCTGTAGATAATAAGACACTGTGAAAATGCTGTTAACACAAAGTAGCAAAACTAGTAGAGAGGACTGAATATTGTACTAATCTTTCCTAATTTTTTGGTCCTAGAAGCCCTCTTGGTGGGCCAGTTAGAAAACTGCTCCTGCCACTGAAACCTGTTTGACAGTTGTTTTTAAGTGTCACCATGTGATGTCAAAATGTACTGATTCCCCAAAGAAGGCTTCATGTCTGCCTTTTCAGATGTGGTCAGGGGTTTTCTTTATGCAGTTTCCCTGTATACATGTGTTTGTGTGCGCACACCTTTAAGCAGCTTATTTAAAACTGGGTTGGTAGTTCTGCATTGAACATACCACCTTACTCTGTTGCATGAAGACTTAAAACAGCTCTCTTCTGTAGAAGAGGGATCAAAATACTGCATTGCTTGTTAAACATCTGCTTTTTACCAAAATTAGTGGTTTGGTATCAAAAGAACTGTACGCCAAGGATAAAATAACCTTTTGCTTGTTTTTCCTGCAGGCAAAGCTTTTGGCTGTGTAGGGGGTTACGTGGCCAGTACAAGTTCTCTGATAGACACTGTCCGTTCCTATGCTGCTGGCTTTATTTTTACAACGTCCCTGCCCCCCATGCTCTTAGCTGGCGCTCTCGAGTCTGTGAGAATCCTCAAAAGTGCAGAGGGGCAAGTCCTTCGCCGCCAACATCAACGCAATGTTAAACTCATGAGACAGATGCTGATGGATACTGGCTTCCCTGTAGTGCACTGTCCCAGTCACATCATTCCTATCAGGGTAAATATTTAAGGATTTAATCCAGTACATAAAAACTCCATTGTTCTTTTATGCCCCACAGAAATTTCATAATTAAGTCTGTATGCATTTACATTCTTTCTTGTTGAACTCTGTAGAATATGGCATCTTCCCCAATTCCCCAAGAGGCATCTTAATGGTTATGACTTCAGCAATTCCCCCCCACACACTGTTTCAGTTTAAATTTATGCATAAAACAGATTGAGGGAGTAGGAGATTGATGGCAACCTGCATTTCTTTGCTTTCTGGCCCAGGACCCACAGAATACAGCAATCTGACATTGATTAGGGAAGAGATTGTTATGAAGCCCACATGGTCTGTTGAAGGAACCCGGGATGGGGATACCCTGAGGTCTCCACCACAAGAGAAGTGTACAGGAGTATATCACTGGCCTTGGACCACACACATGTGCTTCGTTCTCCCTGCCTTTTCCGCTTCCACCCCACCCCAAAGCACTTGCCTCCTAGTTTTAGCTTGTATCTTACTGGTTAATAGTTCATGCATCTGGCAGTGTCTAAGTACAGGTCTTTGTAACTATAACTTTTGGAGTCTGGTCATGGGAACACCTACTTGGTCCTTGGTGGTGCAAATAATGTATTTTAACAGTCTTGGAAACATGTCTAGAAATAATCTTTCTGCCTCAGGTTTCAGATGCTGCTAAAAATACTGAGATCTGTGACAAAATGATGAGCCAGCATAGCATCTACGTCCAAGCGATAAACTACCCCACTGTGCCACGTGGGGAAGAGCTGCTACGTATTGCCCCTACCCCACATCATACACCACAAATGATGAACTATTTTATTGGTGAGTGAACAAAGACATAAAAGCACAGCAACATTTCATAACACTTTTCTAACATTTACAATGAAAACCTGATAAATCTGTAGTGCTAAAGAACTATTTGGGCACTTACTACTTGCACAATTCCAATCATGCGTGGCAGAGAGTAGGGCTGTCGTATCCACAACACCCCTTATTCTCATTAAGGTTGAAGGCTGAAGCTAGGAGCCCACTCTACACTCAGACTCCCCCATGTGACTTTGAACCCTGCATGGGGAGGCTTTTATGTGGAGCATGGCCCTGCAGTACCCCCACATGTAACTGGAATCCCCTAAGTAATTAATGCTCAAATAGGGTTGCCCCTACAGAAAAAATGTGCTTTGTCCCTAAGGTTGAACTGTCATAAACACGAGAAGCAGGATGGGTGACTGCAAGTACCACTTCCTAAAATGTACATAAACTTAGACAGTGCAATATATAAAACCGAATTTGAGACCCGTAAGGTTTCTTTGTGATCGAGTTAGATTGCTCTCCAAAAGTTTCTGTATCAAGGAAGCACTGTGCTGGCTTAGTTCCACTTGTTTGTACAGCTGGATATTTCTTTAATAATTATGTCAAATGATAAGGCTAAACATGGTACATCATCAGATCCTCACCCTAGCTGAGTCCTTGCCTATTAAATTGCATGAGTCTCCAACAGGCAAACTGCAGCTGTGCTATGTGCAGCTTTCTTGCTTCTTTAAAGAAAGCCATGAGTACATGTAGACTCCATAGCACTGTGCCAGTAACACAGTACTGGGTTAAAGGTAAAAGGACCCCTGACCATTAGGTCCAGTCGTAGCCGAATCTGGGGTTGTGGTGCTCATCTCGCTTTATTGGCCGAGGCAGCCGGCGTACAGCTTCCGGGTCATGTGGCCAGCATGACTAAGCCGCTTCTGGCGAACCAGAGCAGTGCACGGAAATGCTGTTTACCTTTCCGCTGGAGCAGTACCTATTTATCTACTTGCACTTTGACATGCTTTCGAACTGCTAGGTTGGCAGGAGCAGGGACCGAGCAATAGGAGCTCACCCCATCGTGGGGATTCGAACCGCCGACCTTCTGATCGGCAAGTCCTAGGCTCTGTGGTTTAACCCACAGCGCCACCCGCGTCTCTCAAGTACTGGGTTAGTGCCAGTAAATCTGCTATCTCTGTCCTAACACACACAAGCTTACTAAACAGTTGTTGGCATCCATCTGTCTCAAGAGACAATGGAGTTCATCTCTGGGAGTGAAGTCAAACTGAAATGACCTCTTCGTGGCGCAAGCCTGGGCAGTGTGTATGGAGGTCCTGGACTGCCCAGATGACAAAACCCCCTCTCGGCCTCACTGATGTGATCCAAAGGAAAGTTGAGCAATACGTTTGGCACCAGCTTGGCTGCAGGAGTTGCTGGAAGGAGGCATACAAGGCTCCATCCAACCATTTTAGAGGCTCCACTTCAGATTTGTGTAGGGTTTTGGAGGCTTCCTCCAAAAGGGAATATTGTCTAGCAGAATTGAGATTGTTTCTCCTAGTAAACCTGTAACAGGCAAAGGGCCATGAAACCTTTGAACATAACGGGGTCATTAGTGTTTTAAAATTCAAGGCTACTGTGTTAAAGAAAGCTAATAAGGATGAACCTTGTATTAGTTGTTCTGTGTCTTCATGCTATGGATTAGCAAGAGTGTTTGCTTTGTCTCTGCAATTACCAGAGTTTCCTTCTTCTCTTGCAGAGAATCTGTTAGCTACTTGGAAGGAAGTTGGCCTGGAGCTGAAGCCACACTCCTCTGCTGAATGCAACTTCTGCAGGCGACCCCTTCACTTTGAAGTAATGAGTGAAAGGGAAAGATCCTACTTCAGTGGAATGAGCAAACTTGTGTCAGCGACTGCATAAAGCAAACTATAGTCCTATCTATGTCTAGTTGTCTAGTGTTCAAATGTTCACTGTAGCCTCTTTCCTGCATATGACATGCATTTTATTCCGTAGCTTAAGAACAGAATTCCTGAAAATAAATTTTCAGATGGTGTATACTAGTTCTGTATTTTATGGTGGTGTTTTCTTTTCTCATCCTCCAATTATAATCATTGCAGATATAACAAATAGCATGTTCAGATAGCAGTAGAAACAAGCTGCGGTCCTGTTAATGAATAACTCATCTAGTCTTTCAATTGTGCTAACAAATTGCCTTAACGGACTAGCCTAGATGTTACTAAGCTGGCGAGGTTCTGAACCTGGGTATTCTTTCTGCCTGTGCCAGGCCCTCTAATACCAAGAAATCTAAAAGCCAATAGGAAAGAGATGTTATCCTTTATGCAAGTTCAAGAATTTTTGGGGTGTTGGGGAATCAGTAGGTTGCATACTTGTTCTCCAGTGCCATGCATCTACCTAAAATGAAAGACTTTAACCAGTAATTGCTCAGGAAGAAATGCAGATGGGGGCGGGGAGTAAATGCAGAAAGAAATAGCACACGTGTAATATCACTTGGGGTGGAGAGGAAATTTTATCAGAGCTAGTGGAGTTTGTCCCCAGACAGTTTTCAAGTCCCAGAACTCCAAAAATGGATTTGGGGAAGGAATAATGTATAGACACCCAGGAGTAGAGGGGATAGGATGAAACCGCTTTCCATGCACAAAGGTACCGGGGCCTTGATGAGCAAGGTTTTCCTGCAGCTTTTAGTAATTTTATATCTAGTACTTCAGCCTCCCCCAAACAGATGTTGTCTCAGCTGAAAAAAAAATTGCTAGATTTTACATAGGTGTGCACATACCAGCATCTATATAAAAGTGAGGATGTTGGGGTTGTCAAATGTATGAATTAAGTGAGTCATAAATTCTGTGAGGACTTTCCTCAAAGTATAAGAGAGACAGTGGGATAAGTCAGAGAAACTTGGATGATTGTGTTCTCTCTCACTCTCTCTCTCTCTCTCTCTCTCTCACACACACACACACACACAACATAGGTATGATTATTTACAAAAAAAAGTTTCCAAAGTAATCGGACCTTGAGAAAGGAGTAGGGGAGAAGTGCAACTCCACATACTATGTTCAGAATGACTCTTCACTTCCTGTTTCAAATAAAGGCAATGGTCTCTAGTGGACTGAGAGAAGCAAACAGCACTCTCAAATTACTGGAGGTAAGAGTTATGAACACACAAATCCCTTTCAAGCCAATAGAGACATAGCTAAGGATTTGGTATGTTTGAATAACTAAAAATTGCATAACAGTAGGTGAAAAGGAATTAGTAAAGGGTGTGTCAAATCTATTTAGTAGGAAAAAACATTCCAACCACACATCGTCTACTAATCCATGCATATATTTGACCCAGTGCTCAAGGGTTGGGGGGTGGAATCAGTGGGGACATGCAGGTGGAGCTGGCACCCATAGCCCCCTCCTCCTCTCACTCTCTCTGCCCCCACCTTTATTTCCCCAGGTGTTCTTTTGAGAACCTGGATAAGATTATAGTCAGACTATAAACCCTATTATCCATTGCTTGGCTAATTTCCCAGCTCCATGACTGCTTCAACAGCTCAAGTTTTCAAATGTACTTACCAACAAACCATTCAGAGTCTTTCATTATCTGCATTCCCAAAACAAATTCCTAAGTGGAGGGTGGATATTGGTTAGCAACTATTAGGACTCATATTCCTCCCCCCCCCCCGCACATATTTGAATTCAAGTCAAAAAAGATGCTAGCAGCTGTTTTATAAAACCTGGGCGGATTGGTCTGAATCCAATAAACCAGATGTTATTTTAACCTTTTGTGTTTTGCCTTGGAAAAAGGAAAATCCTGTGAGAAATTAAGCTTCTGTGTTCTGAGGGAAGATGGTCACATTTCTAATGCCAACTTTCCAGTGAGCTCAGAAATAAGCATTGTTTGAGCTTTATAGTGATCCTGTGAGGCAGCTTGTCTGAGGGCCATTGTGCCCTCCAGTCACGAAATGTGAGTGATAAATAGCAGGCCAAAGGACACCTGTGCTCCTTTCTTGCATTCAGTTTTCTCTGTGCTTACGAAATATAATTTGGCAGTATGTCTGACCCCAGACATCAATGGTGAAAGGCCAGCGACAGCCCTGCCATTAGTGAGGCAGCCCGTTTGGGGTGTCATGAAAGGCCTGCACATTAGTAGTGCTTTAACGTATTGCTTTATTCTTACTTCCTAGGTGAGATGCTTGTGGTATTTTTCTAATTCAAGCATCAAAGTAACTTGGTCAGCTTTGGGTACTATGCACCTTGCTTGGGGGAAAAGGTGAGGGGCAACCATTTGCCGTTCCATCTCAGGCAGAAAAATGTCTCGGGCCAGCCCTGCTAAAGGCACTCCTGAATCCAGTTTGGAAACCATGCTGATTTCAAGCATGTGGTCTTGTCGATGGCATAGAGAGGACCCTCTTCAGCTGTGTTGCTCTGCAGCTCAGTACACTAAAGGCAATAAAGACCACATCAACAAGGTCCCAGAGTAGGTTTGTGTGCAGTATCTTATATTTCAGCGTACTGCAAACACTGGTCCCTATTGGTTTATTGGAGGTGGTAGAGAAACTGAACAATGTTTTGGCCTGACCACTGAGGGTTCTGCATAGGAACCCTAAGAATACTATTCTGGCAAACGCTGAACTTAGGAAACCAGGTAACACCCACCCCGGTATTGACAGCATGAGCCATATTTTCCTGTTAACAAAAGAAACTACAGTCTCAACTTAACCTCCTCCTGCCAGTGTCAAGCTTTGTGGGAAGAGGGGAACTGAGGGAGCGTGTTTTGCGGACCTGCAACTTCCTTTGTGGAAATATTTCTTCAGTCCTGCACTCTTTAAACTTCTCTTCTGATGAAAAAGAAAAGAGCAGCTAAAACAGTTTAGATTTGTGTTTGCTATATAATCAGGCGGATGAAGGTAGAAATTAGAAGCCTGGTTTTTTGCCCTGCTGTTGCTTTCCTAACATGTGGTGCTCTGCATTGGAAATTGATAGGTTCCAGAACACAAATCACTTGTCGTTCCTCATTACTAGATAAGGCACTGAAACCTACATTGCAGATTACAATGGAATCTGCATCTCACAGCTGCAATAATAATAATAATAATATTTTTTGTTTGTGTGTTCTTGTTCAGAACAGTCAAACAAAGATGCGAATGGCAGATGACAACTCTGACCCCATTGCCACTCTTGCCCTCCCTCATCTTTCTGTCATAGTAGCACCAGAAGCTGCTTCTCTTCAGGAGAGGGCCTGGAATCTGGACAGCTGCCATGGTCTTCAACAGGGCTGGCCCAAGGCATCCTCCACATTTCAGATATCAAAGCCAACCAGACTGTCACATGAATCTTACTTCAACACTGGCAACGGGCAGCATCCTCCACTGCCCAGCAGTCTCACTTAGGGGCAGATCATGTGGCACACAGTTCCTCCACTCCTCAGCATCTGCTGCCATCTCACTCTGCCTAATAGTAGAGCCGGCCGTGCTCTTCATTGATTTCTCATTTTCTCCTCAGGCGGCACTGACTGCCCACATATCAAGTGATCCTCTCACTCCTAAACTGCTTTAAAAGCGTGAAGAGTCTCACTCCTTTCTGGTCTCTTCACCCACCCAACCCACATTTTCTCTCAAAAATATTTTGTTTTTCTCCTTCCACTCTGCTTCAGCATGGACAGAGGACAGAAACTGCCCACACTCCACCCCTAGATGACAACTGAGGAGAAAAGAAAGGGGAAGGAAGCACCTGCTCTCTCACACTCTGCTGCTGCTACTACTAGGTGGCTGTTCTGGGGAGGGCTGCATGAGCCCAAAACTTTCTGTTATCTCTTGGTTGGGCAACACCACCAATAAAATAATAAAATCAGAAACGCATCACATTGGCCAGCCTAGCATATGTTCCCACTTACGATCTTGCTTGACTCAGGGTTGACCCTATCATTAGGTCAAATGGCACAGCCATCGCAGGCAGCAGATGCTGAGCAACTTAGAGCAGAATGGGATGTTATGTGCCATAAGCTAGTCTGCTGAACTCAGGTATGATGGAGGTGCTGCCCATAACCTGTGCCAGAGTAACATTCAGCTGCAGTCTTGTCGACTTCTATACATGGAATAAGGAGAGAATCTTGCCTTTTGCCTCAGGCAGCATAATGTCTTAGGCCGGCCTTCCTTGGGCTTCTTGTTACCATGCAATGATGTACATTTAGAAGTTGAAGGCTGCAAGAAGGGTCTACAGCCCTCCTCAAAATTGGTTGGGAGGTGGCTGAGCACCCCCAGGAATAATCAGGGAAAGAAGACTGTTGTTGAAATCAGGGTTTAAGTGATGCTCTGTAATGTTATTTTAGTTGTACTCCAATCAGTTACAAGGAACATGATGCCATTCTTTCCTTCTGCCAATTAGCCCTTTCAAATTGACTCAGAATATTAGTTAGCCATTTATTTGATTTATAACCCCTACTGTCCCAGGGACAAGTGACATGTTTATAATTTTTTAAAGATAGTGATGAAACCATTCCCATTTCAACCAGAGGGGTTCAACAATCCCTCTTCCCAGGCAGCTCTGAAAAATGTAGTTGTGTGAGGGGAATTGGGGTCTCCTAACAACTCTCAACACTCCAAACAAACTACAGCTCCCAGAATTCTTTGAGGGCAACCATGACTGTTCAAAGTGGTATCATACTGCTTTAAATGTCTGGTGTAAATGTGGCCCTAAGTTAGTCATGCTTATTAACCATGTGGGTGCATTGAGGAAGACTGCAACACTATGTTGTGAGAAGTGAGCTTCTCTCTTCATTACATATTTGAAACGTGCAAATGTTTGAAATATTATTACACTGATGAGGCTGTTCCTGCAAGTCACTTATCTGATATACAAAACACACACACACACACACATAAATATATAAATATAAATAAATAAAATAAACAACTGTGTTTACACGAGAGCCTGGATGTTATGCATAGCTGCCTCAAGCTACAGATGTATTATTTTTGACATAGGGCTGATGAACTGGGAACAAAATTTGCAGTCTGAAAGGGGGTCCCCAGGATCTGTGTCCGCCCCATAATTTGTTGCTCCATTTCATAAATGAAAATGCCCCTAGTGGTCATTCAGATAGTTTGATTTCTCAAGAAACCACTCTTCTATTTTACTGCTTCTTTTCTTCACAGCTTTTGCCAAAATAAAAAATATTTTTAAAGTTCACAAAACTTAAAAGCACAAGCATCATGCGTAACGCATACAATTTCTACAGAACGTTGTTAAAAAAACAAGAACCGACAATGTTATTCTCTCTCTTGCACATTGAGCAAATACTGTACCCCAACAAAATATATTAGAAAAAATGAACTGCAGTGTAACAACCAGACTAGCACACTTTTGCAGCCTTTTCCCAACACATCAAGCCATTTCCATCACTTTATTTGGCACACATGTTTCGTCATTTGACATACATTTAAGGTGAACAGGACACTGCCCCAGCAACCTCAGTCTGCCCTTTGCCAATCCCACCTCTTCTTACTTAAAACCCATTGGCCTCTGGCTGTGAGCTTTCTCATTCTCCTTAATCTCAGTCCTCCTGTCCTTGCAGAACTCAGCAAGGAAGATGATGGGATAAAGGTAGAATTAGTTGGCTCTGCCTCTCAATGACTCTGGCTCCACCTACTGTTGGTTTCTCTGCCTTGCACCCTACTAGTCCCCATGGGCTGCAGCCGAACAAATACAGCTGTCTTTTGACTATAAGTCACCTGGCCGCAGTTGTTTCATCAGAGGGATGAGAAGGAAAGCAGGACTATTCAGAAAGTCATTTCCCCCCTGTTCTTTATGCCTTTAGACACCTCTTAAGATATCTTAACCAGATTCTGTGTGATAGTTCCTGAGCTCAAGAAGCAGATTTTCATCTATTTTGGGGTACAATTGGACACCACAGTGGTACCTCAGGTTACATATGCTTCAGGTTACAGACTCTGCTAACCCAGAAATAGTAGCTCGGGTTAAGAACTTTGCTTCAGGATGAGAACAGAAATCGTGCGGCAGTGGCGCAGCAGCAGCAGGAGGCCCCATTAGCTAAAGTGGTGCTTCAGGTTAAGAACAGTTTCAGGTTAAGAACGGACCTCCGGAACAAATTAAGTATGTAACCAGAGGTACCACTGTATTGTGAATCAAGATACTGGACTGAAACTTTCTAAACTGCACTGATTTTGTTTGTTTCTTAAAATACCTAAGCAATGCTGGGCGTAAGGCTGCTCATTGCTTATAAAACAATACTGGAGTAAGCTGTTCCACAAAGCAGCTTGTTAGTTATTTCCCCCAAATTGTCTATTTATTCTCAACAAGGCAAATACTAAGTGCTTAAGGGAAGGGTTGCCCAAATTCCCGAGGCATAAGCGCTTTGGAGAAACTCCCTAAACTGAAGGTCTACACCTCCCTGTGGTCAGCCCTTGTGGGAAACTGATAACAAGGTACACTGTCCTTGCATTTCTTTGCCTTTGTCTATTTATTTGTCTCTGCAAAGAAAAAAGAAAGGTTTTCTTGCAAAACATAGGATTATTATTCATTTTAGTAAACTATGGAGAAGCATAATTGCCCTTTTACTCATGGCTGAGGAAAACTTAATAATTTGCATAGCAATTGTGTTGCCATGGCTACACCAGAGTTTCCTGCAGCCAGCCTGTGTAAAGTGGGGAAAGGCAGAGCACATTCCTAAGCTTCCATTTCCACACTGCTGATATGCAGAGAGGCCTAAGGTTCATCACAGCCTTATTAAAGCAGAGTGGCACAGTGGTTGAAGTGCTGAGATGTGGATGCAGGGGAAACTAAGGTTCAAATTTCTGCTCAGCAAGTTGGACAAGTTACTACCTCTCAACATAAGCCACCTCACAGGGTCCATTGTGAGGATAAAATACTTCTCACAGCTTTCGTGAGAGAGAATGGAGTATAACTATACCAAGCAAATGACCAATACTTCTACATTGTGTTTTTGCGACAATTTATTTCTGATAAAATGATCTGGCCCACAAGAGCCTTAAACCGACGATGTGGACTATGGCATGCGAAAGCTTCTACCTTAATAAATTTGTTAGCCTTTAAGGTGCACCAAAACCTAGTTGTTGCTGTTATTTTTGCTACCACAGGCTAACATGTGGCTACCCGTCTGGAAACAGTCAATGTAAAGCTAAAGCTAAAGGGACCCCTGACCGTTAGGTCCAGTCGTGGATGACTCTGGGGTTGCACACTCATCTCGCTTTACTGGCCAAGGGAGTCAGTGTACAGTTTCCGGGTCATGTGGCCAGCATGATTAAGCTGCTTCTGGCGAACCAGAGCAGCGCACGGAAACGCCGTTTACCTTCCTGCCGGAGCGGTACCTATTTATCTACTTGCACTTTGACATGCTTTCGAACTGCTAGGTTGACAGGAGCAGGGACCGAACAACGGGAGCTCACTCTGTCACGGGGATTCGAACCGCCGACCTTCTGATCGGCAAGCCCTAGGCTCTGTGGTTCAACCCACAGTGCCACCCGCGTCCCTGCATGCCAAAGTTCACATTTACCGTAAGATGACTGTCCTGAAATAAGGGCAACTGTCTTCAGAGCAGTCCTGTCAAAAGTAACTGACCCCGATATAAAATTACAGTATAACAAAATGTTCCATAATTTATAAAGGGCTGTGACATGACACGTCAGCAGGTGGTGCTGCAGAATCACAATATTTAGGACTCTCAAGTCAAGACCATTGATACTTTTCATTTTGAGCAGCTGAAACAAAAGTCCTTGCAGGAGCCTTTGAACTGCTCTAATATTAACCCAGTATTGTCCCTCTACTGTAACTGGTGGCTGCTTCTTGGGGGCTCAGGAAGGGAATCTTTCCCAGTGCTGCTTTTCTTCATTGGATGTGCTATGGGTTGAACCTAAGACCTTGTGAATGAAAAGCTTACACTCTGTCACTGAGCTATGATTCAACAACTGCTTTCATTCATGTTCTTTCTGATACTTCACATTGGTTCAGGTGTGCGAGGCTCCCCACCCCATTTTCTAGTATGGGGTTGTTCCCTGGATTCATGTAAAACACAGGTTGCTCCATCAAGCTAGAATTCCTCCTGCCTCTTCTGTTCTCCTGGTGTCTTAGGAGGGTACCAAATGCCCTATGGTGGGTGCAACTGCTAGCGGTTGCTGTGGCTGAGTGGCCAGTAAGCGGTTTGGCAGTGTATGCAATGTGGGCCCAGTCTCAGGGACTCCATCTCTTTTACCCCCTGAGTTGACCTTTCCCCCCAGAGAAGCAAAAGGTGAGTGTTGCCCCCCTCCCAGTTCCCCTGGTGGGGCTGAACTGTTTCCCAGACCCGTACCATGCAATGAATCATGGTGGGGTGTGTCAGGATACCCAGATTGTCACAACAGGGTGGGCTGCTTCTGCATCCATGTGTCATGGCTGCAGTGTTGCTGCGCTGATTCCTGGTGAGTTGGCTATGGAGCAGTTTCTTAAATTCAGTTTTGAAGCTTTCAGTGCACAACTTTCCTAGCAGGCAGCCCCATTTATTTTAGGAAGCAACCACCCCCGGCAAAAGCCACTGAGGCACCTGCAATTGCCGCCTTATTTTCCCCTTGATCTTCTTCCGTGACTGCCTCCCTCCCTTTCCCCATGTCCCACCCTCGAGTTCACGAGCCTTTTCCTGCTTACTCAGAGATGAGTCACAGGTGAAGACATCGCTGAGCTGCTCCCAGAAGCACCAACTTCTGACGACTCCCGGGCGTGAGCAGGCAGGGTTCGCGGCCAGGTGAGGCGGTGGGCGGGGCCAGTGCTGGGTGGGCGGGGCCAGCAGGTGAGGGGCGGTCCTGTGCCCTCCTCCCCCAGGTAAGCGGCGCCGGGGGATCCGGCGGGACTCAGGCAGCGGTCCAGCCCTGGATGCCTGGACGGGGAGAGATGAGGACGCGGCAAAGGTACGTTTGCGTCGCGGCGTTGGGAAGCCCAAGCCGGTCCTCTCTTCTTCCTATCTGTTGGGAGCGGAAACCTCCCCGCTCCCTTCCTCTCTCGAGTTTCTCAGTGACTCCTTTGTTTGCAAAGACTTCGGGCAATACAAATACCAGCGTCCTCTTGGGAGCTGAGTTCAAATCCAGGGGGTTGCTGTTCTACCTGTTGAAATGGGTTTCGGTGGGCTTCGAGCGTTGCTTCGTGGTGGGTCAACTTTTGGGAGACCTCTTCCTCTTCCTCCGCCTGCATTTCCACTTCCTTCCTGCCTTCTCCGGGGCTGCTTTTCCCAAGGAGCCCCTTCTCCCCGTTCCCCGGGTCTTTCCCTTCCTGGGGTGTAGATCCAGGTGTGTAGGTCCGCTAGCGCCGCGCCCTTTGACATTTGCATCTCTTAGTCCGAGAGCAGCAACTCCCTTATCGCCTCTCAAGATCGCGGCGACTGAAAGGGGCTGGGGTGAGGGGCGGGAGAGAGAGACGGAGACACGAATGAAGCCCACCCCTCAGTTTGCTTCTGGAATCAACTGGCAAAATCAACGGGGGGGGGGGCATCGCAGCAACCTGTTGAGTCTCTGCCCTGCCCAGCAACTCCACCCTAGGTATTTATTTCATTATCTGTGCTTGATAGTTGGAGAGATTGCCATTCTATAGAGAAAAAATTCACCCCATCTCTTCTGAATATTGATGGTTCCCCTGACCACAGCACCTGAACCTTGGTGTGTGTGTGTTTAAGTCTTGTTTTAGTGAAGACACCCTAAAGCTGTTGGGTAGGCTTTGTATGCTAGATGAATTTCAAACATGTACTGGTTGCCTGTGCATCATGTTGTACCCATTACCGAAATGACCAAGCCTACTCAATAATGTCCTGATTCAGTCAAGCAAAGATGGCCCTTGATGTCCCTTCCAACTCTGCAATTCAGTGATTCTAAGATGGGGTTTACAGGTACCTTCTCTCATCTGGGCATTGGGCAGACCAGACCTCCTTAGCTTCAGCAAAATCGTGACCTCATGTGCCTTGAGCACAGATAACCTTGGGGGAAACTTGGATACGTAATACCCATTTCCCTCTCCAAAGTTCCTTCTGTGCCAATCCTTACATGCTGTCCTTGTTCAAGTGTCCTCTCTTAAAATACTTCTGTGGAGATTGCCACATATGTGAGCAAATACTCAAGGAGGAGGGGTGGGGGGAAACCTTCCTAAAAACCCGGCATTTCTTTTCCTTCATTATGCAACCCCCAGGACTGCCGTTGATCTTCCAATCAGATTTTTATTTGCAGTTTACAAAGGGTTTGCAGCAGCTGTGTGGAGCTTGCTGGGTAGAAGACGCTGTGGATGACATCAGCTGAACGATTTGTGGTGGCTTTTGTCATCACTGAGTGCAGGGCATGGAGTGGAATGGTTTGTCTGCCCCAACACACCATGTACAGAGAGAGTGCCCTTTTCAGTGAAGTGCCCAAAGCTGTTCGACATGTGACATCCACAGGTATCTTGAGCTCATGCAGCTGGCCAGGAGCTGCTTGAAAAATGCTACTGCTCTAAGCACAAGGTTCTTATGAGCACAGATGTGCACTAAGGATTGTGGACTGTGGAGTTCATGGAGTGTGCTGGACCAGCTTAGACAAAAGTTCCACTTGATCTCTCAGGCATGGTGATAGCTACAGTCAGCTTCTGTTGGATATGAACTTGCTTGTCTGACTTCTCCCCATGATGATCAAAAACCCTTCCAGTGTGGTGTAGTGGTTAAGAGCGATAGATTCATAATCTGGGGAACCGGGTTCGTGTCTCTGCTCCTCCACATGCAGCTGCTGGGTGACCTTGGGCTAGTCACACTTCTTTGAAGTCTCTCAGCCCCACTCACCTCACAGAGTGTTTGTTGTGGGGGAGGAAGGGAAAGGAGAATGTTAGCCGCTTTGAGACTCCTTCGGGTAGTGATAAAGCCGGATCTCAAATCCAAACTCTTCTATCAACATAAACAGACCTGCCAACATTCTCTCTAGCTCTTTGGGAAATGGGCTGAAACACAAGTTTCACTGGCTAAAAAAGCATTCACTCTAATCTTAGCTATTTATTGCTAGTAGCATTGCCTGGTAGTATACTATAATCAACTGAAAATGGTGAATATAACTGCAACGGTTATGAATGTAGATGGTTATGAACAGAAATGATCCTGCCAAATTGAGCCTTGTTTCCATTTTAGTGCATTGTCAACTGGCAGCAGCAATCCAGGGTGTTATAGCAGAAAGGTGATTTTGTCCTCAACATTCACCCAAATTTCTAGCCAAACTACAGACAGAGGCAGGCGCCACATGTGAGCTTCATGGCTGAGCGGGGATTCAAACAAGGTCCTAGTCTGACACTGTAGCCATGACACCACACTGGCCGCATTAGTGGCCATAGTCTAAGTATTAAACTACATGTGATGGCAGCAGATCATGTACAGGCCCCTTTTACTCTGATTCCCCACCTCAGTTTGGGGCAATTTAACCACAGCTGTAGAAGCGGCCCTGCAAACATGCCCCCTTTCTTCCTCTCCCCATATAAACTCTGTGATTGGGGCAAATCCATGTTTTAAACACATGAATCTATTGCTGCCATGTGTACTTTGAGCCTTAACTGCTCTTTTGATCCATAAATACTCCTTAGCGCAGGAATGCAAGCATTCACAGGCATTTTACAATATACAGTATATATAATGTTATAGTCCTTTAACAACCTCGCTAAGCCAGGTTAATGCAAGCAATTTTATCATGAATGAGAACAGGCTTACAATCTGGGTGTGCATCTGTTACTTTTCTTGTATTGGTTTAAGAGAGGAAACAAGCTGACTGTTAGATTTGTCTCCCACAAATTGCTGTACCTGTTCTGTTCTGTGAGTAATGAACACATCATTGTTTATGTTTTAAAAGAAGCCTGAAATGATAAAAATATTTACAACCCGATTAAGAAATTAGTATTTTGGGATATGCTCAAGGAAAAACCTGGTACCTTTTGAGCTTCTGCTGAAAAAATGTTTTGTGCAGTCTTCTGAAATGTAATCGGCCATCTGCCAGATGAGACCCAGACCTGGAAACTGCTAGATAACAGCAAGGCAGGCTGATTGAGCTGAGTGTTTCAACATTTGAGCTTATGAATCCAGCTGTTTAAATCATTGCAGGATTTGTTTAGCTATGAACATGAAATTATGATGTCAGTTTGCTAATCCAGAGTGAGTGCTCTTTCCTGATGCATAACCTAAATATATCTGCATGAATTCGTTTTCTGGAGAAGTAGGCATGCTTAGGAGAGCTTGATATTTAAGGGAAGATCGGTTAGCAGTACCGCCTCAAGCTGGAGAATATTATTTGAAGATTAGTGTCAGCTGCTACCAAGGGCAAAACTAAACTGACTGTAGCAGCATTGTAGTCTTTGCTACATGGGTGGAAATCTACAGCAAATGAATGCTAGGCAGCTATTCCAGACTGAAACCAATTTGACCTGAAATCCAACTGAAAACTGCTGTTGTCATATCTGCTCAGAGTTGCCTCCCCGTTCTGTCCTTTGCCTGGATCCCTTAATGTTCAACGGATTCTATACCGCCTTTTATGGTTTGTTTACTTCCACGCATGTCAAAAGTGCCTTGCAGTGCAATTAGAGATGTCAAAACAGTTCAGAGAATGGCGTTCATTATCGTGGTCTCCTGTGGATGGCTGCCTCTGCAACGAAGCCAAAAGAGGAGGAAGAAAGAAAAGGAGCTGTTGTACAGTACAAGCGCAGCCCATTAATTCCTCCGTGATGGTGCTAGCCAACTGAAATGTGGCCATTTTTCTTAATAGGAAATTTTGAATTGGATGCAGGACACAAAGCTACCTCTTCTAGCTGCTCTTTATACGTGGGATGCTTCACTAGAACCTAGTTGTGATGGAAAAGTTCACTGCAACTAGGGAGTTCTGCATGCGTTCCTTCGCACGTATCCACATTTTCACCTACAGTTGTTAGTCAGCTCAAGTGTTTGGCAAAGCCTTGGGCTGCTTTTCCCCTATCAACTCACAACAGGTTCTTGGGGCTGGATAGGCCAGTCCTAAACCTGTATACACAGCAGGAAGTTGTAATGAGTTCAGTGGGACGAAGTTTCTAGTAAGCATATGGTTAGGATTGCAACTTGACTCTATTGGGTAAGGACAAGGAGAAAAACAGGCTAGCTTGGGCTTGTTTATGGATTAGGGTGAAACTTTACACTTTCTACTAATCTTGCCTTTCTAAGATAAATTAGAGCCAAACTAGACACACCACATAGCTCGCCCTTTTACAGTTGGTTTTACAAAATAAATAGCAAGTGTGTTTCCTCTCATTGTGAATGGCAGGTGTAGTTTGTGTGTGTGTGTGTGTGTGTGAGTGAGTGAGAGAGAGAGAGAGAGAGAATCTATTGGATCCCATGAATCTTTGATGTGGATGGTTATCCCATTTCTGCAAGGAGGAGCTGCCAACATGTGACAAAACCTCAACAGGAAATGGTCTAACCCTGACAGCAGACTTATTTCGGCTCGCACTATATGCAGATCCTTTCTCCCACACCTTGAGGCAAAGACAAAATAGAGGATTGTATTCTCCTCTACGCATTGGGCCAGTAACAAATGAGAGGGCCCTATGGTTGTCATGGATGCCATGAAGTCTCAAGTCTGCCCATCTAAGGCAGCCTTGGAGTGAATGTTGAAGACCCACAAGACAAATGCCTTACAGTTCTCCAATATCACAACTGTTACTTGCTAGTACTCTACCAGTTATGTTTAGTCAATGCTTGTTGATGTATATTTTGATACATCAGTGTCGGTGGCTGGTAGGCAGGAGGAAAGGCTTTGCAGAGAATCTTGTATAGTAAAGGATAAACGCATCTCTCTCTCTGTCTCTCCTTTGAAAATTACAAATAGAAAGCTTTGGGCTTCTGGTGTTGTTTACTTATTCTCTGGGCCATTTCAAAATAATTTTTTTACCAGGGTGTCCACTGTCCACCTACAATGAAGCCATGTTAGATTGATAGTCAACAGATGTAGGTTCACTCACACTCTGAGGCTGGCAATACAAGGAGTGGAAGCAAGCAGCAGAGAATAATTCAGGGTCTTTTTGAGCTTTTACTGCAGGAAGCAACTGAGCAAGGGGAAGGTTTCTGGGCACTGCACCAGTGGCAGCCTTAGAACGCACCTGTGCCGACAGCACCAGTTTCCCCGAGGCACAGAAGTCAGTCAGGAATAGCTGCATAGAGAAGAGCTCTCACTTTCAAGTCTCTTCCTACTCCCACCCCACTAAGAACAACTGTGGAGGATTTGGATGAGGGGAAGTACAGGATGTTTCCAATGTCCCCACCAGTTCTCATAAAATCATAACGCTTCTTGGTGTGCAGTAGCACCTGGGGCACCTAGCTAATGCCACAGAAACTGTGCCCACAAACAAAGTCACACAGCAAGAAGGTCCAGCGCAGAGGGCCTTCTGGCAGATCCCTCCCTGCGAGAAGTGAGGTTACAGGGAATCAGGCAGAGGGCCTTCTTGGTAGTGGTGTCTGCCCTGTGGAACACCCTCCTATCAGTTGTCAAGGAAAGAAACAACTATCTGACTTTTAGAAGACATCTGAAGGCAGCCCTGTTTAGGGAAGCTGTACACTGTATTGTGTTTTTAATATTCGGTTGGGAGTCACCCAGGGTGGCTGGGGAAACCCAGCCAGATGGGCGGGGTGGAATTGATAAATTACCATTATTATTAATAATAATAACATTACTACTATTATTATTAGTGAATCCCACCCTTCCAATTAACATTTAAAGGTTCTCCCTAGACCTGAAATTTTAGCAGGTTTCTTATCTAGGGTACCTTTCTCACGTCTGCTGTTTTCAGACTAGTTTTCCTCATAACAAAAAAGGAGAACCGATTACTCCTTTTTTTAACTAACCTCAAAACTGTAAACGCCATCCTCGCAGGAAAACCATGGCAGTTATTCACCACCTTGGAAGGGTCTATGATGCCTGAAAACTCCATCAAATTCTGCCAAAAAAAAGTACAGATGTGATGCTGATAATACCAAGGTTACAAGTTTGACTCCCCAATATGGGACAGCTCCCTCCCTCCCTCCCTCTGTGCATCTGAAGAAGGCCAGCTGAGAAAGGAACATGGGAAACAACCCTCAACCTGGGCAAACCTCAAGTTGTTTTACAATCTCTCCCTGCGATTGTGTGAAGGAGATTCCCCAGGCAGCTGCATTTCTAGACATTTATTAGCTAGCATTCTGTATCACAAAGGGAATCATCAGGCACACAAAGGTAGTGGAGATGTCCTTGGTTGCAATCTATTTGGAGGAAATTATTCCATTCTTCCATTCTGCTTTGCATGACTGTGCTCTCCAGGGTGGCCTCTTTTAAGAGTTACTGGCCACAAGAAAGCCCTGTAGTCCTTCCCTTTGGTATTTTTATTTGTCAGGAATCTCTAATCTATGGGAGCTGTGCTCCTTTCCTTCCTGAAGAGAACACCAGTTGCTCCTATTTTGCTGTAGCAGGGCCTGCAAAACAGGGAAGGCTAGTCTTGATTTTTCCCCCCATTTAAAAATATTTATTTTATTACTTATTCCATAAAATGTATACACCGCTTGACTGTTAAAAAGCAGCAACAACCTCAAAGTGGCTTACAAAAATATAAAACCAAAAAAGTTAGGAATTTTCCCCCAGGACATTAAAACATATAAGAAGTTAAAATACTAAAAGCAGATTAAAATTCACATCAGCATTTCTAAGCATCTGGGTAGGCCTGTCTAAACAGGAATGTTTTTCGCTGTACTCCTGATGCTCCATCATCAGGGTCTAATGATGGAGTTCTTGCTATGTTCTGTTCACTTCCCTTGTTTCCCAGCCTGTGTGTGTGTAAGACTCTTAACTGAGACATTCTTCTGGTATACACTCATAGAATCACAGAATTGGAAAAGACCATGGGGGTCATCTAGTCCAACCCCCTGCAATACAGAAATCTTTTGCCCAACATGGGGGCTTGAACCTATGACCTTGAGATGAGTCTAGCTAATGCCACATTCACAAGATCCAACCCTTGTACTCCGCACAATTAATTAATCTGGAAAAAAGAACTATCCCTGATATTGTATATTCTATCAAAAATTGAATTAAAATCTTGATGAACTTTGAGGTCAACCAAATTCCCAAATATTTAATTTTTTAAACTACTTTTATGCTCGTTTGTTGTTGCATCTTATCTACCATTTCTTTATCCATATTTTTAATTAACATTTTTGTCTTTTTTATATTTAATTTAAAACCTGCTACTTGTCCAAATTCTTCAATTTCCTCTAATCCTTTCTTAGCACTGACTAACGGTTCTTCTGTTGTTAGTACCAAGGCATCGGCAAAGGCTTTAACTTTCTTCCGACTGCAATTTTTTTAACTTCTTCTGTTTTCCTTATCCTCATCAGGAGGACTTCGAGTACCGATATGAATAGTAGTGGTGACAATGGACACCCTTCAGGGTCATCAAGTTTTAGGAATAGCTTGTCATGGCTTTGTGTATCACACCTGTAATCTGTATTCCAGCAGCAAAGGAAAACGGCTGTGGAAAAGCTGACAAAGAGCCATCACTTTTTCTTATTTTCCAAAAGCTGTCTGTTATTGCTTATTTTGATCACCACATATTTTCTGATTTCCAGAGATGTCTCCCAACTCTTCAAGAGCCCAGCTGGAACAACTGCATATAATTTGAAATTTGCTAGCCAATCGTTGCCAGAGACAATCAGCTTGATTTTCATTTTGCAACTATATTCTAGAACCATCAGGCTAGAACCTCCTTTGGCTTTACTGAAATGATAGTTCAAGATGGTGGGTACCTGAATGAGGAGGAATTGCTCAGCTGCCAGCTCTGGGTATGGGACAAATGTTAACATTACAGTTTTCAAGTGGTAACCTGCATGTCAGTGCAAAAATCTATCAAGCGCCAGCTCCTCTCCGCTTGGTACATGTTAATGAAAAAGCTGTAGGGGGTATTCCTGCCGCTGAACAACACATTATATGCGTGCCAAGTTAATCAAAGGGAATTGCTTTTGTTCTGATGAAGCTATAAATAAATAACGAATGCACATCTGGCCAAATTTAAATTAGGAATAGTTTTGGATCAAATATAGTTGAGTGCATTTGCCTGGGACTCCTTTGGGATGTCAAGGATTCGGTTAAGGCAGTTTTTATCACGGAGAGCTGGTGAAACGTAAGAAATCGCCTTATACTGTCAGACTGTTGGTCCATTCTCGAGTAAAGGCCAAAGCCCTGAGGTCCACTAATTGGGTGCAAAGCAGTGTATTGAGGAAGGAGGGGGGAATGGCATGACTTGCACTTGGAATTAAGGAGCAGAATGTTCCTGAGCATATGCTCAGGCACGAAATGTGGCCTTAAGAGCAGAGGCGAGCGCACAAATTCATACAAAAATCCACTCCTGCTCCTCCACCCCAAGTCTGATGTCAGCAACCTAACTGGGGAGAGGGGGGAGGAAGCCATTTTGTTCCTGCTGTTGTGAAACCATCCGGCAACAGAAGCCCCTGACGCCCTCCTTGAATTTGCTACCACAAGATGTAGTGATGGCCACCAACTTGGTTTAAAACAAATTCATGGAGGATTAATCAACCACGCATTACAAGTTACGGTGGTTAAATATTGGCTCCCATTACCACTGCCGATATGCCTCTGAATAATGGGGAACGAGAATGGGAGAGGGGCCTATTGCATTCATGGCAGGCTTTTTGTATCTGGATGGGTTACTAGGCTGCCCTAGATGGGCCTTTGGTCTGATCCAACAGAGTCCTTCTTACATTCTTACTTGCCAATCCTACTGCGAACCACCCAATCCCAATCTATGTTCTACCCACCCCTGACCAGGGCTGCTACTGAACTTCTTTTCTAGCCTTCCTGCCTGAGACTTGTCAATGGAGTGAACCTGGGACATTCAGCATCCAAGACATGTGCCTCTGGCCCTGAACTCCAGCCCATTTGCCTACTCTTTGTAAAGCTAAGCGTACTGAGTTAAATCTAAGCTCCCTGATTCAAATTGCACTACAACCGCTAATGATGTGCCAAACCTTGGGGAAAGCATGATCCACAATGCAGGGATGCTGCAAACCTACCTTACAGGTAGGTTGGAAGAGTAACTGAGCATATTTATGCGAAGTGTTTAGATTGCTCCAAAATGTAACATAAACACTAAATATTATCATAATCCATTAGCTAAATGAATCGTACTGTTTGTATAGCAGGTGGTATTTTCCATTGTGTTTTTAAAAGGGGATAGTGGCACTATTTCCCCCCCCTTTTTTTATTCCATTGGAGGAAAAGCAGCAGCAGCCCTGGAGTAGTTCTTGGATTCTTGCGGCTTCAAACTGCCTCTGCTGAACTTGTACTGTACATTCCTTCTCTCCCCCACTCCCGCGTCTTCCGCTGTCGAAAATGTTTTGAAGTCTGTTTTGCTTCACGAGAACCGCGAGCAAATCGGGGACCCAAGGGAAAAAACCAAATAGCTACCGTTTCGATCTTGCTGGATTGTGAAACGAACCACAGCAGGTGGGATGGGACTGTATATGCTTCGGGAAATTGCAATTCCCAACGGTTCATGGGGATTCTCATTTAACTCAGCATATTCAAGAGCTGCTTTCGGAGGCAAAGCTTTGGAATGAGCACCGTCCCAGCAGAGCCAAATTATCACCAGCCCTTTAGCCTGAGTCTCGACAGCTGAGGACCAGGGGAAACTGTCTGGTGAAATGAAAGACTTTGGGGTTGGCAGCAACACTTGCTAGCCTCCAGATGTCTGCCTGTCGCTCGCCAGTATTTGTGACAGTCAAGCCATCTGCACCGATAACTGCGAGAACTACAGAAAGACAACAGGAATGTAAAATGTTGACAGATCTCGCACGAGACCTGTGCCATTTAATTGTTGCATGGGATGGAGTTTTGTAGCAGGCCTGGCTTTTCTGCCATAGTTAAGGTAAGAGAAATTACATCTGTCAAAGTTCTCCTTTGTACACAACTGTTAACAGATACAGGAGCCTTATCATATGTAGAATTGGCAACTTAAAGTGTGCCTCCCCACACATCCGTAGTGAATCTTCTAACTTGTTAGTATTAATTAGCTGGTTTAAACCAATCAGCCTCACCAACCTAACTGTTTCTGTGTTATAGTCTTGGCCCTAAATTTCTTAATATGGTTCAGGAAAAGAGCTGGTCCAAAGTGCAGATTTTTCTGTCCTTGCGCACTCATTTTAATAACTCTCTTGATTCACCATGTTGCAATCTCTTGTGATTCTTCTGTAGAGCATGACTCCTTGTTTTCTGATCAGAATGACCAAGAAGCCGTTTGGGTCAGGTTTCCCCAATTCTCTCATATGCTAGATATCCTTTGGGACTAGCAAACTGAGCAGGACACATCGCCAAAGTGTTGTTTCAGTTATGCCTACACCTGGGTCCACACCGCACCCACACACTTTTGTCACGCTTGCTTTGTTTTGTTACTTGCCGTTCCAGAACAGACCACTTCCTGTTTTTCCTACATCTGCTGGAGTGGCAAGCTTGGGTTTTTAATTAAAGAGTAAATTTGAACAATTGCACGCATATACCAAACCACCACCGCACAAGGATTTGCAGAGTATATATGCATGCTTTTGGAGAATAGGCACACCAGGCACACATAAACTGTTTAAGCATAAGGAACTTGCCCTTTTGCATTTCCACTGAAGTGTCGCACAAATATTGATGCCTAATGGGGCTGGCCCTACCATTAGGCAGAGGAAAGCGGCAGCCTTGAGCAGCTGATTTGGGTTGTGTCAGGAAAAGGCAGCAAATTGTCAGCTATTTAATTTATTATGACTGCATTTTTACTGCCAAGGAGGTTGAGAGACACTTGTGGGATTCTCTGCCTCAGGTGCCAAAATAACTTGGCCCCTCTTTGGTGATGTGAACCTTGACCAGTGGGGAGGGGTTTCCATTTGTTGCTTCACCTCAGGCAGCAAAATGTCATGGGCTGGCCCTGATCACTAGCTGAGATATGGGCTATCCTTCCTTGTGCCAACATGACAGATTGTAGAAAAATCAGCCATTCTGGAAACTCACACTGATCTGTGTAGCAACCTGTGTAACAAGAGAATATTAAACTGAGGGGGAAGGGGGGGTGGAGGAGACCCAATATTTTAAGGAGGTTTAGAGAAGCATGCTTATGCTCAACTATTTGGTCTGTCAATCTTTCTCTCAGCCTGGTGGTATTTGTTTCACCGAATTCCTGTGTGTTGCCACCAGGTGAAGCAAGGTAGACTAAAATGCTGTGGGTTGCTTTTTGGGTTGCTGTTATGCCTTGAAGAGAGGCAGCAGAGCAGTTAGGTAGCTTTAGACTCTGGACTCTATTGTCTTCCACTCACCCCCTCTGTAAATAGCATGGTATGGTGTATTGATAAACCACCTTTTGGCCCCAAAGAAATATACAATAAAGGTACAATACGTAAAAGACATAAATGAAAACCATATAAAATAGCGGTTGTTCTCACTGAGGTTTTTTATGCATTGTATTTTTTTGTATTACTTTGCTATGGTAATGTGTATTACTTCAGAATGTCCTAAGCGAGTCCTATGCTCTGTGTGCTTTATTGGGGGCGGGGGCTACTCATTCTGCAGAGTGAGGCCCTGGATTTCTGCCCCAGAGTCTCTTGCCCAATAGGCACCACTGCAGGGGAGGGATGCGCCTTTCTTCCTGTTGTGGTGGAGCAAACGTATTATGATTCGTCACTAATGGAGTATAACACCGTGAGATGTGCTGGGAATCTCTGGCAGAGCCGTTTGACCACTCCTCTTCCTCTATGCTGCGCTGTTCTTTCCCTCCAACCAGATGGCACCTGATGCCTCGAGGGACTGGCAATGGGCTAAGGTAGCCTTTAGTCCAAGCGCCGTTTCTCTGATCCAGACAGCCAGTTGTGAAATATCTGGCCGTTGTTTCCTCCCAGTTTTGCTTCAGTTGCCTACTTGAAATTCGTTGGAAGGTTTGGGCTTGATTCTCACCCTGCACCATTTGGTTCTCCCAGAAATGCGAAGGCATGGAGGCAGTTTTGAAACTGAACTCTGGAAAGACATTCCATTTAAGTAGGTCCCAGGGTCAGAAAGCAATATAAAAGTGGGGTTGTAGTTAGTTTTTGGTGCCAGTCTGGGACACTTTGCTCCCTGAAGCAGAGGGGTCTTCTCCCTCATCCCCACCCCACCAGGGCCAACACTTAAAAATCTATACCTTGGCTTTCTAGAGCAGATTCAGTAGCCTTTCTTGCTCTGCACCTGTGTTTAGGTGTACCTGAGAAGAGCCCTGCGAAGTCAGACAATCAATCTAGTCCTGCATCCCGTTTTGCATGGTGGCCCACCAGATACTACTAGGGATCCCACAAGTAGGGCATGAAGGCGACCTCTCTGGTTACCTAATCCTAACATGTGCAGTAGCTCTGAGAGAATCTACCTCCAGAATATTCCTCCTTTTGGGACCATCCTATGAATGATCTACTGTTTCTGGAGAGGGGAGGGGCAACCAATAAAAGACTGTCTGACACATTCCCAAGACAACCTCATTGCCGTGCAGTAGCAGAAGAGCAGTGTAAGCTTGTTTGGGGGCTCATGAATTCTAGACAAAGATTTCCCTTTAAAAAGCATACGTTCCAGTTCTTATCTTAACTGATCCTGGGACTTAAAGTCTCAGACCTGTTGTCAGAGTTGGCCCACATGAGGCAAGGTGAGGCAATCGCCTAGGGTGGCAGGACCCACAGGGACAGCAGATCCTGATGTAGATCTTTATTTCTTTCTCTGTGGTTTCTGATGTAGATTTCCACTCACCCCTTCTTCCCTGGCAGGGTATGTGTGTATGTGATTATGTAGTTTGCTTCAGGCTCCAAATGCCTTAGGTCAGGCATTGGTAGATCCCTGAATGTCCGTGGTAGATCACTGGTAAATCACTGGCTCCCCCAAAGCAGCTCAGAAAGTTTGCCCTGCACCCCTAAGAAACTGTGCTCAACAACTTTGACCTGAACCCCAAAAAAGGGGGTTCACTGCCAGTTTGAGTAGATCGCAGTCTCTTGGGAGTTGGCCATCCCTGTAATGCCACCTCTCCAAAGTTTGCAAGTTAAGACGCCGCCTAGCACTCCTGTTCCGAACTGGCAAGCGCAGCCTATTCAATTTGGAACTTTTGAGCGACTGTCTCTCTTGGCAGCCCGCGGGGTCCCTTTGCACATCACAACTGCTTTGGGGCTGTAAAATGCATCGGAGCAAAGGAAAACCAGGGAGCTACAAAGGGCAAGGCTGCTGCCGTCTGCTCAGAGAGGCTGTGAAGACAGGACAAAAGTGGCTGCCGCTGCCGCCCGTCTTTTCTCACACGGGGTCGAGCGCCGGCGAGCTTTCTGTTTGACTGAATGAGCACACACGGCACTCGAGCACGAGGTTAGCCTGGAGGAGGTGCTCACAATAAACACAGCTGTCCACAGAGCACACAGACATGGGCTGTACCACTTCAGATGCAGGGGAGAGCAGCCACAGGTAGTTCCCCCTCCCTTCCGGGTCCCTTGGTCTAGGGAACCACCTCCTGGGTGTCTCTGAGCACAAAACTGATGTGCAAATGCATCTGGCAGGGATGCAGGCGAGAGGCACTGAGGCACCCTGAGCAGCCTGAGAAAATAGAGGGCTTGGTCCTAGCCAGAGGGGACCCACTGAGGGCGCTGGCTTAGCAGGTGCCCTCATCTTCCCGGTCTGAGCCTGACTCTTAAGAGGCAGACAGAGCACTGGAGGGGCCAGGAGGAGGTGGCTCGGTCCCATGGCTGCAAAACTCTTCAGGTAGGTGCCCCTTCCCCCCCCCCACATGTTTTCTTTTGTTTGGCTGAGCAGTTGTTTTTGTATTGTTCTTTGGAAAAGAGGTGGGAAATCCATTAGGGCTGCGCTGGAAATTCACCTGTCAGAGCTAGCAGCAGCCAGAGCCTCATCTTTAATCCAACCGCTCACATGGACACTGGGGGGTCGGGGAGGTTTGAAGTCATGAATTGCAGAGATGCAAGTTTGCCACAGGCTCTTTAGTCTTCTGAAAGCCGCCGGCCTTTTAAAATCAGAGTGGGTTCCCATTCTCTTCATACGTAAAAGTGGCTGATGGAATGAAGACACAGAAGGAGATTGGCGAATTAGAGCTTTCTGCTTCTGATGCAAGCAGCCAGGATATCTGAAGCCTTTGGAAAATTGCTGCTTCCTTGCTTTAAAAGTATCTGTACTTTCCCTCTACTCCTATAGTCTAATGTTGGAACATCCAGAAAAGAGAACCTATGTCTCACTTTCTGATCACATTCTTTATGTGGCTCGTCCTACTGCTTATTTAATGGATAATTGTCATTTGTAGAGCTTCTGGAATTTTATGTGACTTCCTTCCCTTTGAAATGCAATTGTTAAATGACTGAGGTAAAATAGCCTGCCTCTTATTTGCCATGAAATGCATAAGAATGAGAGAGAACAATTCTTACCTACCTACCTACACACACACACACACACACACACACACACCTTACTTGCGTCTTCCTATAAACAATTTGGTAAACAGCTCCAATTTTTATAAGCAGTTTTAAATGTTTAAACTGTAGCATTGTTGTGAGTAAATTCCTGTTTTGTAGTGTTAATTTCTCTGCCTTTTACTTCAGAGGGAGACCAGAATCTATGAAAATAAAATACAAACTTCACGGGACCCTCATTTACAGACATGGAGATGCTTAGTGTCACTTAAGTGTGCCCTCCCTCACTTTCATGGAATTCAATGCATCCCTTGCTTAAAACATTGATAATTGAATATTCATTATTTATATTCTTGCAAGCCCAGAAAATGCTGAAAACGTGTGAAGAATAAATAGAATGTGATGGTGGTGAGAGGAGTAAACCGAGAAAGAAAGCAAAATGTTTTCAAAGGCATCAAATATATCTTGTTTTTTCTTTATTCTTTGCATTACACCAGTGATCCTGCTCTGTTTGACATGTGTGGTTGCATGAGTCCTTAACCTTTGCTGGACCATGTCCTAATTTATTCTTTAGTAAGCAATTTCAAAGCACTCATCTGGCAGGCAGGATGCTACCCTAGCACGGGGGGGGGGGGTTGTTTTTGTTTTTCTTACAAAGTTTCTTCACAAAGTTTTCATACCGTTCAGATGTTAACATTTTTGCTATATTCTACACCTGAGAATACTTACTGTTACCTAGTTTTCAGCATGATGCTCTCGTATTTTCAGGCACAAATGCAATATTAATTATTTTAAAAGGATGGCTGAGGGCAATGTCCGATGAGCTAAGAGCTTTATGGAATATGGGATCATACGGGAGGCAGTCTTCTGTATCTGTCATAGTGTCTCCAGAAACTCCACCTGGATTTACAGCTTAAAGAATCAATAGCTGCCCCGAGAGCATTGATGCTACCATTCTCTAAAGAGCAACTGATGCTGAACACACATCCTCCTATATATCATTGTATGGGATCCACTTAACAGCCATCAGAACTAAGTGCCTCAACACGAGACCCCTGAGGGTCAGTGGACCCACGCAGAATTGGCAGGAATAGTTACCGGTGATGGCCATTGTGGCAGAGCAATTATTATGACAACCTGTAGGTTTGTGTTGTAACTGTAAACTTGGCCCAGGAAGTTACATTAGCACAAAAGGCTGGTTTGCTGCTATGGCACCAGTAACACAACTGCCATTCCATCACAAGGCCTCTTATTTTTCTCACAATAAATTTTCTCATTAATTTGTTTGAAAGGGGAGAGTTGGCACAGGCCAGGATTTAGGGATGACTTCACTGTAGACTCCTGCAACAATGGTTTTGGCTCAGCCCTATGCACGTTTTGTAGAATAGCAATTTTATAATTAACGATGATTGGCATGGGAACTTTTGCCTCGAGATGGAAGTGCGCATGATGCTGAAACTGTCACTTGAAGGCGCATGCTTGTGCAAAACCTTAAAACAGCTGGTGTGGGGGACGAGCCAGGATTACAGCATGGTGGGCTCTATCCATGACCACCATCTCCAGTTCTATGATCCGAATGAAGGTTCTTCCTCTCCCCCAGGCTGCTGTTAGTCCCAGAAAAGTGTTCCCATGGGCGCCACTTCTGTTACACTGGGAGCAAGTCCTTCTGGCTGCTCTTGTAACTGCACACAGAGAAGGGGCCACGGCTCAGTGGTGGAACATCTGCTTTCTGTGCTGAAGGTCTCCGGTTCAGTTCCCATCAACTCCACATAAGACTTGGGACTCAGCTATACAGCTGCAAATAAGTTGGTTTGAATATGTTGTAAAGTGCAATATACAAATGTGACACAAGATGGCGACCATGAGCTATGCCAAATTCAATGTATTTTTCAAAACGTGTTGTTTTTTTAAAGCATTTTCACAGCATTTTTTATATGTGTGTAGGTTCCACCTTGGAAGTACACAAGTAATCCGTCTCTTACAAGACAGGGAAACTAAAACTTTGCATGTGAACCCCCCTGACCCCCTTTTCTGGTTCTTTCACTTTCCTGTAGCAAAGTCTTATCTTTGGCTTGCAATTACATGCCTCTAGTCTCTTTCATGATCCATTTCTGCAACAGGAATTGAGTGGTCCAGGAAGAGGTGATGGGCTTGGCAGTGGAGGCATTACCAACCCTCTCCTTTTGGCATGTTTCTGCAGTGGCATTTCAAGCCGCGATGCTGCTTTTAACTCATTTATATTGTCACATTATCATTTAAACCTCTGTTGATTTACAAATAAATATCACAACTATGCAGCAGTGTGGTTATTGCTGGCTCTCTGGAACAAGCACACCAAGATTAGTCTATGTTAAAATTTTCCCCTAAATTAAGCCAGGTTATCAAACAAATGCAATTCTGTCTGCCCTCTCCGGTAAAGATCCCAAGAGTAGCATCACAAATCCATCCCCTCCCCCGAATACCTGTTTACCCATGTAAGACATATGAACATGCATATGTATGCATTGGCACACTAGGGAGCACCATGTTATCCTGTTTATCGCTCTGCCACAAAGTTGCCTGGCATCCTTCCAGCAGCCTTCTCAGAGCTTAAGTGAGCTGGCATCTACAGTAGCAAGAGCATGAATTACGAGCAGGAAATCTCCTTAAGCTCTGAGCTCACTGGGTGGCCTTAGGCATGCCCTCCTCTCAGTCTTCGCTTTCAATCTGCGAAATGGGGATAATAATGCCAGCACTTACAGGGGCGCTATAAGGATTACTGAGATACATGAGAAGCACTTTGAACATTTCAGGGGGGAAAGCACTATAATTAAACATTAGTGCATTATTAAATAAAATTGGTGCATGGGATGTGAGTCACATACGCTACCCTGGTGAGGAGAAGAAACTAGCTGGCAAGTATTTAAATGCTGTTTTCATGGCTTCCCTGGAGTAGATCCCTCTGGTAGATTTACTCACTGTTTAGGAACACTCCTGAGATGTAAATTATGTCTTGGGAGTCAAGTGGGTGAATTGCTATGCCATTGAGACCGAAGGCTAGGTAGTATTTAATTATAGTTTGTTCTCCATCCCCACTGCTTAGAGAGGAGGAGGGAAGTCTTTCTTCTGGGAACAAACTCCACCCCCCTCCCTCCCATACAATCTGCTGCACTGAGAGCTTTGACTCTCCAGAAGGAAATCTTAGCTCTGTATCCAGTGTTGCCATTTAATCTTCCCTGGAGGTCTAGTTAGTGCTTCTGAAGCTTGGGTTCAGATAAAAGCAACTTCTCCTTTACAGCTTGGGGGGGAAAGCTTATTCTGCTCCTGGGTTGCTTGGTGAAAGTGGTGCTGCTGTCCTTAAACAGAGGGCAGCATGGCACAATACGTTGGCGCTGCTTCGAGCTTGTGATTTTTGTTGATTTCACTGTAGATCCAGGGGCTGGAGAGATGCTGCGTGGCTTATAGGATTTATCTGGGAGATCAAAACCACAGACAGAAGCAGGAAAAAGGAAGGCCCATTTACAGGCACCCTGCTCCCCAAGTAAGTTAATTGGTGGTTTGGCTATTGCTTCCTATTTTCTGGTCATCTTCTCTGAAAAAGCCACTAAACTCCCATTATGATTGCTTTTTTGGCATTTCCCCTTCTAAATATGCAAATACACCTTCAGGGCCTTTTCAGGTCTGGATGAAAGATCTGCTGGAGATTATGGGAAGAATAAATAGGGAGGAGACAGGAAGAGGAAAAGAAGGTTTTGATTTTTCCTTCCAGGCACTATGGCATCATCACTTTTCATCCTGCCTTTCCTCCTCCTTTACAACAACCCTGTGGAGTAGCACTCAGGGATGATGAATGGCCACATGGCTAGCTCAGCAGTCAGGTGGGATGTGAACCAGGACCTCCCTGTACTGGGACCTCCCTGCATTACCATCACCACTGCCTTTGATTTCTCTGTGCCACCTTCCCAGCCTCCCTCCCTGCGTCCTCTGCCCATGTGCAGAGCACGCTCCGCTGGCTTCTACCCACCCAGAGGCCTCTTTCTAGCCTTCATTCTGGTTGATATTCTGCCTCCCCCCAGTCCCTCAATAAGCCTCTGATTCCCCGCTCTGCAAAAGCTCACATGGAGGCACTTTGTTCCTCGCCCCGATCTTATCAAATGTTACGAACTTTCTGGCTTTCACGCTGCTTCTACCCTGCCATGTTATACAAGGTTTTCTGAGAGCTCTGGACATTAGTGGGTAATGCATTTGACTAAGAAGCGCTTCACCTCCAGGGAAATACTAGGCTTTAATGCAGGTCAGCAATGATTGAACGCTGTAATCATCAGATGTCTGCTCTGTGGCCTATGCAGAATGAGGTTAATGTGACTACTCAGTTCCTGGTGGAATTGGCCTCACTGAGCTGGGAGCATGAGAAGGGGAGAACGGGATGCTTGCAGTGGTAGAAGGGGGAGGGAGCACCTTGAATGTGCCAACAACAAACTGGAGCTTCTGGGGCCTTCGATTCAGAATGTATATCCATGTTATTTTATAAACCCAAACGTTGCACCAGGGTTTTGTTTTGTTTTTTGTTTTAAATCAATGGATTAAATTATAAACTGGGCTAGGGAACCTGTGCCCTCTAGGTCAGACTCCAAAGGTGGTGGTTGGACTCAAGCTCCCTTCATCCCTGACCACTAGTCATGCTGGCTGGGGCTGATGGGAGCTGGAGTCTTGCTAATGCAGGTTCCCCATCCCTGTTTTAAACAGAGAAAACTGCTAATGACAAAACGGACAAGGCTATAGCGACACAGCAAAGCGAAGCCACCATTTACCCTACACTTGGATAAATAGCACTGGGAGCAGATTTGTGACCCTGGAGCTGGGCGGCCTCTAAGGAGTAGCAGCAGCAGCAGCTCTCCTTCCCTCCCTCATGTATGCTGCAAATTGAATTACTCTGCAAATTACGTAGCTTGAGGGAAACCTCTTGCAGCCGGGCAATTAACAAAAAGGCAGCTTTCCTTTCAGACCTGATTTGGAGAGAATGGAGCCCTTAAAAAGCCACCACTCACCCATTGTCCTGAGCTTGCCTACCCAGTCTGCTTTTGACCCCTGACCCTGGGATGTCAGACAAAAACAAGGGAAGGGGCAAGGTTTCATTTGTGCTTTTTGCAGCTGGAGTCTTCGGCGGCTCTGTGATGCTCACAAGCGAACGGCAAGAGCTGTTTGATGGTGGAACAGACTCCCACAAGGGGTGGTCAGGCTCCCCTTCCTTGGAGGTTTGCATTCACTGCCTTCCAACTCTACAGTTCTATGATTGTAATGTGGCTGTCGGATGAAAACATCTATGATAAAGAAGGCTTTACATATATAGCACTAGTTAGTGAGGCAGGAGGCAGGGTGGCCAACAGTAGGCTGAGCCAGGGCCAAAGACAGGCAGAGCAAACTAATTCTAATTTTGCCCCATCTTCCTCTGTCTGGGTTCTAAGAGCAAGGAGGTTGCTGGCAGCCAGAGTCAACCATTAGACTGTTTGTAAATAAGGAGGCAGGCAGCGGTTAAGTGTGGTGGGGCAGTGCCTCACTTGCCCTAATGGATCAGCCTTGGGATGACTGGGGAGCAGTCACACTCTGTGCAGTGTTAGAAACTCAGTTGCGCTAAATGGCACCTTAAACTTAGGTTGCGGTTGTCTGTTTGCCAGGGGGTTGGACTCTATATGACCCTTCCAATGCTACAGTTCTACGATTCTATGATCTCAACTACTTTGCTTGACTGTATCTTGCTCTTACAACAGTTCATTTGTCCCAGTATGCAAGAAGGAGAAAGACACACACGGTGGAAATGGAAATAGTATTAACTGTGGGCTAAGGCAGAAGTTTTTAAACTGTGATCTGAGTTCCATTTGGGTGACTTGTGGAAAGGCTGCAACGCAGTCAAATATATCTGCACTCAGCCCTGCACTGACTTTGCTTGATGGGATGATGGAGGACTAAGATGCCCAGCAAAGGGTTCATGGTTTGCACAGAAGAACAAGATGCTTGTCTTTTGCTGCACACAAGTTAGCTGGCTTGATGGAGATGTCAATTGCCAACCTGGTGTCCAGAAATCTCCACGTAGATTTCTGCAACTGGGCCTGCAATTGTGGGGAAATTAAACTCCCATTTACAGAGTTATGTGGAAGACAGCCTGGGGCGTTTGATCCTTTAATCACTTTGCTTTCCCCCAAAACTATCCAAGACACGCTCTTTTAAAGTTTAAACAACATAACTTGTACTTAATGTACTTGCAACTTGCAAACTAAAATACACAACACAGGTAGGTGTTAGCCTACATTGCTAATACATCTTACATATAAATACTGTTACTGACTAACTCTGAGACAGACAGCAGCACAACAGTTCAGCTGCTCTCACATGAAAGACTAACTGCCATAACTGTACCAACTGAAATAACTGCCTCGGGGTGTGTGACAGTACAGATTTCTATAGCCCTTGTGAGCATTAACCCGTTTACTTAGCATTTTGGGTGCTTCCATCCCACAAATTGGACCCGCGGCAGTAGCAAAGTGCGCCTGGGGAGTTCCGAACATTGCTGCATGGGGAAACTGATTTGTTAGCTGTTAACCGAAGTTCCAGATGGGAATACGGTTGGGTTTGTTTTAGAATACCTGGCCAGTAAGCATCATGCTCATGTAACTCTTGACGGGCCTCTTGTCTTTCCTGCAGCATTGCATGCGACACAGCACCCTCGTGCTCAGCCGGGCCACCCGTGTGGGCATCCGCACCCTTGAGGCTGTGCCAGCCCTTCAGCCGCCATGCCCTCCTGCTGCTGCTGCTCTTGTTCCCAGACCTGCCTGTGGCGTCTCCCAACCTGAAGCCGTCCTTGCCTCCCATTGTCCAAGAGAGCCCCTTTCTGGTGGCGTGGAATGCGCCAACCGCCCGGTGCTTGGCTGCCTACGGGGTGCCCCTCCGCTTGGACTCCTACAGCATCCTGGCGAATGCCCAGGAAGCCTTTGTGGGCAGCAACGTCACAATCTTCTACTACGACCAGCTGGGCTTGTATCCCTACTACTTGAACACAACGGTGCCGCCCACTGCCGTCAACGGCGGCTGCCCTCAGAACGCCAGCCTGACAAGGCACTTGGAGCAGATGGAGAGCGACCTGACGGCAGCCATGCCCTCCAGCTCCTTTGCGGGCCTCTCTGTGATAGACTGGGAAAACTGGAGGCCCCAGTGGGTCAGGAACTGGGACAAGAAAAACGTCTATCGGAACATGTCTGTCCAGCTCGTCAGGCAAAAGAATCGCCATTTGTCGGACGCCCAGGCCGAAATGCAGGCTAAGTGGGAATTTGAGACGGCCGCCCAGGAATTCATGTCTAAGACCCTGCAGCTGGCCCGCTCTCTCCGCCCCCAGGGCTGGTGGGGCTACTACCTCTTCCCAGAGTGCTACAACTACCACTATTTGGATAGTTTTGAGAACTTCACAGGGCACTGCCCTCCGCTGGAAGTGCAGCGCAACAACGAGCTGATCTGGCTCTGGGAGAACAGCAAAGCCCTCTACCCTTCCATCTACATGGAGGAGGCGCTGAGGACCTCTCCGCAAGGGAAGAAGTTTGTGTGGGCCAAAGTGGGGGAAGCCCTGAGAGTGGCGGAGCTGCCTTCTGTTCAACATTCCCTCCCTGTCTTTGTGTATGCCAGGCCGTTCTACACCTACACGCTGAAGGAGTTGTCTCAGGTGAGATACTTGCCCTCTTCCCCGCCCTTGCTCCTAAACTGCACACGTGTGTGTGTGTGTGTAGTGTCCATGCTTTGAGGCCCAGTAGATTTACTGCTCAGCAAGGTTGCTAACACGTCTGAGTCTTAGTTAGAGCTCTTGATTAATGGTAGCCAATGAAGGAAGCAGCCTTGTGGCAAAGAGGAATGGAAAAGAGATAAGGTGTTAGTTGATTTCTGAGTTTATCTCAGGACTGTGTGAGTTGCCACCAACTTCACTCCTGGCCATGGTGATGCAACCAAATAGAGGGTGAGAGGGCTATTGGGAGAGACCTTTGGATTAAAACACAATATTTATTGCAAACATTTCAATACCCTCTTCATCTAAAGTGACTCCACAATGAATGGCATCCTTTTTTTAAATGTAACTATTACGAGGGGTTGGAAGAGATGACACTTCCAATACACACACACACACACACCCCACATTCTTCCTTCACAATGTGAACATCCCTTCTCAACATACACTATTAAATCTGATACACATGGCACTAATGTTGAACATTTAATACCTGCACGCAGATTTCACACCACTTTACTGGCCATGCTTGCCGTGGTTTTCTTCCCCTCCAACTACGTTCCAATTAAGTGTGTCTGCGTGAGCAATTCTCAAATATTTTGGGCCCTGTGGCAGGAGTAGAGATCCATTAGGAATCTTGATTTTCTATGGTGGTGTAATACTCAGTCATAAAAATGTTTAAAATGTGTGTGTGTGTGCTGTGTTGGGAAATGCCATTCCATCTCTCTTCAGGACTGGAAATTTTACTGTTTTACAGGATAACAAAAACTGCTTCTGTTGCACAGAAAGTGAAATGGATTAGGTTTATGGTTTGACAATAAACTTTCTCCTACTCATGCTCCATGAAAACACACACACACACACACACACACACACACACACACACACACACCAGTCTTCCCTTACACTGTGCAGTGTCATTTGCATCAAGTGAGACTGATATTCCTGTCTAGCCATTTGAGCATCAGCAGTGGCCGTATTGGGCTGTATACAATGGTGCCATTCTGCTCATGCAACAGGCTTCTGTTTGCTCAATCGAACTTCCTTCTCCTTTCCTCTGCAGCCCCCGTGCACAATCAAAATCCACCCAGAGGACCTTCCAGAGCATTTGGGGGGGGGGCACGTGCAGCGAGAGGATAGGATGTCCTATTGTGTTGAGCAGAGTCCCATTATTGCAGCACTGGACACAATCCACAGCTTGGGTGTTTGTTCTTGACTATAGCAGGAATAGAGGATATCCAAACTGCGAGCGAATATCAGATTCCTGGTGGTCTTTGCTTTTAATTCAAAAGGAGATGCGATCCAGAAGTTGCCAGCAACTCGCTTCTCCATGGGGGCAGTACCAAAGAGAAGGCAGCAGTGGAACATGGTGCCCTTGCTAAAGCTTTAGTGAATAGTTGGGAATTGCTACCAATACTCTTGGCCCTCCTTTCCCAGCCCTTGCTGCCTGTACTGACCACTTCTGAAAAACATGCATTAGAGGGCTTGATTTCATACAAGTAGTGTGTGAATTGCCTGTAAGTTTGTCGCCCTCATGGTTGAACAAAGAGAAATACTGGTAAATGTCTTGAAGCAGGGTGGCTAACCAGGACCTGGGCCCTCCAGATCTTATTGGATTACAACTCTCATTGTACTGACCACTGGCCATGCAGGCTGGAGTTGAAGTCCAACAATATCTAGAAGGCTTTGTCCCAAAGCTTCAGAACGAGAAGTCAAACCCGGATTCGTAACTGTGTTTATTCAGTTGAGCATCATGATTTATACTCATGTAGAAGCTCCCTTTCTTTATAAGCCAACTGACTCAGATCTTTGTATGTATGGGGAACAGTTCTATGAGAAACGTTATACCAAATATATTCTGGTGCCCGACGTCCACCAAAAACGACTTAGGTATTTACCGTAAACTTGCAAATTAATGTGTGTTGGTTTCTGTTGTTCTAGACAGACTTGGTGTACACCATTGGGCAGGCTGCAGCCATGGGGGCTCACGGCATTGTACTCTGGGGAGACGCAGAGTATTCTCGCAACCGGGTAATTTTAATAGCAGGCCTTGAGGCTGCTTTTCTTACTCATTCTTTTCTTTCATCTCTGTTGTTTATTGTTCAGCATCAGGTGATGGGCAAAGGGAGGAAGCAGAGGTTCTACTTTGTATACTGGCTACTTAAAAGACTAGCAGAGAGTACCATGGGGTATTTAAAATGTTCTAACTTCACACACTGCTGCTTGCTCTTCTATATGCACATCTGCAGATACACAAATTCCTTGCATGTTAAAAAAAAAATGTCAGGGAGAAGGTTTCTAGACTAGTCTTTTCCTTGACATCCTAGCTCCTGATATGCAAGGGGTATTTAAAAACAACAACAACCCTTTTCCTACAGTCTGAAATGCTGCACCCCGATACAGATTTGTCACTGTCACGAGAACTTTTGGCCTAGACATTGGTATGCAGCCAGTGTTCAGGTGCTATATTTAAGTTACAGAATGAACTACAAAACCTCTCCTGTAACAGACCCTCCTGTGTAATGCTAAGGGAATAATTTTAAGGCAGAATCAACCCCTTTGTGAGGATTTTGTGGCCTCGGTCCTGTATACCTGAAGGAGCGTTGCGCCCCCCCCCCGCATTGTTCAGCCTGGACACTGAGATCCAGCACCGAGGGCCTTCTGGCGGTTCCCTCATTGCCAGAAGTGAGGTTACAAGGAACCAGGCAGAGGCCTTCTCGGTAGTGGCGCCTGCCCTGTGGAACGCCCTCCCATCAGATGTCAAAGAAATAACCAACTATCCTACTTTTAAAAGACATCTGAAGGCAGCCCTGTTTAGGGAAGTTTTTAATATTTAATGCTGTATTGTTTTTAATATTTGATTGGGAGCCGCCCAGAGTCGCTGGGGAAACTCAGCCAGATGGGCAGGGTATAAATAATACATTATTATTATTATTATTATTATTATTCAATTCCACAGGACCCCAGCCTCAATTAGGACATTTTAAGTGCTAGTCAAATAGGAATAAACAAGTCCCCAATGCAATCAAATTCCAGTATTTTCTAATAGATTTATTTAGTTTTGCATCACAGACTTTCTCTGGCGTTTGTAGCTCTCTATTAACTCTTGTAATAACTGTTTCCCTCACAGACCAACTGCTTAAAGATTCAGGACTACCTGAATAGCACTTTAGGCCCTTATATTGTCAACGTGACCACGGCGACCAAACTTTGCAGCCAGAAGATCTGCAACAGCCACGGCCGCTGCGTTCGCCGATGGATGGACTCGGACAGCTACTTGCACCTCAGCCCTGACACCTTCCAGATCCTAACAGTAGCAGAGGGCAACCAAACCCGAGTGCTGGTGAGGGGGCAATTGAGACGTTGGCAGGAGGACAAAATGAGAGAAGAGTTTGTGTGTCACTGTTACCAGGGCTGGAATGGAGAGCGCTGCTCTGCCCGGGGGCGGGGCTTCTGGCTGCGAACAAGTGATTGGTTAATTCTTGGGGTGCTCCTGTCCACACTGTGGGGGTGTTGTTTGTGAGCCATTTGGACCAGTTGTGATACATGTGGATTTTTTGTGTGAAGCCCACAGGGGTGAAGTGGATCCCATGACCCTCTGCATATTGGTGAGAAGGGAAGACCAAGACAAGCATGGTTTTTGGTGACAAAGGTGTTGTGAAGTGATCTGTGGCTCCCACTGATGTTCCTTCTCCTTGTTGTGTTTCTCTGGAAAAGTGAGCACATATGGATTTTACCCTCCAACAACTTCCATGACCTATGCAGGATTCTATTCTTCCAACACACTGAAGATTTTCTTTTAAAGTTTTGTAATTCTCTTCACCAGCATAGCTGCAGCTTTAATATTCAGCATTGCATATTTTCCTAAACTGTGACAAGAACAGTGGTTTTCTAATTGTTTTTTTTTAAAAAACAAAAGTTAATTCAGTCAGGATCTGATATTTATAACAGTTAAATAATGGCACAGTCACCTTTAACAGCACTGTACTGTATTTAAGCAGATTATTTATACAGAAGAAATTTCCTACTTGAACCAGATAGGAGTCCTCCAAATGTGATTGGTACTGTTTAACTGATGTGTGTCTGTCTGATGTGCGTTTGTATACGTCAAGCTACCTCTCTTATTAAGCGGGGGCAAGATTAAAAAAACTTTTTAAATTAAATATTTTTCATGTGACACAGATTGACCTAGCATTTCAATATTGTCACCTACTGAAAGCCATAACCACCACTGTTCAAGATCAGTGGCTCTCAGACGTCCCCCCTTACCACAAACCCATGAACCATGTAAAAATTGGGTGCATGGAGGTTCTTGACAGACTGTAAGAGTAGTCTTTGTTTTCCAACTGCGGTGGATGCGCCTGTTTTTCTGAGCGAAGTTCTGTACTCTCAGGTGTCATGTTTGTCAGCTGTAATCTCAGGTCAAAAGCCTTAATCTCAGTCGCCACAAAGAATAAATCAATTGCAGAGCCAAATACAGATACTCTAAACTGTTTGACAACCTGAATGGAGTTTGTGGAGCACCAGATGAGAAACTATGATCTAGACTGGGGTGGGCCACCTGCAGACCTAGCCTAATTCCAAAGGCCTTCTGCAAGAGAACCAGGTTAGACTCCTGGTAACAGCAATCTACTTCTCCGGCAGCCAGCTGAGCAGGGAGAAAGGGTGGAAGAAAAGAAGTGGTTCTTCTCCCCTGCTGGCTTCAGCCCTGCCCACAGCTGCCCTGCTTCCCTGAACACTTACCTGTAAGAGAATGCAGCCCTCAATAGCAAATGTTCCCCATCTTTCCTGTAGGGATGGGGATCGTGTAGTCCAGAAACATTTGCAGGGCCACAGCTCTCAAGATCCATGATCATTCACCATGCTGGCTGGGGCTGATGAGACTTGTAGCTCATCAACATCTATAGCAGTGTTTTCAGGAGCTGCTGCCACCGCCATCGCAATCTCTGTGCATGGTGTTAACTCAAATCTAGAGTCACAGGCACATAGCTCTAATGTTGCAGGAGAAGCACAGACACAGCTCCCTTCAGCAGGTCCTCTCCTGGTTTTATCAATTCTCCCCCTGCCCAGGCCCAGCCATTTTTGTCTGTACTATGCAGCAGGGATGGGAGCAGGAACAAAACAAAGGGTCATGAAAAGGAGGAGTGAGTGGAAGGATCTTTGCTGCTACCACCTTATCCTTTGGTCCTGGACTGCTGCTACATATAGGAAAAGAGGCAGAGGGGGTGGGCAGTAAGATGTTCCCCCAAGCATCAGCCGCAAGATTGATCTAGATAGTGGAACCTTGTGGACCTCCAGATGATTAAAAGCTGCAACTTAGATTTACACAATATTTGATCATCCATTTAAGCCATGATGGGAGAATAGTAACACATGAAAGATGGCCTGGGAAATGCTGAGATAGCAAGCATTCACGTTCATCCCATCGCTAGCGCTTCCATTTATTTTATTTTTGGTTGGTTATACGCCATGTAGTTTTCAGTATTCATTCAGACGTTGAAGTAGTTTCTCCACCTGCCTTAACAAGTCAAACTTTTCTGTCCTATGCTTATGAGATCAAAAAAACAAAGGATTAGACAGGAGGTCCAATCCTAGCTTCCACTTTTAACAGGCATGGGAAGGGGAGGGGCTTACCACACCTTTTGATCACAATTGCCAGGGAAAGTCAGGTGTATATTTTCCAACACAAGGCCAAAAAGGTATGTTCATTTCCTTGCTGGCACTGATATACAAACATCATCAAATGAATTATTCTTCCATTTCCTGGATTTTGCAAGAATACATTGCCAAAGCTGGGAAAGGGGTGGGGGGGACCCATTACAAGGCTGGCATTCTGGGACATGATGGTGTGCGAGTGTAAAACCTGGTCAGAATACAGAAGTTGTGTTTATCCCTGCATTAGAAGACAGCAGACTCCCCCCCCCCCTTAGAGAGCATCTGTCCCCTGTAATCATGAAAAATGGTTCCAGGGCCTTATAAACCAAGGATAACCAATTTATGTAATCTAAGGGGAACATTATTTTCCACGAGATGGAATTAAAATTTGTTATGAGTCCAGGCTGTCTTGTGGATAAAGTCTTCAAGCAACTAGGTCATTACCTACAAGACCCAAAAAGACTGAGAATGGAAGGTTTTGCTAAATACCAATAGGATCAAGATGCAAACATCTGGTGTGTGTGTGTTGCTTAAAAACAAACAAACCAGGCAACATACCTGTGTCTTCAAAGTTTGAAGTCCATTCATTTGCAAAGCCACCTTACCTCCTTCCAGTGCTCCAGCTGAACTGATTGATATTCAGAGTTACCTTCAAAAGCAAGCTAAGCAGCACCAAAATCTACCCAGTAGGCAATGACTGCCATCTCCTTTTAAGCACCGAGAGACCCCAGGAGAGAGACTGAGAAAGGCATGGAGGCGCTCATGAAAAGAAGGCGGCACCCCCAGTTACAGCCAGAATACAACCAAGGCATGCAGCATCAATGAAAACAAGAGTCTGAATCAATGGGCAGGAAGACCTGACTGCGCACAAGCCAGCACTTGCTGTTTTCTGGAACTGGCAATCACATTCCTTTGGCTCTGGCCCTCCCACAGAGTTGCAGCGAAGTTAACGATTATACACTGCTGGTTAAGTTTAGAGCAATTAGGTGATCTTACATGCTGCCTACAGACAATATCTCCCTTTTTATGAGGGGTCTGCATTCCTGCCTTTGCTCCGACTTGTCCCTTGCACATTCCAGAGACACAAACTTGTATTCTTGTTGTCAAGCTGGCTACCGCAAACGCTTACGGAAAAGGCTTGACTAAATTAGTACAGTGACCTTTACCTAGAAACTGAACACATGCTTATCGGCTGGGGTTGATTCATAATTTACACACCTGCTTGCTACACACACACTGGGGTTTGCAAGGCTGAACACCAATCTAGAAAACAGGCCACTATGACACACATAATAGTTTACAGGAAGTAGGTAAAAGGGGGGGGGAAATATTGCATGAAATGAGCCCTCAAAGACCCATGGCCAAACTGGTGTGGTAAGAATGTGGGCTGAAAATAAACTGGGTTGAGTTGCAGTCCTAGCAAAGCAGTTGGTGGGTAGCTTTGCTATGAAGACACCTTGCCACTCAACCCATATTTCTTATGGCCTCACCTGCCAGACTTGCTATCATGTGCAGAACATGTGAACTTCTGTGTCTTCCTCCTAGTGTCCCCCTCACTCACCTCAATGTGTCAGAATGTCACATCAAGCTTATTAAAGAAACCCTCATCCTATCACACCTATGATGAAGTAGACTGTGGTCTACAGGTGCCTAAAACTAGTTAGCACTAGCATTCTCAGCACTAAGCTGTTCTTAGTGCTGAGAATAAAGAGATTCAGAATGAAATTGATCTCATACAGGAACAAGAACAGGATCCATAACTGTGTCCCATTATGTGCATGGCAGCTCTGGCTTGATTTTGGGAACATAAACAGGATTCATATTATGTATTTATTTATTTATACCTCACTCCCCCCCCCACCCCCCAAATGGGACTCAGGGCAGCTTATAGATAAAAACAAGAATTGCTAAAAACAGGGGGGGGGGACTATCATTAAAAAACAATTAAACATGAATAGAATTAAAACTCGATAGATATATAAAATTGGTTTTAAACATACGACTAATCACAACACAAAGAACACAACACCAGCCCTTTCATTAAAAGCAGTCAATTCCGCAAAACCTGTTGGAACAAGGTCTTCCATTTGCTAGCGGAAAGACCGCTAAGAGGGAGCCAGTCTACCTTCTCCCTCTGGGAGCAGCCACCCAGATTACATGGGTGAATGCCTCCTTCCACTCACTTAGGAATTTACCCTACTTATTACAAAATTCACAGCAAATAGAACTACTCGTCCTCAAGATCTCTCAGAGCAGGAATACGCACCAAAATGTCAAGTTTCAGCTATTGTTAAGTACACTTGGGGTCAAGTGTGTACATTCTATTTCAGAGGAATATTCTTCCTCCTCATGCTCTTGCAAAACACCTACTCTAACTTGGGCAAGTTGCTCTCAGCCTTGAGCGCATGCTGATGATGAACAGCTTTTCTATGCAGTAAATCAAAGGGATATTTTGTGATTTTCCTGAGCAGCTGCGAAACAACAAAAGAAACAGATCTCACATTTCTCTGCTTGCTGTACACTTTGCTGTGCTGGAACCAGCCAAGAAGGCAGAAGAACATCAGCAACATTCTCGAAACGAGTCAGTAAACTGAGTGGCGACAGAGTTTGGGAGATGGGCTGTTAGAAGCAAATGGAGCACCATCTCCCTTTGGTGCACGGAAATAGCCACCGGAAGTACCACCTCAGTACCACCAATGACTGAGTCTCTGCCAGGTTGCGGTCTTTGCATAGTGCACTTTCAAGTAGCCAACACAGGGCTGGCAGCTGCCTCAACCTACTAAAGAAATACACAAAAACCAACTGTTTTAAAAATACTTTTTATTTTTTAGAAAATACAGCATTCAGTACAGTGTGCCCTGCCTCCCCCATAATCTACAAATCCACATCATCACCGAGTCCAATCAGGAATGTGCATTTCCTAAGTTTCTCCAAACCTCTGGTGCTCATGTTAAGATTCTGCGTGCTGTTAGTGTGAATAAGGTAGTGGTAGTTTCTGGCCTGCTCGTCACTGTGGCAAGTTACCGTCAGGTGACGGCTGCAAAGAACTCATTACTTTTACCACGCTGTCCATTGGCCCTGCCTTTCAGCCACTACAGCTAAGCACCTGCTAGAGCAGAGTGTGCACTAAACCTATCACAGCCTCCACTGAGCATGTGCAGGAATACTCTACCGTTCTTCAGTAGCAGCATAGTCTTAACGCTCTATGGGCTCCTGCCACTTTGGGGCCCTTCAAAACATTGCCCCTGGGCTTCCATATAGCGCCAAAACGATTCAAGTCAAAACAAGTTCCAAATGAGAGCACAGCAACTACCTTGGCCACCATAATGATGCAATATTAGTGGGCCCACTAAAATAAACTGAAACATTTTAAAAGGGAAGAAACCATGTCTTCTGTTTCTCTGACTTGACTCCTAGATGGCAAAATTATGACGTTATCTTGACTCATTGATTCTGATCCAGCCTAATAAATTTAGAGAATGTTTTAGGGGTGGGAAATGATTTCCACAGGCAGATATACCTGAGGATACCCATGGGAGGAAGGATATCCCATGCTCAGAGTAACATTCCTCTCCAGCTTAGAAGTGTTCCAGTGCTGGGGTGTTTCCTCCAAAACAGGTAAGGTGTGTGTGGGGGGAGTTTTCTATTGTGCAGATTGGATGGATACTTGTGAAGGATGGGGTGCGGGAAGGCTGGATATTTATGGGATTGTCACATAATTGTGATCTTCATCCAGCATGGCTGATTTTGAAAGTCTTCTCGTCACCTCGGAAACAAGGGTTACCCCTCCATAAAAGAGAGAAGCTCCAGATATTTAGATCACATAGTGGAGTAACCACAGGCACCAGTCATGTTCATGGGTCAGTGGGTAGGCGGTGGGAGACACAACGATTCTGTAACTAGTCTCTCTGAAATCCTGAGATTTGGCCTTTAGTGTTAGTGGAGAGGAGAAAATGAGACAAGAAAGGGAGTACTGAGATGTAGGCTACCAATTCTCTCTTTTTCCTTCATGGAAGTTCTGATAGGTCCTTAAATTATAACTGATCACGCACTTGAGGTTGCTGATTGGACCATCACCATTACATGGTAATGTTCTGAATTAATACAGCAAAAGAATAGATTCAGACCAATCTAATGGAGTCCAAATATCACACAAGGCCAAGCTAGGTCTTGGTTGCTTTAGCCACCAAATTCCTTTGGGACATGTTGTGGGATAATGAACATGGGGCTAATCCATAAAATACAACATGGCAGAGAACATGTCAACAGTGACCTTGCTAGACAAACTTAAAATGGAATGAAATCCTTGTTTTATTAATCTTTGGCAGCGGTGGGGATCCCAAAGAAATGTATCCTCTGTGACATGCTGGTTACCATCTTCCAGCTACAGAATGGAAAATGCATCTGAGTCAGCAAATGCTCACATCTGGATGTCCCTTTGCTTGGGGCCTTGGGTAGATGCTCTTAAAAATGTTGGACTTCTTGCACATTCCTGAGGGAATGGGATGACAGAGGCACCAGTATGCATTATCTCAAGACAAGAAAGCTTTTCGCTGATTCACTATGTCTCACAGTGGCAGTAAAAATGCCCACAGAGGGTGGCAACATCCAGAAGCACATGAATGAAAGCACAAGTGGGCTAGATAACCCCACACGTGCATAGCACACTCCACCTAGAATGCAGACTCGCCCCACAGGATTGTTACCTGGAGGTGGGGGGTTAGGGATAAGCCAAATAATGGCGGCTGGGGAGCCTAGAGCAGGGACAGCCAGTGTGGTGTCCTTCAAATGTTGTTTGAATGCAGCTCCCATCATGCTAGCAGGGGCTGATGGGATTGGAGTTTGACATGTGGAGTGCACCAGCTTGGCAACTCCTGGCCTAGAGTTGTCAACAGTTAAGGTGCTCCAGGAACAAGAATTGGGGGTGGAGGAGTGAGACAACCTACCACTGCAGTCCCTGAATGTAGCTTGACAGTTTGGGTTTTGGTCACAGAAAATATAGGCAAAAGAGAGAGGAAACCCCCAGTAGAGGATTTCATTATCCCTATTTGAATCTGAATCCTGTTGGCTGAACATGACATGCTGAGCTAGGCCAATCTTTTAACCTAATCAATGTCTTCTTATCGCTACATACTGGAAGCAAGGCCTGCTGCCCAATGTGGAGGAAATTCTTAAAAGTTAGAAGAAACTGTCCTTCCAAATCCTTCCAGCATACCTCTCAGGAAAATAAAAAGATTATAGGAGAGCTAAAATCTAGGTTTCTCCTCTGAAATTATGGCATGAGCTGTTGTGTATTTTTTAAATCATTTTTAAAAAGCCAGATACTTGAAACTGCCCTAGGGCAGTGTGCTTTGAACTTGGAGAAACCTGCCCTTCCTTTCTTGAATCGTAGGCCCAAGTCCCAGCTGTTTCCACCATGGGAATGAGCGAGACAGAGAAAACCCAGGCTCTTTCCTTCACAACTGTTGCAGCATTCTTTGCTGCTTAACTTATCTGCCTCTTCTGTAGACTTCAAAAGAATACACTGACTTCATAAAAGGGGGGTGGAGGGAGGGGCAGGGAAGAAATCACGATTCAAAGCCATCAAGCTAACACCACACAATTGGCTATGTAAGAAAAGAAAAAAGAGAAAAGGGAGGAAAAAAGGCTTAGCATTTGTGTGGAGGTTGTTTGTTTTTTATGAGACACGAAACAGACCACTAAGAAGCTCCCCAGGGGTCAGAAGGAGAAGTTTAATCATGCACGTTAAATTCAGTGACCCCCATGGAATGAACACATCGTCATCTACTACAATGGTTTTCAGAAGTCCCCAATCTGGGTCACGTTGCTGGCTTGAGCTGAGTCAGGGCCTACTTCTACTCTTGCATTCAGAGCGGATTGAGAAGACTTCCACCACCACCACCACCACCCCTGGCAATGCAACTGCCCTTCCGTCATGAGCTGCTCCAGCCCCCCTGCACATGGGTAACACCGTCACACCAGCAGCTGCCCCTTCCTTCCACCTGGTTTACATGGATCTGCAGCAATCATTCTGGGGCACAGAACATTCCCGCCATGGTGAACAACATCTGTCACGGGGAAAGTGCATCCCATGAAGAAGACAAGCCGTTCAGCATTCAGCATCCTTTGAAAGTGCCAATATTCCCTTAGCTTGGCAAAGCTTTACTGTATAGCTAAGGATCAGCGTGGTTTTGCATCGTAACCTACAGGTGCCAGTGCAGGTGTCACGATTGAGGGAGGAGGAGGACGACACCTGAGCAAATGCGTCACTGGGCCAAGGAGCCCAAAGGCTTCACAGCCGACAGCCAGCTGAATGTAACATTTGGAACCATCTAGCTTGAGAAAAGGCAGTTCCTGTAAGTCAGAGCAACAGCTAGGTAAGTTGATGCGGCCATTTGGCTGGGAGCCAATTGCAAGGTGAGGCGCTGGTGTGGCAACGTGTGGTAAAGCATACCAGAGCTATACATGGAGGTGACATGAAAGAAAGAAGAAGTGGCAGCCTTAAATTAAGAATGTCAAGCAGCCAACCAAGAGGAACTGGGCAGGGATTGCACTTCCTGATTTCTAATTGCTCTCGTCTTCTCATGTGGCTGCAACAGTGTGAGGCAATGAGCCATCAAAGTGAGGCAGAGGAGGTTGGGGGAGAAACAGCTTTACAAAACTCATAAAAGTGGACAGTGAAATCCAGGACCTGTATGGGTGGATTTGTGGTGCCACAAACAAGGCTACCTGGTAAGGCCTGGAACTGGACCCAAGCTTCTTCACTGGTGAAATGAGAGCCACTGTCAGAAACAGATGCCTCTCCCTCAGCTGCCTGGAGATGAACAGCTTTTCTTCATCCAAACAACACACCTGTGTCGTTTGAGCAAATCCCACTAACCTCTAGCACCTCCCCCACCAACTCCATGGTTTTAAACAAAAAAGGGGGAGGGAAGATCCTGCTGCAGTGTTAATCCCTGGAACACACTCCTTAAACCTCAAATAGTGAGTACTGAGTCAACTCCTAGGCAAACTTGCCATCTTGGTAAAACATGACATTAATGGTATGGGAATTTCCAAAGACTATTGATGAACTGTTTTGTAACAGTGAGAGAAAAGGCATTTGGAGGGTTTTTTGTGGGGGGTGAGGGGTGGGTAGAGTTCTGATCTTTGCGTGTGAATACCCCACCCCAGATAAGTGGTGAAGAAAATCCTTTGAGTGGTGCCGTTTCCAAGTAAACCAGGTCACAATATGAAGCAGTAAACAGGAGCATCAGTTTTAAAGAGTCATTTCAATCTAGAACAGTTATTGTTTCCCCCCATCCCAGGATTTACACAACGACAGAGCAAAAAGGAAGAGAAATGGCTTGGAGGTTCTCTCTCTTCCTCCCTGCCCCCAGATTCCTACCCTCCCTCCCCCTAATGAAACCAGGTGGAGACGACTTTGAAAGAAGAGATGGAGGAAACAGCTCTGGAGTTCGGTGGACAGGCTCAGATGCAGAGAGGTGGATTTGGTTGGAGCTGCGATTCCGGAGGCTGGTAGGCACCCGCAGCCCCTTTCCTGACCCGTCCTCCTGTCCACGAGGGTTTAACTGTCTTCACCATTCTCGCCTGGTCCTTTGATAAGTCGCTTTTGTCCCCTCTTTCCCACAGGCCCCTTGGGTTTGGCAAAGGCCTGCTTGAAGGCATGCTGCTTGGGGTGGACCTCATCATACAGGAACTCTGCTGTCAGCTCAGCTCCATCATCAATTTCAATCTGGCAAAGAGGAAAGAGGAGATGCAGTCCTCTGCCTTGGCCTCTGAAAACACCTACATCTCAGATGAGACAAGGACTGTCTTCCTCGTAATGCCACTCTTACCTCCCTCGTCCACCTCTTTCCCCAAAGTCATTTCTACCATCCAGCAGCAACTCTAAAATGTTGCTTCCAACCAGATCTACTTTTCATCTCCAGAATCTGAGTATCACAGCTCCTCATCTGAGCAACGAGGGTTTCATCATTTCGTAGGTCAGCCATGCAATTTTGAAATTTCTCTTGGCCAAGAGTTCCTTCATTCCTCCCCCACTGTGAGAACTATCCAGTTATTCCTATTCTCTGCTTCCTTTTCCTTAAGCCGTTACTCATCTAAGAGAGGACCTGTCCTCTCATCCCATGACTGCAAAGAACTCTTCTTTCAGATGCTTGGTAATTCTATCCTTAATAATGGTTTCCACCAGTTTCCCCAAAACACAAGTTAAGCTAACTGGCTTGTAATCCCTTGGATCCTTTTTTTAAAAATCAGCAATTTTCCAATCTGCAATCTGTTCTTAGGGACAAGGCACAGTTTCCTTAGATGGCCAGGATCTGACCTACATCTTCTGCTGGGAAGACAGATGCAGCTGATTCATTCAGCTTTCCTGCAGTCTCATTTTCCTTCTTTAACACATATTTGACACCCTTGTCATCCAAAAGCCCAACTGCCTCTCTAGTTGATCTTTTGCTACTAAAGTATTTAAATATTTTTTTAATGATTGGTCTTAAGGTTTTTAAGACCAACGTCGGGACACTTCCCCAAGTTATATACTGGGTCCTGAGGAATTCCTCCGGAAGAATCTTCATCTACTGTCGCACCAGTCCTTCACACCATCCACAGCTTCCAGCGTCCATATGGAAGGAGGAGGATTTCATCAAATATAAATTTAAGGGTCAAGGGGTGGCGGCAGCCTAGACTTACCTTCTTTGCAATCTCTAGGCAGAAATTTTGTTCCACAGAGTCAAGCAGTCGGCTCTTGCAGCTGGAGTATAACATGCGCTCCTTGATGCTACATTTGTAACCAGGCATGGAGTAGATAAATACTGCAAGGAAGAGAAAACAGGGCAATCAGTCATCCCTGGGCCCAGCCATGATTAATTCCACAAAACTATAGGGAGCAAAACCATGCATGCAACAACTATAATGGAAGCAAGTGCAGAACACAAAGAGTAGGAAAAAGTTTTGCAGGCGAGCATTTTCCTTTTCATGTACTGTATTGTTTCTAAAAGCTCTAGCATTGGTTATATCGGAATTCTTTGCACTAAACCAGTGATGGCCAAACTTGACCCTCCAGCTGTTATGTGACTACAACTCTCATCATCCCTAGCTTACAGGACCAGTGGTCAAGGATGATGGGAATTGTAGTCCCAAAAGAAGCTGGAGGGCCAAGTTTGGCCATCACTGCACTAAACCGATGGCTTATGAGGCTTCTGGCACTGGAGAAATTGCATGAGCAAATACATATCATCAGAAAGGACTTAACAGACACATTCTCACGGTTCCCCAGATTCATGGACAGAAGAATCTGCACTGGTGGGGAGAACCCTTTGATACATTCAGAAAATAAATTCCTATGCCTGTCTAGAGGGAGGGAAGGAAGGATGAATGAATGAATGAAAGAAAGAAAGGACAGGCACAGATACAGAAGCAAAATTCTGGTCTGTAAAAAAAACAAAGACAAGGCTGTAGATTTGGCCAGAGCTTACCAACTGACTCCAGATAATCTCCCTCGTGAGAGTGCTTATACAGGAAGAAGTGGTAACGGGCCGAATCCTGAGGAATTCTTTTAGGCAGGTCTGCTATCTCAGTGGCGTTGGTGTGGACCAAGTCTATGGTCTCCCGTTCCAGGTCCAGCTTCTGTATAAACAAAGGCAAGAGGACACAGTTCAGAACAACATTTGGCTCGGGGGAAACCAAGAGCCTTTGAACAAGCAGGGCTTGCACAGAAGTCCAAGAGATGTTCAAAAGGCCAAACTGAATAGTGAAAAATGGACTTCTCACCAGCTGGATGTAATTGATCTTCTTCTGTTTTAGTAACCGGATGGCCTGCTGAGCTTCTGGCTGCAAAGGAAAAGCCAGTCCCTGGAGGGTCTGGTGTTTGCTTTCGACGCTGATTTCAGTCTTGACCTGTTTAACAGGGGTGGGGATGGGGGAAAAGGAATAGAGGTGAAATGAAGGAAGGAGGAAAGAAACAAAGGTGACAGCAAAACACAAGCCATGCTGCTGGGACTCGGGGCGCTCAGAAGCTGATGCACCCTGGAAGGGAAAGAGCCTGTGGCAAGGGGCTGCTAGCAGCTGCCATGGCACATGGGGATGGAGCCTGTCCACAATGCTGGACCAAGGAGAGGACCAGTGGAGAAGCCTGGTGCCCTGCTCCCTAGACTGAGTCTGGAGGCCAGAAGAAGAATCCTGGGGCAGGATTTGCATTGAGGCACTGGCAAAGTTTGCTTTCAAAACACCACCACCAGGTTTGGTAGGCAGTTGCAAGCAGGGGCGCTTCTCAGTACCTAAAAAAACCCTCTGGGAAATGGAATATGAAATAAATTTGTGTGTGCTCTATATATGCACAAATTTAGGTCTCTGAGCAAATTAAGACGGTGAGTGGCTGGGGTCTCACCAGCACTGTGCTTTGCAATAAAAGCAAAGTTTAAGTTGAGGAAAGGGGCAGAAGAAATGGGGCCCAGCACAAAAGACCCAGAAATCAGGCTCCCTGAGCTAGCCCCTAACATTAGACCAGCTGAAAAGAAAAACACATGCAATCCCTCCCCAATTTTTGGTCAAGTGTATTCCATAGGTTCCGAATAGAAGCATTCATTGAAAACCAAATTGTACATCTGTTCCGATCTTTATCCAACCCCTCTCCACCACACACACCATATTCTTTTGTACCTGCCCATGTTTTATCTTGTTTTTAAATCAGAGAAGGTTTTTTGTGGAGGAGTGGGACAAGATTTACAGAGGAGAGAGAAAGGAAGTTTCTCATTAGATTTATGAAATTGGTTAATTGTTGCAGTTCAAATGTCACATTTTTAAAAAAAATAATAATTAAAATACAGTCTTAAGAAGGGGAAATGTTGTGACTAATTCTGGCGACTTTGGTGCACTAACACACACACATCCTCGCAGTCTTAGCTTAAAAATAATAATAATAATAAATTCATTCCAAAATAACTGCAAGTGGCTGTAGACCACAGCCTTATAAGGCTTTGCACAGTGTCACCAGAGGAAAAATCATTAGCTTTTTGCTTCCTGCTTTATAGAAGAGCAAGAAATAGGTCACACGCTTCATTGAGTAACTATCAATATTTCACTTTCGTTCTTGATAAAGGAGTGAAAGCGAGGCTTTGCTTTTTATCATGAGAGAGAAATGTCATTTTCCAGTAGATGAAAAATTATTAAAATCCCAGCTCTGCCCATATATAATTTGGAATATATTAAGTATCAGAATAAGGAACTGGTCTGTAGAAGAATCCATGAGTGACACAGTTAGAAAGCCGGAAATGTGGAATGCCTGAAAATAATACTACTTAAAATAGATCATGCTGTATTATTTCAGGAGTAGCCAGTTGGGTCACGCTGGCTGGGACTGAGGAGAGCTGGAGTCTAGCAACATCTGCAGGGCACCTTGTTGGCTACCCCTGTATTGCTTACTGCAAAGGAGGCAGAGAACCCAAAACTACAAGACAAACTTGTGAAAACGCTGTTTAGGACAGACATAAGAAAGTAGTTCTTCATTTAAGGAACTTGCAGCCACATGAGGTAGTGGTGAATGGCAGTTTAGATGTCCTGAACAGTCCTATGTAGTATACACAGAAATTACAGATCCTGCCACAATTGGGATTCCTCCCCACTTCTGAAGTTGCAACCCCGTCCTGCGAAGGAAGCATCAACAGAAGCTTTCTTCCTGAGGGTAGCAGCAGATGTCTGGGGGACATTTTCACTGGGACTGCAGCACAGGAGAGGGTGAAATCTCCCTCTTCACAGGGTATAGTCTCAATCCTGATCACTCACTTCCATCTCCATGGTTGCTTATTCAGAAGGTGGTGGTGGTGGGGATAGATATGTTAAACACAACCACACATTTAACCTCACTTCAGTTTGCTGCTAGCTTCTAACCAAGGCCTGGAGCTTCCCTCAATCTTTTGAAAATGCTCTGAAGGCCAACATTTTGTCTCAGCTAGCCCCAGCGTTCAAATGAGGATCAGGATTTAAAATGGAAGCCAGGAGATCACATAGCAATCTGCTTGGACTTGAGACTACAGGGATGGTCTCATTCAATGCTATGCAGTAAATAAGTAAGTTAAACTCTTGCCCATGGTGTAGGGAACACTCTCCCAATCTCACCTGCACAAATCCTTACTATACAGAGGCATTATCTATGCATTTCCAAAGCAGCCTACTAAGTTTATCATCACGAGACAGAAACTGGGAGAGGCTTCCACATTCTTTGGCTGAATTGTAAGGATTGTCCTGATGTCCTTCAAATTCAAAAATAAACACCCCCTTTAACATATTTATCTTGAATTCCTGTGGTTTTTTTTTTTATCCAGGAGCACTCACTCTGTGCCACATTTATCACGATAGCATTTAAGCAATTACATGCGTTACAAGGAATCCTCCACAGAATAGGCCCTGAATTAGTGAAGATCTCTAACGCCCTATTAGCAAAACTCGCTCACCAGTATATACCAAAACCACTCCAAAAAGGAAGGCGGGGAATCAGTTTCTTTCTGTTAGAAATCCACATCTCCCATTAGGGAACTTATTTCTCTCAAGGTCATTTAGAAAAATGGGACCCACGCTCACTTGGTGAGCATCACAGGAACGGAACTCTGGTTTGTTGGGGATGTTTGTTTCTTTGAGAGAACACAGAGAAGGATGCAACCAAACTGGCAATCAAGAGAAAGAATCCCCCACCACACCCCCAGCGAGAGCAGAAAGCAAAATGCAGGCAACGCCGCCTACCTCCTCAAGGTGAGGGTATTCAACCACTGATGGGCAGCAGCAACAGCCCACTACCATCTGTCATGCAGAACGTAGGGAAACGGAGTCACATTGTGACAGAGACAAGAGAAAAGAGTTACCTGAAAGTCTTCACATATTGTGGGCTGAGCTAATAGCCAAGAAGGGCCGCTAAGCACTCCAGGAGAACACAATCCTTAAAAGGGGGGTGGAAAACATCTGCCGCATGGGTTAAGAATGCGGCCCTCTATGCCCTTGAAACTTTCCCCCAGCTGTGCCCTCCCACCCACCTCACTGCTCTGCCTCACAAGAGTGCCTTTGCCTGCCTGGAATGTGTCCTTGTTTGCAGGATGATAATAATAATAATAATTTATTTATACCCCGCCCATCTGGCTGGGTTTCCCCAGCCACCTGGGCAGCTTCCAACAGAATATTAAAATACAATAATCTATTAAACATTAAAAGCTTCCCTAAACAGATAGAGAGCAGTGTGGGATAGTGTCAAAACCTCTGGCTTTTGTGAGGCTGGAATCCAGCCTGCTGTTACACCCATTGCTCAGTCTACCTTTGCCTCTGGCCTCACCCACCACTGGCATGTGCCCACCCTTCCAAGGTTGTCTGTAAGGTAACATAGTCCTCAGGCTGAAAGAGATTCCCCACTCCTGGTCTGAAATGTTGCCAACAGGTATACCACCTCAGATACAGAAGAGCTGCTTCACTAGGCACAGATGCCCATTTTTTGGAGGTGAAATTTCTGCAATGGGTTCTGCCTTGACTTTGGGGGTGGAAGGAACCAGCCAGCTTTTCAAACCCCCGTTGAACTTAAAGATGATGGCTTCAGTCCGACAGTCTTGAGCATGCACTCAGTGGGGCCAAGCAAGCGTATGTGACTGATTGCACAATGGCTGGGGAAGTGGTTTCGAGTGTTGCTTGTAGGTTTTTGTTTCGTATTGTGTGCAAAGAGGATGTGGCCATTTTTCAATGGAAAGCACACAATTACTTTTTCTGTTGACCAGTATAATAAGAGTCAAACGTGGGGGGGGGGGGCAGGGAACGCCATCCAAAAATGTTGCCAAATGCTTTCGGTTGGACAATGGCCCTGGGAAGCCAAAGAGGCTGAGGTTGTGTCTGCAAGGCTTTGCCTACATCTGCAGGGTGCAGAAGTGCAACAGGAGGGCAGCATTAACATCTTCCCACAATACACACTCACACTAAACGTCACATTATGCACTTTCATAAGAATGCCATTTGCTATTCAGGTCAGCATTCCCTTTTCTAGAAAATTTCTCAGTTGATATTATAAGAAGGCAGCACTAGCAACATAATCTGTCCCACTTTCACAGGGAAAGACCAGCCAAGAAAATGTACAGGCGTTCAGCCACATATCCTCCACTTCACTGTATAAACAAAATTCCCAAGCAAATGAGAGCCAGTGTGGTATGGTGGATAGAGTGTTGAAGTAGGACTGGGAGCCCAGGGTTCAAATTCCCATTCATGCACAAAGTTCTGCATGATTTGGGGCCAGTCACAATCTCTCCGCCTCTGCTACTCTACAAGTTTTGATATAGTTCGTGTTGGGGTGAAGACTATGTATACTACTTTTGAGGGGCTTGAAGTAATATTGACTATAAATGCAATCAAATGAATAAACAAACTAGGTAACTTACTATGATACTTGGTAGCTCAGAAGTGAGTTTGTACTTGCTTTAAATGTAAGGTAATAAAAACAGAGGCTAAAAAGACTCTTTAGCCCTCACCTTCTTGCAATGGCACAAAAGAGAGCCAGCAGGCTGAGAAATAAGGAAGCCCTAGAGTCCCACTGATTCCTGACCTCCCCACCCCCCAAATTACTCTATAGTTAAATGATTAATTAATTCCATGACTGTGAATCTTATATATACCCAACATGGCAACATCCATGCCCAAGGGGGGAGTGTCAACAGGCTTGGGGAAAACTCAAGGTTTACAAAATATTTTAATGAGGCTAATTTTAAGGAGTCATATTTATATTTCAGTATTTACATTGCTCTGTGCTCCACAAAGATTGCATCAGTAATAAGGCATTTGGAGAGAGAAACAGAGGCACAGAGAGGGGGGTGGGGGTGGCATGCCTGAAGAGACGTTGGCTGACTTGAGACTGGAACTTCTCACCACACCATGAGGGACTACAATGGATTAACTCAACACACTGCTGAGGCAGGAAGGAGGCAATAAGTGTTTACTATTTCTGAAAATGGTTGCATTACAAGCTGCTGGGTGAAGTGGCTTCTATAGAACGACAGTAGCTCTTCCTCTTAAAAAGAGGCTTTGAGCTTGAGGTGAGAGCTGGCACATGCAAGAGAAGGAGCTCCATAAGGAAAACATAACTGTGAGGGAGGAGGAACACACATCACCAAGCCTACCATCTTCTCAGTGTAAGACTCCTGGGAATCTGAGTATGTACTGAGGGCAAGTGAAGAGAAGAAACAGGAACAGCAAATAAATGCAGAACCATCTGAGAAAACGGTTCATTGTAGAGGACAATAGATAATGCTATATACAGTGTATTGGGGAATTGTCACCAAAAAAAGTGAAATAGACTTTGAGGAGGACAAGGGCCTACCATCTCACTGCTGGAGGCCAGGGAATGAAGATCCTTGGAGCACATGCAAAACAAAATGGCAACAAAGTTAGCTCTGTACTAAAGCCCTCCAGAAAGGAGGATCACCAATACAGAAATGGATCAGAGTTTGAGCCACGCTAAAGAAAGTCTTTGCGGTATCTAAACGTTTTAGCAAACCCTGACATTGTGCACAAGACAGTAAAATAGTTTCATGCATTTACCACAGGCCTTCTAATGGAGTTCGTTCACACAGGGTTACTTTTACAAAAACTAGAAGGAATGCCACACAATTCCTTCATACAGAAATATGCAGAGAAGATGAAGAAGAAAGCAAAATACAGAATGGCCACATTCAGATTATCTTATTTGGCTTAATAACAATATTATTGAAAGGACTTGATTGCTATATGAACATATTATAATTGCTAATTCCATGAATAACTCTCTTAAATTAATGATAATGTTCGGTTTTGCTTATAATATGTGTATTGTATTTTCAGGCCTTCAGTAACCTATACTTCGTTTTCTTATATTGTTTCTTTTGGGGAAAAGGTATCATTGAAGAAAGACACAAAGAACAAATTAAAAAATAATGAGCCTTTTGGCCATGCACACAGCACTTTGCTTGTCCCTGTGAATGGACTACAATTAACCAGGAAGTCTCTACTTAACCACAGTTTCATGTTTCCTCTGATCCAAGAAACTATGTTTACCAGTTACAGAACAAGTCAGGATCATAAACCACAGGTTGCAGTTGGTTTAGAATCTTCCATAACAGATAAGATGTGGTTAACCTGCAATGGAAAACACTGGGATCTACTTTTTGGATAATTTCCGAAGCAGACCAAGTTTGATATACTGACTTGTGGACTAGCACAGTACAATAAAGTACTGACTTAAATTGAATAAACGAAGCCATCGTGCTTTAGGGTTCAGAACCACCTGTCAGTCACAGACTCTGCAGTGGAACGAAGAGGCCCACTTGGTTCAAGTGACAGGATTTATTGACAGAACAACGTTTTTCGAGGTAACATGACCCTGAGCATCAGCCAGTTTTCCTGAACGGAGACATGGACTATGGGTCAGTGCATCAACCTCCATCTCCTAAAAAGAAATCTGCCAGCAACTTTTGTTACCATAAATGCTACTTTCTCCAGACACATTTCACATCTAGTATGGCAAGCGGGTGAATGGGTGGCTGGTTTGGGCCCCTAGTTGTTCACAGTGTGATCCTATGTATGTCTACTCAGAAGAAAGCCCTATTGACTTTGGTGGGACATACAACCAGGTAACTGTGTCTAGAGGGCCTTGGACCCTGAAAAGGAAATGCTAAACTGTTCTCTCTCTGTCTCTGAAGATAAACATTGCAACAAAAAGTTCTAAGAGAAACTGCAATTCTGTCTTAAGAAATCACTCCTACGTTAATCTGAGCTAAAGAACTATGCAGGTTTCAGATGGGCTAAAGAACCTTCAAGTGCATTTTTATGTTCTGTTACAAGAAACCAGAATAAGATGGAAGGGTTTAATGCTGAAAGTCCGGAAATTCCCAAGTCTTAAGCCTGCCCTTGGAACTCAGCCAAATAGGGTATCCATCATTTCTCTACTTCTCTTTGGTAAACATCCACAATCAGAGTAATCTTAATGGTATGCACTAAAAGCACAAAATATTGCCTCCCCAAAAGAGTCAGTAGCACCTTTACACCTGAGATTTCAAAAGGAAATCTGCACTGGTGTAACATTTGGATTATTTGACAGCCTATTTTTTCTAACTCCATAGAACATGGTATACTACTGAAGTCTTCACATTCATTCTTGGGTATTTCTGAACTAATACAAATTACTGCCATTTCAGAGACACCGTCCAGTACTGCGTGCCAGACTCCAAATACCTTGCACACTTGCCTTGACACACACATTGAAGTCCCCATTTTTATTTCTATGCCTCTCCAAATTAACAAATGTTTCAAAGTGATATAATTGTCATAATTTCCAAATGATTTATTATGCAGAGTAGAACATTTCAATGGTGGCCGCATTCAAAAACTTTCCAACCTGGCATGCACATTCTAGAGCATGTGAACACACTGCAGTCATTCAAAATGGTTTTTAGATACTGCATAGAGTTTTCATATTCATTGTAGAGAACGACCCCATGAAAACCTCACAGCTTTCTCTATGATGCATTTTAACCACAGCTTATTTTCAGAGTGAGCTTGGCAGAACGCAGTTCCAGCACCTCTCAGGTCATTGCCATTCTAAGAGAAAGAAGGAGGCATTCATGGTGAGTTCCAGCACCTCTTTTTTGATAAAAATAGTACTGATTTTAACCAAATCCATCCTATCCAAGGCAGGGGTGCCAACTTGAATGAAATATTTGGTGGGGGCGGGGGTGGGAGAGCTAAGCCTCACACCACATAACTGATCACAAAACACGATACATGCCCACCATCTGAATGGCAGTGCCCATCAACTTTTGGGGGGTGGCTCCCTCAATTATTTTATTGGAGGGGTGTGCAAAGGTACCTTGGTCTCTAGGAGTTGGCTCCTATGATCCATGGGCACTTCTAATTTGCGATTTACTACTGCTTTCAAAACCTTTGAAATTTGTATTATATTTAAAAGTGATGTGGGGGGGGAGGGGAAACCCTCTTAACGTTCTTTGGATTTGAAGAACAGGAGTGCAAAAGGATTTGGCCTTCAAGCATTTCACATGGGCAAACAGCTGTGCACAGCCAAAATGATCTTACGCAAGAAGACTGACGTCTTTTTTGCTGCACAGGGATGAAGGGATATTAAGAATAAAACCTGGGAGCAAGTTTTTAGTGAACTCAAGGGGACTTACTTCTGAGTAAACATGCACAGGGCGGTGCTGTTAAATTGTCCCATTTCCTTTAGGCTACTTACACAGCTTGCTTTTCCAACACTGATGTGACTCTGATGCAAGAACATGACAGAGTACTACGACAGAGAGCTTTTGAAAAGAACAAAACTAGTTTCGAGAGCATTCAACCTGAACACTAGAAGGTTGGGAAAGAAACGGCGAGATGTGCCTAATGGGCCACCTGAATGCCGTCCTGGGAAGTCAGGCAAGTCACAGAAAAGCAACACTCCAAACACTCAGCAACCTCTCTCTTGGGGTGAAAGAGCACAGAAGCACTGCACAAACAGGCACTCATGCGTTAGGCACAGAAAGGCAAGCATGGAAGAAATACAACTCACAGCACACTGATTTCCACCACCACCCTTTAAAGGAGCAGAGCCCCCCTTCTAGCACCAGCTAAAATCCACTGCTTGATTATGAACCCTGCAGTCAATAACGTGTGCCATTTTCCCTACTGGTCCAGAACTGTTATCACCAGCCATTTGCCTCCAGTAAACAAACAGGTCAAGGCTAGCAGAGGCTTATCAATGGGGATCTGCTAGCGTTCTTTACCTAATTGTCGAGTCTAATAAATTCTGCCCCTCAGTCTACTTAGACATGCCAAGGGCACTTGAAAACTAAGGCAGAGGGAGAAAGGGGCAGTCTTAAGTTTCAAAGGGCTTAGCGAAGCCGGGGACAGGGATGGGCCCTTACATGTTAAATGCCTAACATGATGCTAGCACCTTGAGATACAAAGATTGCCCAGTTAAACCTCTCTCTGTGTCTGCGTCACTAGTACTTGAGCCTATGGAAAAGATACCAGTACTAATACGTATTTCAGGCTTTTGTCGTCAGAGCTCTGCCCTTCACTCAAGGAAATTGGAAAGACAGAGAAATGATAGAAAGCAAGCAACAAAAAGCACTTACCTGAGCTGTTTTACCCTGCAAGACACAGGCAAAAAGCAGCTTAAATCAAATAAAACTAAAATAAGGCTCGTAGCAAGGCAATTCTGAACAAGAACATTGCTACTTCTGTAAAACGAGACGACAGAAGGCACAAGCCTGCCTGGACCTGGACTTTCTACCCAGGCACCGCTTAGGCCAGTTGTGATGGCATAGTGGCAAGAGAGAGATGTTCTGTATGTGCTCAGAAGTGCTGTCTTCTGTAATAATAAGTTAAGGAATAACAGGAGACTTGGTTCCTGGACTGAAAGTCCATTCCAGAGCAAGCTTACATAGCTGTTGTCTCATTAAGTAGCAAGGCAAGAATTGTCCTTAATGAGAGGCATCTCCATTCACTAACATGCATCAGGAGGTAATGATACCCACATGCATGATGGAGGGGACAATCCCTGCACCTTGACAAGGGTGTAATGATTCCTTGGCAGTGCTAGGAAAAAAGGGTCAAAATGGAGCATGATAGGAGGGATTTAAGCTAACTGCCCCTTGGCTTTGTAGCATCAGTTCCAAAATGGAAAACTGGGAGGATGGAATCAGAGCTTCTGATCCCCACAGCCCAGAAATGTGGATCCTTTGCACAATATCTTGTCCTTACAGTTGGGCCACCAGCATGAATGTCTTTCCAAATGGAGAGCATGTGGTGCAGCACAACCCATAAGCTCCCAAGCTCAATTCCTCTCTCGAATGGAGGGTCAGCAAAGACCTTGGCTCAAGAGCTGGGAGAGAAGCTGCAAGGACTTGCTAGGCGAAACGGAGCAATGCCTCAACTCTGTACCAAGCAGCTCCTTGTGGGTTGCATCCGGTTGGTGTCCCCTCCACTGATAGAAGGCCCCTTCCCCCTGTGAGCCCCTCAAGCTGGGCAACAGTTTGGGAGGTGGAAATTGCTGGGGATGGCGTTGATCCCTCTGACGCTGGCAGGAGACTCTGGAGTGTCCCAGGACAAGGGGAAGGAGAGAATTGCCCAGGGACAATTCATATACTTCTGTTTGCGCATTATGGCATCCAACCAGGAGCACGAACAGTTGCAATCGCAGACGAATTCTGTCTACAAAGTACTCTCTCTGTGTTGTCAGGAGAAGCGAGGGAGGCAGGGAGAGATGCCACTGTTTAGGCTTTCACCGGTGATAACCAATTCTGACATCTCTCCTGCCACAGTGACAACAGAGGCCCTGCACGTTGACCCAGGAAAAAGAAGCTCTGAACAGAGAAGGACTCTCTGTCCTAACCACTCAGCCGTGCAGGGATGGCGATGGACAGAGGCAGAGCTGGGCGTCTGTCAGCAGAAATATCGACATGCATATTCAGAGAAGGGTGCAGAACGAGAGGTGATAACTGGGCTGGGATTATTTCGACTGACTTGCTGAACAAGGAAATGAGAGGTGGGTGGACAGAAAGACTGTAGGGCTGTATCTTTTGTACATGGGTCTGATATGTTAGGGGGCTGGCTGTGATTGAATGGTGGTGAAAGAATGGTCTTCTGCACATACATGAAGATATTGCCTTCTGCAATATGTGGAAGTGTAATGGGCAGGGCAAGCTGATTACAAAGACAAGGATCGAGGAAGGCACGAACTGCTGGGGTGAGCTGCATTTTTTTAAGTGGCAAACTCTAAGTTGATCAGATTTATCCATTCTCTGAATGTCAGTCCTTATGCAGCCAAAACAACCCCATCTATGCATAAAAAGGGACCTAACATCAGGTCTGGGTGAACCCCAAAAGTCTGCAAATGTACAAAAAAAAGTGAAAAACTTAAGCGGGGAAGTGAATCTCAAAAAACAGCCCAATGAAAACTAAACACGCTCAGTGGCCATGGAATGGGGGAGAGGAGGGAAAGGAACTAGGGGAGAAGAGGGAGGGGAATGGCATGGCCAGCATCGTTCCACACTGCAACACTTTGCTGCGGATGCTATCTGCATATACCGCGAGCGATCTCAATTTCTCCAAGCGCCAGAACACTTGCTCAAGAGAGAGACATCAGTGGGCTTGGGGAAAGGTTTGCAGAATGACAAAATATTTGGTGGGGGGAGGAAACCCTTGCTAGGGAAATCCCCAAACATGATTGTGCATGCTTAGTCAGCTGGAATGCTGACTCCGACTATGTGGAGGGGGGTGGGTAGACAGAAAACTGGGGGCAGTGAGGGTGGAGTGGAGTGCCCTGAGAGAGCGTGTGACTAGAAAGGCTCACTCCACACCGCAACATTTGGTGCAAGCTCCAGTAGTCCATATAACATGACACTTGGTTTCAATATTTATGGAACTTTCCCAAGATATGGAACGTTGAAATCAGGTACACACAAAGCTCTAGGTAAACTCTGATTATTAGAGAAAAATGGGTGGGTGGGAGGGACATGTTTGGTGCCTAAAATGCACACCCCCACCTCTAACTTAGAGGCAAGATTGCTACCCAACTATCAGCACCCCGTACCTCTAAGTACAGATACTGCAGGGTGTGTGGCAAACAAGTAACACAGACAAGAAATAAGTCACTATTTGGAGCTCTAAATTTGGGAAGGGAGAAATTATCCTGCATTGGTTTTTTCCAGTCCACACCAGCTGAACGTCAATCCAAGTAACATCTCCCAGAACAGCAAATCCTTTTCAGCGTTTCCAGAAAAGCACAACACAATTTGGTGCTTCTCTTGCACTCCTAACACCGAGCGAAAGAGGTATACTTTTTTAAATGATTTAAATTTAGACCATGACAGAAGCTTCAAGACGGAAACAAATGCAGAGGAATCTGGGAGACCTGACTTAACGAAACTAAATTTAGAGAGAATCCGTTTTGGGGGTAGTTCTTCCACATCCTCCCTCCCTCGACTCCAAAGCAAGTGTTCCTTTGCCATCCTCCCTGTATTCCACCCACTCTAATTCTCTGCTTTTTAACAGACAGAAACCTTTTTTTTTTTTAGCAAAAAAATAATAATTACTTCTCCAAACCAACTCTCTTCCCCAGTCCACGTCCCTCAATATCACTGATGTGGTGCAGCCGTTGTTGTTTTAGACACCTTTTGTCCATTCCTCCGGCTTATACCTGGGAGGAGCCCCTGGCCCCACCTCAGTCCATGTCCCTCATCTGCAGTGGGGACAGGGCGTTCCTGGCTCTTCCCTGCTTTTCCTTTTCCACCCACTCTTACCTTTATAAAAACACAATGTTAAGTCTCCCGGAAAGTGCTTGCCGCACATTTAAGTGTTTATCTTCCTGCACTTATAAGCTCATTTTAGAAACAGCTGGAAGCAATTTATTTCTGCCTGTTTTCAGGCTTCTGCATTAGCCCTTCTGGGAGAGAACGATAACATCCCAAAGGCTTAAATCAGTGCAAATGACAACACTGGCTGCCGCACCAATAGTTGCTAAATCACCATTTGAGTTGACCATCATCTGCAGCTGGGAGATCGGAGCTGTCAAGGGTCAAATCCTGTCAGTTAAGAAAAACTGTCTATATACTGTATATACATATTATACTAAAGGAGCAAATGGCAATAGAAAACAATGCATGGAAGACTCAAATGGTGAAGGCGATGATGAAATAATACAAAGTGAGAATTCTATTATTGAACAGTTACTGCATTTGTATAAGGTAATGGCCCATATAACTTTCTAAATCCCTGTAAAGTGCTGTGGCATCATCTTAACATGGATAGCATTTTTTGCTTAAACCTGGAAGGCGATCTGATTCTACTCTCCACTCTCAGGCACAGAATAGGACCTCAGCTCTGAACCAATTGATAACTTATATCAACCGCAGTTCCATGAAGGTCTCAGATTGCCTTAAAGCAGAGATGGGGAAACTTGTTCCCTTCAGATGCTGTTGGACTCCAATTCCCATCAGCCCCAGCCAGCATGGCCAATGGTCAGAGATCATGGGAATTCTGCAACAACTGGAGGGCCAGAAATTCCCTGCCCCTCTCAGGATTAATTTCTCCTTCTTTACTGCTTACCCCACAGGAGTAGGATGCCAGCATTATGGCTGTGAGAAGGGACAACTGTATGGGGAGACTGCTCAGCAGAGTAGTCAGAATTAATTGATTGGCTACCAAAAATGATCTTGCCCGAATAAACCCAGAAAGCCATTGGAAAGCTACAGGAGCACACTTGTCCCATGTTTGGTTCAGGCAGATTAAATGCTGTGCCCTAAATTAGTGCTTACATGATTGCTGAATTTGACTGCTGATATGAATTTGGCTGCACAGTGGTTGCAAAGCTCCTACTGGACAGCGCCTGTGACGGGAACTGCACTGGGTGGGGGCACGGATTCATCTCCCCATATGGCTATGTTCTGGGACCGACAAAGGTGGGCAACTGAGAAAACACAACAGCGAGGCATGAAGCAGATAAGGAGAAACTGCAGAAACAGACTCTGCAAGGGGGAAATGGCACAGGAATGGAAATTTGGAGGCAGGGAGGAGAAACTATACCCATAGTAGTTTGTGCCTTGAGAAGCTTTCCACCCAATATTGCAAATTTTCAGTTTCCTTAGCCAGTGTGCACAGCCCAAAGAGAGGTGGCGGAGGAGGGGACACTGTTATGGCCACCCCTCTCTGCCACCAGCAACAAGGCTTTATCCCTCAATCTAACAGAATGCACACTGGAAGTCGCTCTGCTTGCTCTATGAGGCATAATAGTGCCAAAGGAAAACCATGATTAGCTGGGCAGGATCACCAAGCAATCTTTTGGATCAGTGCCACGATGTGCTGCCTCTCACCTCGTTGATGCGGATCTGCTGGAGCTCTTGTTCAGCTGCAGTCAGAGGAGCCGGAGCAGAGTAGGACGACACGTGCTTCTGGTAACCGCTAAGCGAGATGTCTTCCTGTAGTCAGACAGAGGTGGTGATGTAGCAGCCACAGATATGGTTCAAAGTACCACAGAGATGAACGGGGGCACATTTTCTTATGGGCTACATAGGTCAATGGCTGTGAACCTTACACACAAAGGCAACTCCAGTTAATGTTATCAGCTGGCTTTGGTGTGCAGGGCCAGGAATAGCAACTCACTGTTAGCATCAACGCTCTTAACAAGCTCTCGTTTAAAACTGCAGCATAGCACACATTGCTAAAAGTGGGCACCACCTATTTCCAACATGGTAAAAGAGCACTTAACACTTTAACTCATGGGTAGGCAAACTAAGGCCCGGGGGCCGGATGCGGCCCAATCGCCTTCTCAATCTGGCCCGCAGAGGGTCCGGAAATCAGCTTGTTTTTACATGAGTAGAATGTGTGCTTTTATTTAAAACACATCTCTGGGTTATTTGTGGGGCATAGGAATTCGTTCACCCCCCCCATATAGTCTGGCCCCCCACAAGGTCTGAGGGACAGTGGACCAGCCCCCTGCTGAAAAAATTTGCTGACCCCTGCTAACTGATCAAAGAAAAAGGAGCAGTAGTGGCTGGCAGGTGGTGAAGGCAGGATAGTGTTGCTTACCTGGCTTCCCAAATCTGTGCATGACGTCTGGTTACTGAGAGAAGAGGGGCAAGGAAGCAGGTAGCTCAGCACAGTGCGGCTGCAGCAGTGGAATCGACCCAATGCTCCGGCCACTGCCCCTGCACAGAGCTCTCCACTTCTCAATAATGGGCAGCGCCATGAGCCACTGAGAAGTCAGGTAAACAATGTCGCCCTGCCCTGACAGCTGCTACTGGAAAGGAGTTCTTTGGTCAGTTTCACTATGATCCAGAAACAAGGGCAAGGAATGCATTTGTATGTAATGCTAGACCATGCTGTGGTGCAACAAGACTGAGCCTGTGCAAGTCACGGGCACATGTGTTCTCCCCCCAAAGCATCCATGAGAAAAAGTGAAGAAACATCTGTTCTTCATTAACCAGGGCAAGCAGCGTCTGAACGGTAAATGGTGGTTCAACTTAACTATGGCTTTCTAAAACAAGCCAGCTTAATAAACCATGGTTCATCAAGCTGGTTTTATTTGGAGTAAACCACAGTTAAAATCAACCTACTGTTTGTCCAGGTTCAGACCTAATGCTAGGCTGTGCTTAGAGAAAAATGGAAGCAAAAGCTTTCCAATTCTTCCCTATGGCAAACTGCAGAGACTCCTCCACCCAAAGAAGATTGCAGGTGTTGGCAACAAGCCCATACAAGTTTGACTCTGTTGCTGGAGGCATGGGGACCAGCCAATGCTCAAACTGGTTAACAGCATAGAATCACAATGTTTTCAATGTAAAAGGCATAGCTTAAAAGAATAAATATGCCACCACTGAGAGGAACTTGTCCAATGTTAGCTGGTCAAGTACACTGGGCTTAGTATTAGATTTCCTGTCAAATGACAGGCATGTCTTGAGGATTTCACAGTTATATAGAACTACTGAAGGTTGCAGACAGACAGAAACGCAAGATTCCTCCCACGCTATATAGTGTGATCTCATTTCATGAGCAATGCTGCCACCTTATGGTGCTTTCCTAGAAAGCCAGAGTGCCAGGAAAACCATGGCTAGCAAACCAGGGTTTGCTATTGCATCGCGTGTAGAATCATGGACTACCCAAGTTTCATATCAGTACACCCACCCAAAAGGGAGTGCTCAAACTTGATGTTAAGCCTATGTGCCTCCTTTCCTTTCTGTCTTTCATCCATCTATCCATCCATCCACCTAGGAGTACTGCTCTAATTATGGAAAGGAAGGGTAGATGAGACAGGGCCTTAATGAAGACCACACAGCCCAAACTCCGACCCTCACCAAGTGTGGATCCAAAAGGATTAATAATAATAATAATAATCACAAATTAAATAAATCTGTGGTGGGGGGAAATGGGAAACACTGAAGATCTCAGTTAGTTTAAGAACTTAAGAAACCTGTTGTATCAGGCCAAAGGTCCATCATCCTGTTCACACAGTAGCCACCTTGATGCCCATGGAAAGCCCAAAAGCAGGACATGAGAGCAACAGCGCTCTCTCTACCTCTGGCAGAGGCATACCGCCTCTAACAGTGGAGGTCAAACACAGCCATCATGGCTAGTAGCCACTGATAGCTTTATCTTCCAGTTTCCCAGAAAGCTTTTATTACTACTGTTAACACACTTGATTTTCTTCTGCCTTAAAGAACTGAAAACTACTCAAAGGGGGTGTGGGGGAGGGGGTTAAACTGACCCAGAAAAATGCCTGCTTTCTAGATGTAAGGTTCTGAGCAACACGGTACAAGACAACAATGGCTAAGGCTCTTCCTGACGGCCCTCCTGCATATTGCCGTACCTTAACTGTTCCAAAGAGCTCGTCCTTCACATGCCCTCCTCCAAACTCTTTCTTCACTGTTGCTCTGGTTGCTGCATAGAGCATCTTCAGTCTAACCTGGTCATACAGAGAGAAACATCATTGACAAGGACAAGTCATTCCATGAGTATGAAAACAGAAGAAAAAGAAGAAGAAGAAGAAGAAGAAGAAGAAGAAGAAGAAGAAGAAGAAGAAGCTGCTGCCTATCAGACTGGGTCGCCCCAACCACTCTGGGTGGCTGGGTGGCTCCCAACACAATATTAAAAACACAATAAAACATCGGCCATTAAAAACTTCCCTAAACAGGGCTGCCTTCAGATGTCTTCTAAAAGTCATATAGTGAATTATCTGTCTGACATCTGATGGGACGGTGTTCAACAGGGCAGGTACCACTACCGAAAAGGCCCTCTGCCTGGTTCCCTGTAACTTCACTTCTCACAGTGAGGGAACCGCCAGAAGGCCCTCGGAAATGGATGTTGGTGTCCAGGCTGAACGATGAGGGTGGAGGTGCTCTTTTAGGTATACAGAGCCAAGGCTGTTTAGGGCTTTAAAGGTCAGCACCAACACTTTGAATTGTACTTGGAAATGTACTGGGAGACAGTGAAGATCCTTTAGGATTGGTGTTATATGGTCCCGGCTGCTGCTCCCAGTCACCAGTCTAGCTGCCGCATTCTGGATGAGTTGTAGTTTCCAAGTCACCTTCAAAGGTAGCCCCACATAGAGCGCAATGCAGTAGTCTCCCAGTTACAATGGTCATGGAATGCTGTAACTGCAGGGTTTTACATTTGTGTGTTCTGAGCACATTCTTTATTAAGGAATATGTCCCCTTGCTAATATTTTTAGATAGCCATCTTCAAACTACTGTTCCAAAATACATTCAGACAGACTAGAAAGTCAACCATGTGAGGGCTTGCAAGTATAAAATCTATAGAGCTGCCAATATAAGCAATTACACAGAGTCAATTGAACTGGCAGCTATTCCCCAGGAGGTATTATGGATGATCTTATCACAGAGTTCAACATCAGGACTTGGGGGATGGTTAGCAACTATTGTTCCTATTACTGTAACCTTTTTACCTTAACTGCCTTCACAGCTAGCAGGGTTTTATGTTTTAATAACTGGGTGAAATATTCAAGTTTATTGATACTTGGGTAAACCTCCACCCCTGGCCGAGGAAAAAAAAATAACTTGACCCTCTCTCATACTGTTGGTGGCTAAATATGAATGCTGTTACCACAGGTAAGACACAGAAATATACGTATTTCAATATAAAAATATTTACACTCTGCCATTTGAATTAAAAATAAAAATCTTCAAAGCAGCTCAAATTTAAAATCCAAATATTTTTTTAAACTATGAATAAGGCAAAATGCCACAAGCAGAACAGAAAAAAATTAGTAACTCATTAGTTAAATGGTAAAAAGAAAGTCAGCAGGACACACATATTGTATTCCCTCAAACTCAGTCCTGCAGACCTTCTGAAAAAAGCACCTCCTTTGCTGCCTGTCTAGATGTTAGCACAGTAAAACTTCCCAGGAAGGAGTTCCACAATTCTGGCAACATTTCTGGTGCCACTGTTAAAAAGACCTTGTTCCAGAGAGTAACCATACACTACACTGAAGAGAAGAAAAGGATCCAGATCAGAACCTCCACGGAAAATCTCAAAATACAGGCAAATTCATATGGGAGCCCCAAGGATTCACAGCAACCTTCCCCAACCTGAGGCCCCCTTAGATGTTGCTGGACTCCAACTCCCATCATCCCTGACTATTGGCTATGCTGTCTGGGTCTGATGGGAACTGGAGTCCAACAATATCTGGAGGCCACAGGCTGGGGAAGGCTGATTTAGGAGTTTTATGATTTTGTATTATTAAAATATTTATCAACTTCACTTTCATAGAAAATGTAACAAGGTGGTGATTTAAACACGGGTGCCGATTTAAACATGGGTGTCGGACGTTCCCTTCAGCTTACCATAGTCAGAATTCTGGCAGTGTCAATCTCCACACAACCCCTCCATATTCTAGCCATCAAAGGTTTTAACTATGCAAAAACCATTTTAGAGTAATGTGTGGTCTGCATTTTATTTATTTATATTACTCTTCCTTGTGTGTGTGGTGACCAGGGTCAGGACTTTATTTGTGGTGCTACTTCTTCAGCAGCTGTGAAACTCCTTCCCTCCTGAGATATGGCCACCATACGTACCTTGCTTTCTGCCACCGTCTAAAAACATAGCTATTCACTCCAGGCTTTTGTAGGGGAGTGAGCTTTTAGGTGGAGATTTGCAAACGGGTGTTTTTAAAAGGCTGTCTTATTTCAGCTGGCTCTGGTGTTGAAATTGTTGGCTTAAGTGTACGAACTGTTTTTACCAATTTTTATTGTAACCTGCCCTGTAATGACTTTTTGATGAAGGGTGGCATAGAAATGCATTCAATACATAAACGGGGGAGAATGTTTCCACTGATTTAGCTGATGATCCTTTAAAGAAACCTGGGGTGATCTGGGAAAGAGCTAGGGAAAAAGAATGGGAGCACATCTCACAGTAATGACAAGCCATGTTAAAACATTGCCTGTGTTGGCCTCCAGATGGCATGCTAGTCTAATAAGAGTGGAGATTATAGGAGCAAGAGTTCTGCAAGATTCTTTCAGAGTAGTTCACAACACAAATGCCTGGGAATGCAAGAATGTGTAAATGGCAGTAGATAAGTACAACCCTCCGTATTTACCCTTGTCCACAGAAATATTATATGATGAAACAATAGGATACATTAAGTCCTTAAGGTTATCATCTCTGTTTGTAGGGTTGTTGTTTTTTAATCAAGTGATGGTCCATTGGACTGTTCTGTAAAGTCTGTTTTGAATGAATTCCTAAACATGGTGAGAAAGAATCACCTCCAATTTCCACATGATATTAAACCAGGGGCAGGGAACCCCTGGCCTATGGGCTGATCGTAGCCCTCTAGGCCATGTTCCCCAAACTGTGCCCACCTGCCCATCACTGGTGATGTCAGCTGGTGGGTGGAAGGACCGTGTTCAGTCTTGCATTGGCTGCACAATCCTCTTCCCAGAAGGGAACAGGGACCTACTTTTTCACCTACAACCCACTGCATAAACCAGCTACCCATGCCGGTTCAGCTCTGAGCCCTAGGAGGCTAAAGTCAAGCAGAAACAAAGCAGAGGCTTACAGGAGAGTTATCAGGAGACCAGGAGATGAAGAGCCACTCGTAGCCCTGTGCATTCTGGGTGTCCAGGCGGTAGAGGATGTAGCATGGCTGCAGCTCATCCAGCAGCGGCAGCACAAATGAGTCGTAGTCCTTATCCCAACGTCGAGACAGTTCTTTGTAGGCTCCAAGCACCAACTGCTCTGCAAGTTGGAGGGGGCGGGGCAGAGAAAACGAAACAACTGTGAGCAAAAAGATGTGGCACTTAAACGCAGCATCGGTCATTTACAACCAGGGCTAAGGGAACCTTCTGCAGCCCCAGAACCACATGCAGGCAACTTTCTGGAGGTTACAGGACAGTGGTGGGCAGAGCCTTTGTCTTTGTACAGTGGGCTGTATACATCTCAGCCATGCAAGCCAAAAGTTTCTACACCTGCCCACCCTGCCAAAAAAAAAAGAGGAAAATTATCAAGGATGCTTTCTAGCCAGGCAAAAGCACCTGAGGAGGGTGTGATGAAGAGATTCCCAAGAGCTGGAGAGAGGCTAGGAGGTCTAGGGGGCTGCAGTTGGGCCACCCAGACCTTTTCTAAATCAAGGGTGAGGAACTTGCCACCTTCTCCCGTCAACCCAGATACTTTGGTAAGGCCCACACACACTTGGTTCATCATCATCATCATCACCACCACTACCTTTGATGAAACTATGCTCAAGGCAGCTTACAACATGACAAGATTTGTTGAAACTATGCTCAAGGCAGCTTACAACATGACAAGATTTACATAATTACATACATAACAAAAGTCATAAACAATAAATAAAACACATCAAGAAGTACACAACTTAATGGAAACAATTTCCACATAAATCCTAAGATCTGAAACTAAAGATACAACAACATCAATAACAGCAACAGCTGTCTCAACTCCCTGTAAACAATACTCCAGCCCAAGAATCTGTTCAACAGCCTCAGCTTTTGTAGCTGGAGTCAGTCAGCACTCCACTCTCCCAGGCCAGATGGGAAAGGAACAGTAAGGCAGGGTGCAGGTCTTACAAGGCTTACAGCCAATATGGTCTCATTTAAAACAACACAGATAAAAATTAAGAACAGTTGAAAAGAGGAGTCCTCGGTGCTAAGCAGCAGCCACAGTCCTTGTGAAGCCTGTCAAGTGGAAGGAGGCAAGGGCAGGGCAGTTCAGGCCCTAGGCAGGCAGTCCTCCTTGGTTGCAATTACGAGCATCTTGGCTTTCCTTCCTTCTGAGAACCCCTGCTCACTCTTTTTGGTCAGAGAGACAGATCTGAGCACTTTGTCGGCAAAAAGTTCTGCCACGTTCCCTATGGCTGAAAAGAGGCGATAGTTCTGTTTCATGGGTTATGGAAAAATAAAGGGAGTTGGGTGCAAAGACAGAACGTCTGCATTATGTATTGGTCTTCTTCCCTCCCAAGAGCACAACTCTAGGGACACAGCAGGAATGGCAGACCTGTGATCCTAGAGCCGCTCTCCTTCACTGTTGAGAACAACACCCTTATTCTCCATCACGGAACTGAAGGGGGAAATCTGTTCATGGAAGTGCCTCTTGAACGGACTGCATAAGGTTACAGAAGAGATTGGAAGGGGCACAGAAGAGATGCAGAAAGCGCAAGGACCGTGTGCCTCCCTCTTCCCCCAACCCCAGCATGCTGCTGTCAGACTGCAACTCTGGCAGGGCAAGAGTTTTCAAAAGCGAGACCCATCCCTGACTGTGTTTCTTCTCAGCATATATTGGAACACCCATTTTATGTTGACACAGCTGTAAGGTTCTGGACAATCCCTTTTGAAATACAAAGGGCCATCTGGCAATGATAATAACCTGGCAGTCCTATAGATTACATAATGAAACCAGCTCCTATGTATGTGTATAAAAAAGAAGCCCGGCCTAGAGACTTTGCCACCGACAAAGGGAACACTAATACTCTGAGTCATGACTTGCTTTGCTACATGCAGAAAGTCTCAGGTTCAAATCTAACACTGCTACTTAAGAGCATTGGGTAGGGGAAATACCTGTGTGCCTGAGACCTTCCAATCAGGATAGACTGTCCAGTACATGGGACAACAGTTGGTTCCAATATAAGGCAGCTTCATGGGATTTTATGTTGGGGGGAAACAGAAAACCTTTCTGCTTGGGCTATATTTCTACATCAGGGAGAAGGCAAAGCAAGATCCCAGAGGGGTAAACGATGTGATTACTCTGAATGTACCTATCAGCCTATAATCAGAGCTACTGAGTTAGGCAGAAAATATTAAAGCACTCCAGGCCCTGAGACAGTGACCACTTGGCTGGGTAAGTGATAGCTGTCTGTTGCATCATTTGTTTTGTTTCTACTGCAGACCCATTTCCCAAGGGCTATGTTTTTCGGGAACCCTCGAGTGCCCATGTTAACTCGTTCTCCAATTCACTCATGATAAACAAAAACAAAAAAGGGGCCAAGAAGGTCACAAGGACCTTTCCCAGAACTCAACCTCATAAAAACATAACAAAATGTTTCTGTTTCAACACAGAGGTGGCCAACTTGCGGCCCAGATGTTGCTGGTCAACATCCCTGACCACCAGCCATGCTGGCTGGGGCTAATGGGAGTTGGAGTCCTGAAACATCTGCAGGCCTGAAGTCCCATGCCCCTAGGCTAGAGCCACCCAGGCCTCCTGCCTGCTTGCCAAATCTCCTCGACCATTCTTGTCCTTATAAAGCTATCCCCTGTAGTTTCAGGTCAGCAAAAAAAAGGGGGGGGGGAGAGAGAAATTAGGAATGTGGGTGTCACTCAGGCTGCGGAGACAGCCCCGGAAATGTCCACTTCCCTCTAGGATGCAAAACATGCCCTCAGCTAGCAGCTATTTCCTGCCCTTTCATTTACTGCTACTTATGCCACCTTAGCAAGTTTTTGCTTTTACGGAAAGTCGATTTAACCATCTGAGAGCTTTCAGTCTGCTGTTTAAAAACTGACTGAAAAAGTGAGTAAATATTGCAGTTCAATCAAAGATAAAATTCTAATTTGACCTCCTGAGGAATGATGCATCCAACTACACACACACAACTTTGTGGTTCAATTATCTTTGCGAAACACTGTGTGATGCACTTCTACAGTTTCCTGTTCTGACAAGTTTGCCACAACCCTTGATCCCACAATGAAGCAGCAATGCAAACCATCAATGGCCAGCACATGATATGGTGGAACCATGTTTCTGAAATGGAAATATGTATACAGTTGATGGGGAAATGAAAGGAGCAATTATTAATGAACTAAATGAAAATTCTAATTTGGAGTGCATCCAATCTAACCAGTTTTGTTTGTTTGTTAGGAGGTGGCTGGAGAACCTCCAATGAACAGCCATATATGGTAACTCAGCATCCCTAGTTTAATGCTCTGTTTCTAGATTTTCTTGCACACAAATTTGAACCTTCTTAAAGACCTAAAAAACTTTCCACCATTAGTTTGGATAGATAGAATTATTACCAGTCACGATGGCTCTGCCTGTCCTCCTGCCTTTCTCTTTTATTCTTTAAACACGCGCGCACACACACACACACACACACACACATGCAAAGGTGCACATGTCCATTTAACATTATGGGAATAAACATAAGATGAACTGCAGATACATTGCAAATCAGAAACTGCCCACTCAAGCAAGAAATGACATCACGATGGAGAAGCAAATTGCACACTGGGAAATATGATGCATTATGGATCACCTACAAATATACCACTTTGGAATATTGGTGGCCTACCACATGACTTAAGGTTCCCAGGGAGCCACAGTCCATTGTCGCTTCGCAGTGTATGCCCACAATGCTTTTCTGTTTGTCTGGAGGTGGCCCATGCCTGTTTCAAACATTTGTTTATTTCCTTACATTTCTACCCTGCCTTTTCTCCATCACAGAGCCCAAGACAGCATGCATATGGTTCCCAAGCAGCCTCCCATCCAGGCACAGGCCAGACCCAGGCCTGCTTGACCACAGCAAATGGTGACCTCAAGTGCCTTTAGACCACATGCATACAAGCAACGAAACAACAAACCAGGCCTTCAAATATGTGCCTGATCTTGGCCTGTCAATTATCAGTCAATCTGAAGATGAGAGATCAGGGAAAACACTTTCAGGATTCTTCACACAAACCCTGAATTGTCTCTTTAATTCTCTGCAAACAATAGGAAAACAACAATATGTCACAAACAAACAATGCAACAGCGTGAACAGCAGCAGGTCAGGCAGCCAACACATGTGGCCTTTTTTTTTTAACCTGTTTGGTCATGTTACAACAGGGACCATGCCAGAATGCTGCTGACCTCTTGCAATCTGCACACGCCCCTTCACACAAATTCCCCTTCCATTAAGTTCCACCCTTTCGACAACGTATTATTTCATCGAAAGCAGGCAGTCACCACTTTCCAGAGGAATCACTGCTGCTCAAAGTGAAAACCTATGGACTCTGTCACATGACATTGGGAATGAACCTGCCATACGCGCTGCAAGCTGCCTCATACCACGTCAGACACCACCCATTAATGGAGCCTAGCACTTTGCCTACTCCAACAGGAGAAGCCCTTCGAAGTCTCAGGCAGCCAGTCTTTCCCATTAACTTCTGCATGTCAAGCATATCCCTCTCCAAAAGGAATCAAAGACTGGAGTCAGGGCTGCATACACTGTGCACATATGGGCAAGCACAGAAAGATTTCCTGCCTGGAGGTAATCCTGACTCACCACAGGCAACGAGGCAAGTGGCTATTTTCAAGCCTGAGCTAAGGCTAGCAAACCTGGTGTCACAGCTACATGCTTCACTCCCTTCTAATATACAACCTTCTTTCTTTTCTAATACAGTGGTGCCTCACAAGACGAATGCCTCGCAAGACGAAAAACGCGCAAGACGAAAGAATTTTCCGTTTTTTGAGTCGTTCCGCAAGACGAATTTCCCTATGGGCTTGCTTCGCAAGACGAAACGTCTTGCGAGTTCTTGCGAGTTTGTTTCCTTTTTCTTAAAGCCGCTAAGCCGTTAATAGCCGTGCTTCGCAAGACGAAAAAACCGCAAGACGAAGAGACTCGCGGAACGGATTAATTTCGTCTTGCGAGGCACCACTGTAAGTAACCCTGTTGTTACAGAAAAGAAAAAGAGGGGTAAAAGAGGGAGGTGACCAGCAAAAGGAGGCCTTGGGTTTGAATCTGTTCTTCACTGAAACATCTTTTTTTGCATTATTGTATTTATCGACTAAAGATGCAAGTTGTATCACCAGCAAGTTCCAAGATCTAAGTCAGGAAACTGGCAAGTATCCTTGCAGAAACTGCAAGCAGACAGAGGTGTAGTTATGAAACACTTAGGCAACCCTTTTTTGTACTTTACGTCACAGGGTGTAAAGGTGCTGTGGCTGGTTGTTAACATTCAGATCTGCTGTCTTTTTTATTACCTGGCTCTTTGTTAAAAGAAGAATTGTCTTAAGCAGGATACATTAACATTTTGCTTTGCTGATTTAGAGCACAATCCCTCTCTCCTCCCGATGCTAATGACTGGAGGGAGTCAGGGTTGATACACTGGCTTCTTGTCAACAAAGAGAAGATTGTCTGGGGAAGCGAGACTTTACCATAGTGGAGACCACTGTTGTACTCAGGAGTGCATAATGATACCATCAATGCTTATTCCACCAGTAGAAGCAGATGAACTACAGTCCAACAATATATTGAGGGCACCATCTTGGTACCCCTTATTATCCATGGTAAAATCACTTTTCTTTTCATGATCTCTCAATTTACACTACCACACATTTGCTTATTGTCTGAGGCAAACGAAGAAGTTGCCCAGAAATCAAGCATCTACAGGAGAGAAAGTGGCTGGCTGGAGATATCTAGATTCAAAAGACTGAAAGATTCAAAAGACTGAAGGAAAGTGAGATTTTAAAATCAAGTAACCACAGGAGAGAAAGTGGCTGGCTGGAGATATATAGAAATGTACAGTTGGGTACCTCTCAGCTGGCCCAACACCAATCAGAAACACTTATTGCCACTATTTTTCAACCCCACCCCACCCCAAAGAAGCAGGTATTTTTAGATTTGCCAGTGTGCCTTTGTAGTTTGGGGTTAGCCACAAGACACAGATACTCAAAGGAGTTGACTAGAAGCACACCTACAGTTCTGGTCCCCTCATCTCAAGGAGGATACTGTAAATCTGGAAAAGGTTCAGGATAAGTTTTTCTCCCTCTTGTACAATACCAGAACCCAGCACCATCCAATGAAATTGAATGTTGGAATATTTAGGACGTAAAAAAGGACGTACTTCTTCACACAGTGGAATTTGCTCCCACCAGATATAGTGATGGTCACTGACTTGGATGGCTTTAAAAGAGTGTGAGACAAATTTATTGAGGATGGCTACTACCCACAATGCACTCAAGGCCTGTTTGCAGACTTCCCATAGGCGACTGGACTAGGTGGCCTGATTCAGCAGGGCTCTCTCTTCTTATGCTCTTATGTACCACCAGTCAACAGAAGGCTGCTCTGCTTCTTAAACCTGAATTAAGCTGCTCATTGCTCTTCTGTTCTGCAAAACGAAGAACGACAGACTGAGCCAAAAAGAACTCTTACTTCCTGTATAGATTTTGGGGTGTGGAGAGCTGGTGTTCTCAGCAGAAGGCACTGCACTGTAAAGCCAGATTTGCTGAACACTTGATTGCTGACAGATTCAGTGTGCAAAGTAGGAAGTGGCTGGGAATCAGGGTCAAGTTATCATTTGTTAGGCATGTACAAAAGGCATGAACATAGCTTGTTCAAAAAGCATAAGAACTATAGCTCATTTTGGGGGGAGGGGATTCTGCAGAGATCTGAGTGTCTCTAACACTTCTAGTCACACTCAGGTTTCGGATTTAACAGCCACTACCCACATTGGTGCTTTTCTTGCCACGTGGCTTGCTGCTTTCACAATCTGGCTTTTACCTTATCTCCTGCCATTTAACTTGGGACCCTGGTAGTGGCATCACTGCCCCCATCCCAACTCCCACTGCTCCCACTTCACATTTTTTAAGGTTTTTGTAAAGATTCAAAAGACTGGATTTAAGTTCTAAGCTCCACTGGAACCAATACAAGCTTTTGTGACTCACTTCACCCTGCGGATACCCAGGAACTTCTTTCTCAGTTTGCAACCACAGCCCTTCCAATCTACAAGCCGCAGGCAGACTTTGTTACTGTGCTAGAAGCTAAAGCTACACTGGGCACACCCTGACCTTGAGGTTCAAAGGGAAGTTAAGAGATTAATTCTTAAAAGCACCGAGATTAGAAATAACAAACATTATTCAGGGCTGTGGCAATAGGAAAGACCTGATCATTGTAGACATAAAACTGCTCTAAAGAAGAATACTTTTTAAACTACCCAGCTACATAGCTCTGGTGTGTCTGTTCTATGTGCCTCAGGAAGGATGCAAGAGCAAGTCTTCGGCTCACATGCTGCTTGCCTACCAACACCATTCATATACAAGATGGCTTGAGGAGAGGCAGATATTTCTGTCATTCATGCCATCTCTGAACCCTAATATGAAATAGAAGGGACCCCCCCCCCGTTCCCTACTCAACACAAATAAAAAACCTCCCATCTCTCTCTCTACTCAGCCATCTAGCACACAAAATACAAACTAAATAGCTGATTAGTTAATAAAGCTTGTCAATAACTGGTCACAGCCCAACCTATACGATATCACACACACACTCTTTTTTATCATTATTAAATGCTTTATTGAAACTTAAAGGAAACAACAAACAAAAGATTTGTCCAGAAGAAAGAAAAGAAAATGGTAATATTTGTTACATCATATCACAATAAGTTCTTCTTGCATTTCAAACCCCATCATACATCTACAACTTAATCTATCTAGCACACTGTTTGTTTTCATTTTCTTTTGTTAATTTTCATCAGTAATATATTCTCTTCTAATTATCCATCATGCCACAAAAGTCCTTCAAGGCCTGCCACTTACAATAGTCCTGAATAAATTTTTTTTGTACATGTCCCATTTTCTAATAAATGTTTGATCTGTGTCACACACACTCTCAGCAGATGGAAGAGTCATCAGGAGGGCAAAACTTCATCAAAATCTATAATAAGCTCCATGCTTACTCACCCCATGAGAGCCCTACCTTGTGTTGAAATCCTAAGTAATAATCTACCAGGGTCACATGAGCAAAGAACATTAACCCTAAATGCTAGCATGGCAACAACCTGACAAGTGCGACAAAAAACATGAATAAAGGAGAGCAGACAGCTTTCAAGTGGATCCTTAAAATGTAAGCTTACATTCCCAACATGCCTAAGATGTCAATCAGGACCACTGCCAAACGGCAGTAGGTCCTCGGTACAGTTTGGCTGATGTCCCTCCCTGAGGCCAATCTTCCTCTTTGTGGCAACAGCGCCACCAATTCTCCTCCCTGCTTTGTTACTTTAAAATTTTTTAATAAATTATTTGCCACCACAATACCAGCAGCAGCAGCAGCGCTGGCCCCTTCTCTGCCACCAGGACCCTGGGAGAAGGCCAAGGGTCTCCCTCTCAGAGCCAGGCATTTTGGGTGAGGTAGCCAGCTGCTAAAAAGAGGGTGTTTATAAAGGCAGTGAGCAAGGGGGTTGCAGGTCAGCCCTTTGTGAGTCCTGGCAGGTCTTTGTCAGTGTCCAGTCTGGCTGACTGCTGGCACCAGGCCCAATATCAATTACTGTGATTCACAGTTTCATCCTCTTGTTAGGGCTCCGGGATAGTAATCCAGTAACCCGGCAGTCTAAGGTGAAGAGCACAATGGAATAAGTGGATTATATTTTCAAGCACAGGCCTTCAGGGTGTTCTTGGCGAGACTGACTATGAGAACTATCAAAGCACTACGTTATTCTTTTCTTCAGGAGGGCAGGTCTTTAAACCAGTTGAAAGTGCAACGGAACGGCAAATGAGATTTCCTGTAAGTGATACGCATTAGGGGAAAATGCTCCTGTTGCTACATAGGCACTACTTAGGGATCTAAATTGGGTCAGCAAGGAATGAGGTATCTGGGTCATTAATGGAAAGCTCACTCGAAATATCAACCTTTGGCAGAGAGACAATGGAAAAGAATGCAACTTCCATGTTAGACTTTATTAGGTAAAAATCACTAAAAATAAATGAATTAATTATAAATGCTTCTATGCAACTGTACAGTTCAGGCATGTTCCGTACACTGTGTGGTTCTAAAGCCAATCACTACTCAAACGATAAAGGAAAGTTTAATTAAAGCAGTAAAAGGGATGGGACACTCTTCCTAGGAGGGAAGATTGAAAAGCCTGAAACCTTTAGGAGAGAACTAAGGGAGAAAACCATTATAAAGTCTATAAAATTATAAACAGAGAGAAGAGGGGCGCACTTTGCACTCTCTCCAACTCAGTTTAAACTTGACAGCAGGCAAATTCAAATTGCTTTTCCATGTTGCATTCTGCATAGCTACTGTCATGTTCCAACTAGGATTTCAGTCACAAACCCCTAACATGCTATCATCACTGCCTAGAATAGTAGTTAAATTAGGCCTCATAATTCAAGTTAAGTAATAAAGCTATTTGGCAGGGGTTTGAGAGACGTGAAAGGAATCACACCTCTGCATGCAAGTGCAGAAAAGGAAGGACACACAGTGGGCAGGTTTGGATGCTCAATTCGCAGTTTGATAAGCCAGTTTAGTGGCTGGGAGAAAAGCAAGGGGGCCACAAGCTCCTTCCCCCCCTTCCTCAGCGCTTGCATCCAGGTTTAATTAACAAAATGTTAGCCGCTGCATCCAAAAAATGGAAGGGTGGTTTATCCAACAAGGGGAGAAAGGAAGCAGTAGTCCTCATCCTTCATGTCACAAGCATGATCTGATCCAAGCAAATCCTGGATTTGCTTTACCCAACAAGTAAAAAAGCAAACCATATACGTCAGGTGTGGGGAACCTCTGGAGCGCCAGATGTTGCTGAACTACAACTCTCATCATCCCTGGCCACTAGCCATAATTGCACTGATGGGAGCAAACGTGGTAACCTCACAGTTGGATTACTGCAATGCACTGTATGTGGGGCTACCTTGGTCCTTGATCAGATGCACAGCATAGCAACTACCGTATTTTTCGTTCTATAGGACGCACCGGTCCATAGGATGCACCTCGTTTTGGGGGAAATGAATAAAAAATTATTCCCCCGCGGCTGCCGCCCCCAAGCCTCGCGTGCTTCGGGCTGCAGGCTGCCTCCCCAAGCCTCGCGCGCCGGCGGGACCTCCCACCGGGCGCGCGAGGCTGCAGACACTCGCCCGAAGCACGGGAGCCCTCCGGAGGGCTCCCCGTGCTTCGCGCATGCTGCAGCCCCAGCCCTGCGCGCCGGGCGGGACCTCCTGCCGGGCGCGCAAGGCTTGCAGACTCGCCCGAAGCAAGGAGCCCTCCGGAGGGCTCCCGTGCTTCGGGCGACAAGCTGCAGCCCCAAGCCTTGCGCGCCGGGCGGGACCTCCTGCCGGGCGCGCAAGGCTTGCAGACACTCGCCGAGCACGGAGAGCCCTCCGGAGGGCTCCCCGTGCTCCGGGCGACAAGCTGCAGCCCCAAGCCTTGCGCGCCGGGCGGGACCTCCTGCCGGGCGCGCAAGGCTTGCAGACACTCGCCGAAGCACGGGAGCCCTCCGGAGGGCTCCCCGTGCTTCGGGCGACAAGCTGCAGCCCCAAGCCTTGCGCGCCGGGCGGGACCTCCTGCCGGGCGCGCAAGGCTTGCAGACACTCGCCCAAGCACGGGAGCCCTCCGGAGGGCTCCCGTGCTTCGGGCGACAAGCTGCAGCCCCAAGCCTTGCGCGCTGGGCGGGACCTCCTGCCGGGCGCGCAAGGCTTGCAGACACTCGCCCGAAGCACGGGAGCCCTCCGGAGGGCTCCCGTGCTCGGGCGACAGGCTGCTGCCCCAAGCCTCGCGCGCCCGGCGGGACCTCCTGCCGGGCGCGCAAGGCCTGCGGACACTCGCCGGGGCTGCAGGCTGCTGCCTGCAAGCCTTGTGAGCCCGCTGGAACTCCCACCGGGCTTGCAAGGCTTGCGGATAGCTTCCTGAAGCCTGGAGAGCGAGAGGGTCGGTGCGCACCGATGCCTCTCGCTCTCCAGGCTTCAGCGAAAGCCTGCATTCGCTCCATAGGACGCACACACATTTCCCCTTCATTTTTGGAGGGGGAAAAGTGCGTCCTATGGAGCGAAAAATACGGTAGGTTGTTTGTGGGAGAAAACAATGTAACACTGTGCTTGCAGGATTTGCACTGGCTGCCTATCTGCTATGAGGCCCAGTTCAAGGTATAAGGCCCTACATAGCTCTGGACCAGGTTACGTGAGAGACTGTCTTATCTCTTATCCATCCAGTAGATTGCTATGGTCTGTGGTGAAATTTCTCCTGCAGGTTACAAAGTGCTCAGAAGCCTCCTCCACAGTAATTCAGAGCAGGGGTTTTAGCGCAGCTGCCCCTCTTCTGTGGAATAGCATCCCTGTCGAGATATAACAGCGGCCAGCTGTCTGCACTTTCTGGAATCAATTGAAGTCATTTATTACTTCATTTATGAGAGCCAGTGTGGTGTAGTGGTTCAGAGCGGTGGATTCGTAATCTGGGGAACCGGGTTCGTGTCTCCGCTCCTCCACATGCAGCTGCTGCTCTCAGCCCCACTCACCTCACAGAGTGTTTGTTGTGGGGGAGGAGGGGAAAGGAGAATGTTAGCTGCTTTGAGACTCCTTCGGGTAGTGATAAAGCGGGATATCAAATCCAAACTCTTCTTCTTCTTCTTATGTTCTGACTTTGGCTTTCCCAGCTGGATTATGAGGTTTTTACCACAAGCGTCTACTTCTTACTGTTTTTGCCTTGTTTTAACAGTGTTTGCTGCTTTTGTGTTTTCAACTGTTTTTTAATTATCTTATGTGAGATGGTGATTTAGAAGGTGTTTAGTAAATCAGTAGTAGCAATAGCAACATCTGAAGGACCAAAGGTTCTTCGCACCTGAAACACGTGAAATGCTCTTCTTTACCATCTTTGCTCTAAATTGCTTCCTACTTTTTCCTTTTCTTTTTTCCCCCTAAAAGAGATGTTTCTGAGGTAACTGGAAGGCATTAGCACTGTGGTTGGAGGAGAAGAGTCTTAAAGCCATACCTTTCATTTTGGAATCGTTCAGTCTGCCAAGGGGAAGGTTGGCTTCTTTAGCAAACCTAAACTTTTACACCCAATCATAGTTTATGCATTTAGAGAATAAATAACCTGCCTCACAAATGGAGTGCAGGATAGGCGATGCTAGGATAGTGAGCAGGATAATTTTACACTAGCATGAGTGTGGGATATTAGCAAGGGCAGGAAGTCAAACAGCCTTCTAAGTACCTTACAGTGCAAAATTTTGCATGTCTTCCCTGAAATAAGGCTCACTGGGTTCAGTGGGTTTTACTTCCCTGCATGTAAAGAGGTTGCCACTTCCGTTTGTCTGCAATAACTAAGACTGCTAAACTATTCCATTGGAATAAGTCTACATAGGACACAGCTGGAATACAAGCTCTACCAAAAAGATGTTCACTGTAAAGGATATAAACTGTATTCCTTAACCGTCATCTGGCAAAAAAACCACACCACCCAGCATTGTAAGTGCTGTTCACACAGACACTTTTTGAGAGCTGCCTAAGTGTCCCTAAAAAGATTTCCCCAAAAAAGGGTTCATGTTCAATCCCTTGTGTCTCCAGGCAGGGCTGGGAAAAGCTTCTTCAGGAAACCCTGACAAGCCACTGTCAGTTGGTGTTGAGCTGGGCAGCCCAGTTGGTTTACAGGAGCTTCTCACGTTCCTGTGACCTTTACTGTATCTCTGTGGCAAAAAGCTATTGCTGGACGGAATTCCTGAATGCAAGGAGCCCAGGAGCAAATCTGCTGGGGGACTGGCCATGCCAAACAACATGGACAGAGAGTGGGGACAGTAGATTTCACACTCAACTTTGTGGGCATCACAGAAGCTCATTATCTTTTTTTTTTTTAAGTGCTGAAAATGAAAGCTTTAAAACCATTTATTTCACAAGTGGTGTCTTCCATAAGAAACTGACAAGCTATAAACACATTTGAAATGACCAAAGAGAATTGTGAAATCTGTGGTTCCTTTTAAGGAGATCATTGCACTGCCATTTAGAAAGATGCCCAAAAGATCAACCCTTCCTTCAAGCCGAGTCATAGAAAGGCCATAAAGACTGGGGCTTTCCATTCTAGAAATGGAAAAAATGTGATCACACACACACACACACCAGCAGCCATTAAAACCTCATTTCATGCAAACCATTCTTTCAGAGCTCCTTCTCTTGTTACTAGTACATCTGCTTTTCTGCTCTGCTAAAGTACCTTTGGATGTTCACACACACACACTGAGAGGAAATGTAAATTATTTCCAAAAACATTATTTTTGCAGTGCTGCATTTCAGGGGCCATCCATAATACTCTTAATGCACATCAGGCCATTTTCAAGTTGCTTTCCAAAACCCGGAGATCCCATCATTAGAAGCAGTTGCATCAAAATGAGAAGAAGAAGAAAAAAGCAGCATCAGCAGCGAGGACAAGAAAAGCATCAAAAAGTCTTATGTGGCTTAGGCAATGAGTCAAGAAGCACTGCCATATTGAGCAACAGGAGGCCCGAGGAATGAGAAGAGAGCAGGCGGCAGCAAAGGAGAAAGCTTCAAGTAAAATAAAAATAAAAATCTGGCATGAGTCGGTAAACAAGAAAGTTCCTGCTCTTACAAGTACACTGTAGAAAATGTTCTCGTCAGTTGGGCCAGACTATTTTGCACGAAAAGAATCCTGCTGTCATGGATAGTGCAGAAGACGGGGATTTCAATGCACCCCCCACATAATGAAAGAATAGTGTGGCCGGAATGTGTCTGAACTGTGATGATGCTTCTTCTTCACCTGGATGGTAGAGAGGTGTGTGTAGGCAGAAACCTCTGGACTGTGTGGCTGGGATATAGCGAAACTACACAAAAGGAAGAGTCACAACTGCTGTTCTCCCTACTTTTGCATCTGGCGCTGCCTACCACCCGTATGAGGTCTCCAGGAAGGTTCTCCGTAAAATAATTCGACCCCCTCCCCTTCCCAGGCTGAAAAAAAAGTTTGCTTTAAAAAACCTTCAACAAGAGGAGTATCTTCCTCTTTCCTCACTACTACAGAGTACAGAATCTCTGAAACAAAGTTAATGATCTAAATTTTAATCTCCTCTCTCCCACTGAGACATCCTTGGTGCCCCTGGCAATTGCTCTTCACCAAATATAGAAGACGGAAAGACTCAAGAGGAAAATTCCTTTTATGCAGGCCTCCCTCAAGTTTTACAGCAACGCGTCACATATATAAATATACCTCAAGTCAGCCATGACTAAGTGTGCGGATTCCTATGCCGCATCCATCCATGAGTATTCACTGGTTCTAAAAAGCCTAACACTGAATCACCTATGCTGGGAGGAAAGAGAGGGAATGTTTCTCATATACAGAATAATGTTTGTTAGATAAATAGACAGACAGATACATAGACATATAGACATACACACATGCAAGGATCATCCTAGTAAGCTGCTTAGGAGGCATAATGTTTCTAAAGATCATGAAATTGAAGCATCACAGAGTTTTTCCACACAAAGTAATCAACCACAAGTTCCAGAGTCCTCTTCTGGAAAATTCTAGAAGCAGAAGCAGACTTCAGATTACCTTCCCAAGGCCAGTGACTCAAGTGGGAGCAGCAATGAAATGCTATTAACTTTTGACTAACCACAAGATCTCCATCTTTCCTGAACTGCTGGATAAGCTCAAGTAGATTTGGAGACTACCAAAGTCAATTAGTTGGCTACATTAGTGGTACATATTTTCATGGGAGCCATCTAACAATTCAGATATTTGGATCATGGGTATTTATTTAGCTGTAGACACAACTAGGGATGCGGGTGGCACTGTGGTCTAAACCACTGAGCCTCTTGGGCTTGCCAATCAGAAGGTTGGTGGTTCGAATCCCTGTGATGGAGTGAGCTCCCGTTGCTTCTACCAACCTAGCAGTTTGAAAGCATGCCAGTGTGAGTAGATAAATAGGTACTGCTGTGGTGGGAAGGTAAACAGCGTTTCCGTGCGCTCTGGTTTCTGTCACGAAGTTCCGTTGCACCAGAAGCAGTTTAGTCATGCTGGCCACATGACCCAGAAAGCTGTCTGTGGACAAACGCCGGTTCCCTCGGCCTGAAAGCGAGATGAGCGCCACAACCCCATAGTTGCCTTTGACTGGACTTAACCATCCAGGGGTCCTTTACCTTTTACCTTAGACATAACTAAGCTTCTTGCCTGGAAAACCCCTGACCAGTCCATATTCATGCACTAATCTCACCATCCCGATTCTCATCAGCTGATGAGAGTCACCAGCACGTGAGAATCATGGAGATAATAAAACTAAATTGGAAGAAACAGCTGGTGGGTAGCGGTAGGAAAAAGAGGAGTAGAAAACAGTGAGAGCAGAGAAGGGAATGCCTTCCCATTGGAATGTAACTGATATCGAGTAAGCAAGAAGGTGCACACATCACTTGCTGGGAAAAACAAAAGCTATTTCTCAATGAGGGATAAAACTTGTATGTGGACCATCCCACTTGAAGCTGCAAGTTCATATAAATTAATGCTTCTTCAGTCAAAATATTACCTCCATACAGTACACTAGTAAGTCACGGAGAAAGACTTTAGTGTAGCCTTGTCCTTGACATGCTTGCATTTTAGTAAGCCAATCCAAAAACTAGCTTCTAAAAGGGAAATATTTGGAGACTGATTCTGAGCTATCTTTCCAAGAGAGACAGCACAAAGGATGCGGAGTTTCGTAAGACTTCAGCAGCCCTGACCTTTAGGCCCTCCAACCGCTGTTGGACTCAAACTCCCATCAGCCTCCACTAGCATAGCCAATTATTGGTGCATGCATGTGGGGAATATTATATTGGTCTATCTCATGGGTAGGCAAACTAAGGCCCGGGGGCCAGATCCGGCCCAATCGCCTTCTAAATCCAGCCCGCAGATGGTCCAGGAATCAGCATGTTTTTACATGAGTAGAATGTGCGCTTTTATTTAAAATGCATCTCTGGGTTATTTGTGGAGCCTGACTGGTGTTTTTATAGGAGTAGAATGTGTCCTCTTATTTAAAATGCATCTCTGGGTTATTTGTGGAGCCTGACTGGTGTTTTTACAGGAGTAGAATATGTGCTTTTATTTAAAACACATCTCTGGGGCATAGGAATTTGTTCATTTATTTTTTCCCCAAAATATAGTCCGGCCCCCCACAAGGTCTGAGGGACAGTGGACCGGCCCCCTGCTGAAAAAGTTTGCTGACCCCTGGTCTATCTGATTATAATGCTAGTGCTTCTGTCTCATTTTCTAAGGTTCCTTTCATACTGCAGTACCTGTTGCATTATAGAATTATAGCTTTTGGCCAATATACTGGCCTGTCGTGCTAAATTTCATTCGCACCAGTGAGCGTGGTGTGACACAACAAGAATGACTGGACATTACTATTCACCCATCCTTTCCACTCAGGCATGCTTCTATTCCCTCATGAAAAGAGCAGGAAGGAACCGTATGCTGGTATGCTGCCCCAAATTTCATCACTTCACTCCTGCAGTGTTCTGAGTTAATGCAAACAGATTTTTTTCTGAAAGCAATTAACATGGAAAAGAGTGCTGAACTTCCCCTACATTCCCTTAGATTTCCAGAAGTGACTTCTATTTCATATCTGTGTCAAATACAATGTGGAATTTACCAGTTAGGGAAACACTGAGGGAACAGAATAAACTACGATGTGGATGCAGCCTATCAGGGATGACGGTTGATGTAGTCGAGCATCATCTGTAGGGTCAGAGGTTCCCCAACTATGGGTTAAAGAAAGAAGGAGTTTCACAGGAGAAGCCTACACACTAGATGGGGATTAATCTGTAAGTGGTTCAGTTATCTACTGGCTGAGAGTTGTTCCATAGCAGCCATGCAAAACAGAAGCACCTGTAGTCATTACTAGAGAATTAGGCTGGAATCTATTGGAGGAGTCACCTAATGGAAGAACAGGGGAAACAATTTTTGCCAATCTTCCTTTCCCTCTGCAGCCCACCAACTCCCAGACTTCTCCCACCCTGTTCTGGAGGGTCCCTCAACTTTCTTGAGTTGGCTTTCAGGAACAATAGGAGCAGGGGAAGAGGGATCAGTGCAACTTGCTTCCTGTCCTCTTCTATAAGTGGATCAAAATCCTTTTCACTACCACAAGGGCACCCATTAGATTCTATCCCGTGCTTCTTTGGTTAGACAAGTTTTCAACTGCCACCATATCAGACACTCCAATGGCTAACATTGACTACAACCTTTTATTTACATTGCACAGGAGACAGATTTTGAAAGCACCCAGAAAATGGCCCCGTGAACAGAACAGTCTACACGGCCACCTCACTTTGGCCAGACAGCAAGTATCTTATTCCATCTAATGGGACTCTGGTCTGTTGCTTCACAAAAATATCAGCAAGCACCCTCATGGGAAAAGTTGTTCAAAATATGAAGGGGTTCACAGTATGTCCCAAAGGAAGCTTCACTGGCAACCAAAAAACCCCCAAATAAGGATAAAACCTACTGTTCTTTTAAAATTAAAGTTGTGTGGATTCTTGAGTGGATTCTTCTAGTGGATGCATTCCAGAAGCTTCCACTAGAATCTTCCTCTGGGTAGCTCTAGGCCAGCCACCCACCCTGCCCAAGTTGACTGGTGGCAGCCAGATTAATGAAGTGAAGAAATATTTATTTGTTAATTTTGTATCCAGCTTTTCTACCACTGGTACACAACTGAAGAAGCTGACACCAAAAGACAACAACACAAAATCAATGTAAAACTTACCATCCTCGATGACGATTTTGATGAGGCGGACTGAACCGTTCCGGGCCTTGGCAAAAAAATCCTTTAATTCTGTTGTGGCTAAAAGAATCAGAAACATATTGATCAGGATCTGAAAAGGGAAACCCAAACTTTATTCCACTCTTCAAAACAAGGTAAAGGAAAAAGAAAAAGGAGAAAGAACTAGTACAGTTTTTTTTTAAAAAGAAGAAAGATTTCAGTTGCTCTGATCGACTGTGTGGTGAAGTATTAACTCTCACAGAAGTTTCAGAGTTAAATACCGGCTGGGAGGGAGCGCATGTGATCGAAAGAACTTGATACTTGGCTTGAGCGAACATAATATCCCAAATTTAGCAGATAGTTTGGCTTGCAAAGGCAGGGTGGGCTCAGGTGACAGTTTATTAAATATACAGTGTATCCTGATGTATACACAGGGCAGAGGGAAAGGAGCCTGCTGGGATTAGGGGTGATGATGGGCAGAGGCAGCACTGTTTTTGCTCTTGCAATGACGATGTTTTGCTTTAGATGCCCCAACCAGAAACATGTGATACACCCCCCCAACCAGTGAGCTGCCAAGCAAACAGCCAGCCAGACATTTATAGGAATCGGAACTGGAGCTGCTCTGGCATTCGCCCTCTGCCTGTCCTATGTCGACCCTAGAAGGATAATATGCTATGAACCCGAGAGAAGAGAAGCCAGCAAAGTTCTTGGCAAGGCCGCAGGTGCTTGCCAAATGAAAAACCTGTTGGGTTGTGTGTTGCCGACAACAACAGATAATGTCACCTTTATGGACGGCAGGAAGGATTTGAGTTACTTTGGTTGAAGATGATGTCATCTGCCAAACCCTTTCATCCTGCTCACCAAACATGGATACAACAGCTCTAGGTGAGCTGGCTGACAGGAATTGCATTTTACAGGCCATGCATTTCCCTGTGAGAACAAGTGATAGTAAAAGATAAACTAGCTAAGTAGGAATTAAAGGCTCATTAGCATCACTGTGTAATTAGAACAATTGAACTAACTGAGTAAACAAGGAAGCCCTGGAAAACATCTGATTCTCTGACCTGGCAGAGGCCAAATTTTCACATAATGCTAAGCCAAACTACTACTTAGCATGGAGGCTCCCAAACAAGCAAGCATGCTCACTTCACTCCTTCCCAGAATTTTTAGCTCAGAGTTGCGCAGCTACTAAGCCAAGGTCTGACTTGTGTGTCCTCCAAGCCAAGGGTCACACAAGTCTCCCCTCCTGAGAGCCAGCGTGGTGTAGTGGTTAAGAATGGTGGACTCGTAATCTGGTGAACTGGGTTCGCTTCCCCGCTCCTCCACATGCAGCTGCTGGGTGACCTTGGGCTCTCAGCCTCACTCACCTCTCAGAGTGTTTGTTGTGGGGGAGGAAGGGAAAGGAGATAGTTAGCCACTTTGTGACTCCTTCAGGTAGTGATAAAGCGGGATATCAAATCCAAACTCTTCTTCCTCCTTAACCCAAAGATTTTGTCGTGACTAAGGAGAAGAGACCTTAAGCATGAACCCCAGTTTGACTTAGCTGCAGTTTTGCACAGTTAAAAAAGGAGGAAGCACAGTGGGCGTGAGAACCTCTTTATTTATTTTTTTAAATGATATTTATTAAAATTTCAGAGAAAAAAAGAATTGCAGAAAAACAAAAAGTAAAAATACAAGAAAAAAACAAAATACAAAATACAGAATAAAAGAATAAAAGACACTTAAAAAGAAAAAAAAATGGATCAATCTTTCCATAGCTTACATTCATATCCTTGTTTCCCTGACCTCCTCATACCTCCCTTTTTTGTATTCCAGTTCAATTAGTTAAGTCAGCAATTTCTTTCCCTCTTTGTTTTCTCATGATCCTTTAACTTAATATACTATAACTTTAAATTTTCATCTACTATCAATCCTTTTTTACATACACCTTTATAGCATTACTGCTTAAACCACCTAGCTTCAGCGTGAGAACCTCTTTAGGCACCAACGCTGTGCCAGTAAGTTATACTTTGGTTTACCGCAACTTGTGTACTGGACCCACAATGCTGGTTCTCTGCTAACCATGGTGTACAAATCAGCAGCTGGCTTCAGGAATGCACCCTCCCTCTACTCCTCTCCAGCATGCATTGCCCCTCCCTTCCCTAATCAAACTTAACTGTGGTTTAGTGCTACATCTGCACCAAATTGGGCTAAAGCCTACCACATTTGCATCATAACTGGCATTTGAATCAGGTTGGCAAACCCTGGTTAAGAGAGAATTTCATTAGCATGTGCTTTCTTGAAGTTGTCGTGATTTGAAAAGCAAGGTGTATTTCTGCACCAGGCTACTGCATTTGTTACCATGATTCACCATCTATGCTTCAAGATCAGCATGGTGGAACTGAAACCTGTTGATCCTATTAGATTAGAGCTGGGGAACCTCTGGCCCACAGGAATCCAATCTGGCCTGCAAGGCCATTTTCTCTAAACCATGCCCACCTGTCCGTCAGCTGATGGACAGGAGGGCAGGGTTCAATTCTACATTGGCTGTGGCTATCTGACTCTTGAAGCCAAAAAGGTTCCCTACCTCTTAATTAGATTTTTCAGGAGTCAAATACAACATAGGCAACTTTTTGTGGGACCACTTTGGAGAAGTTGACGCTGATCTTGCAGTCTTCCATGATTATATGGTACCTGGATGTATTGGCAACTGATGCAAAATCCAAACAAAACCAAAGTAATGGCAGTTTGCAGGCTCTGCCCATGCAAGTCTTGGGAAATGATGTCTCACTGATGGTACTTGTTCACTCTGATCTCGCCAGTCACAGCCTGTCCTAGCTGAATCTTCCAGTTATGGCAGCAGCTGGGAAAGAAGGCTGCAAACCTTTGGTACAGATTAACTTGTGTGATGTTTAGCCAATACAAGATAGATGAACGCACAGCACTGATCTGCAGCGCTGATCTTAGAATCTACCTGGGGCTACAAATGGTACAGATTGCAGAGGAGTGCCTTTGGATGAGGCACCTCCTGAGGAGTCAATTGCTCCAGGATCTAAAGGTGGCTCTCAACTGCCTCCTAAATACTAATGTAATACGTTAGTATTCATTTTAACCTATGAAACTAACTCAGGGAAAGCCAACATGGTGCCCTCCAAATGCTGCTGAACTTCAAATCCCATCAGCCCCAGCCAGCATGGCTATGGGGCAGGGAATATAGGGGTTGTCTCCTAACATTTGGAGGGCACCACATTGGCTACCCTTGCTAGCTCATGCTAAATCCCTACATGATTATCTCCTTCTATGTACCCTTGCTGATCTTATTGGCCATGCAAAGCACTCCAAAACAAGCATTTCACCACACAAAGCAGCAAAGTAATCAAATATATACTTTTACCAATGCAGATTTTTCATTACTCATACAGCCTGATGCAAAGGGAAAACTATGTAAGCCTGTGTGTGACAATACCTTAAAAGGCATTGTCACTGCTTGCTCCTAACAGCTGGACTTCCCCCTTCTGGCTGTGTGCATAAGTGAACACACACTGGTTTACTTTATCATACACAGCTTCTTCTGGCTCTCTCTCACAGTCACAGCCCACAATGCTGTTTGAGAAGGGCCATAGCTCAGTGGAAGAGAACATGCTTGGCATGTAAAAGGTCTCAGCATCTCCAAGGAGGACTGTGGAAAGACTCCTGCCTGCCTGAAAGCCTGGAGAGCTATTGTCTGTGTAGATCAGGGTTTCCCAAACTTGGGTCTCCAGCTGTTTTTGGACTACAATTCCCATCATCCGTGACCACTGGTCCTGCTAGCTAGGGATGATGTGAGGTGTAGTCCAAAAACCGCTGGAGACCCAAGTTTGGGAAACCCTGGTGTAGACCAAGTGTCTGACTGGTGGAAGGCAGCTTCCTATACTCCTCTCCCCTTTGGGTGTGACTCAAGACACATTGGCTGAGAGTTGAAGCACCACTAGCCTCTACAGCTGACACAGCTTTCCTTATTCCTCAGGTACAATGCTCTTGGACCCAGTTTGCTGGAAATAGAGCTGGAGAAGTTGTGCTTCACAGAAGCCTGCAGTAAGTCTCCACTTTCCTAAGACATTGGTCTCTTACACCTGCACAGACCAAAAGTGAACCTGCTTCTTTCCACCACCCCCCCAAAAAAACCCCCAAGCTCAACAGCCCATACTGTTGTAGTAGTAGGCACTTTGCAGCTGGCGAGTCCTTGGTTTCCCTCATCCTTTCCCTGCTCCGTCTTTTGTGTTTCTCTCTGCGATGCCGCAACTGCTAGTGTGCTTGAGTAGAATTAGCCATTCAATGGCCCTGGGGACATCATTGTGTGTGTAAATATATTGCTTGTGGGGGTGAGTTTTAAGAGGAGTGCTGCCTCAACCAAGCGAAACATTTTCCTGCAAAGGCTGGGAGCATCACCTTTCAAGAAATTCCTCATCCCTCTGCCTCCCACTGCTTTTAAGGATGCAGTTCCTCTCTTTGTTTTCAGGAGACAGACTTACATGTAACAACTTAAAATATTTGCCCTACAGGCAAATGTCAAATGTAATGCCCAGAACTGTGACCTTAGGAGCTTACTTCTCTAGTATGTTCTGTAGATTTGTACACTCATATCAGATGCCTATTTCTAAGGAAGATACTGCTCAGCCTGCAAGATATCTAGCACAGCATTAAACAGGGATTAATTATTTGGTCCTGACTAGATCCAAGCTTCCCAGTATTGTGCTGCCAATGCTCATTACAAGCGTCCTTTGTAATCAGACTTAGTAACAGAGAACCTTAACACACAATGCCAGCTGTAAAGGTGGAGAGTGAACGTTCCAAAGATACCCTTTTGAGTTGCTTTACAAAAGGAAGCCATGACAATTTCTCTTATTAATACAGAGGAACTTTGAAAGGCTGCAGGAGCCGTCACTCAGCACGGCTCAGGTTCATCAACTCCAGCCACCGCCAGAGGCCATATCTATTCCATATCACAGGACATCAAAACCCTCTGTTTTAGCACAGATGTGGCCCAAGGAAAATTATTTACTCTGCTTCGAAGACCCCAAGATATGCAAGCAGTTAAAAAGTCCCCCCCCCCCCAGGAACTACTGTGGATCAGAATAGATATCTGTAAGACTGGGAGTAGAAGATCAAAAACAGAACAGGAAGCAGACAACTATATTTTTTTTTACTTACTTACTTACATAGAATACTTAAATCCTGCTCATGTCTTCCAGCTAGACTGCAACTCCCATCATCCCTGCCCATTGGCCATGCTGGCTGGGGCTGATGGAAGTTGGAGTTCAACATATCTGGGTGACACTGGCGTAGCTACCACTGTATTTCTCAAAGAGACTTGCAAAAGTTTATCACAATAAAAATCACATTCAAGTCTTCCGTCAGGAGCAGAAATAACCTGGTGCCCCTACGGTGCCAGGGGGCATTTCCTGCCCTTATCCTTGGTGTTGTTCTTTAGCTTGAAAGGAATTGTGCAGCCTTAGTTTCCTTGCAGGTGAACAGAGAGCACTAAACAAACAAACAAAAGTCCACCGTCTGTAAGGAGATATAATTCAGCAGTTGCACATGAACTGAATGACCAAGAGTTTGGATCATGCTCACCGGTGGATTCCCTGTAAAGGCTTTATTTAGTTGCTAACTGACATGTTTCCATTGTTATAGCAACCGGTTACTACATATGCCTGTTCAGGAAGGACATGATTGTTGTTTTGTTGTGTATTTTAATTATGTATGTATTTTATAATTGATTTCATAGTTGGAAACTGCTTACAAGTCACTCTGGCATGTAAGTGACAGATAAATTAATGATAACAACATGAATTTCCAAAAGAGAACCTTTATTTAAATCAAAGATGGGAAGAGTACGCAATTATTTTCATTTGACATATTCTGCCATTGACTGTTTTTTCCTCATTATGTATTTCAACACACCTGCCTGTTGTAATCTGAACTGGGCATGAATATATCCTGACATTTACGACATATTTGCCTGAGTCTACTCCTGCTACACCAATTCACTGTTTACAACTGTGATCGCATCATATTTTCACACGTACCCCACACCAGGAGAAGAGTGGACCAAGTTTTAGTATGAGCATCTTTTCCTCCATCATCTCATGTCCCATCACCAGCTGGATCAATAATACATGAACCCTGAAATGAATGCCCTCCTGAGTATGTCAAGTCACTCTGTCCTCCTGACAGGAAATCTGAGCCTGTGGCTATCAATCTTTCATTCTCTGGACGTAATCTTTATGTTAAGGAGACTTCAAGTAGCTGTTTTCGTTTCCCATTCACTGGGTTTGAGGAAATAGGTGCTACATTTGGTATTATGACTAAAACAAATCCCAGAAGGTCGTGGCCTTATAGGGTTCCCAAGTAAGGCCATCCTGACCTCCTGGCTAGCTGCTCCTCAGGTGTTCTTGTTCTGAGCATTATTTCATGGCACTCCCAACTCTCCAGATCTCCCCCAGTTGCTGCATTGACACCTGTCCTTTGTTGTACTATAGACGCCGCCCAAAAGCAAGAGCAGAAGCAGCCAAATAGATACACACAGAGAGAGCTTTGTTGGTATGAAACAATGCAAGCTCCTTAACATTTAAGCTTCTGTAACAGCTTCCTTTGCGTGCGCACCAAAAACTCTTCTTATCTGAGGCCTGCGCTAGACCTGTCTCTAATCGCAACAGCCTTGGTATGTTGGCTACTCCATGCCATGGTCATTATGGCCAAGATGAGGTTAGCATCTGGAATGTCTGCAAGTCGCTTTGAGGTTATTTACTACAATCAAGTGGTACATAAATGTTATGAAATAAACAAATAAATACCATCATTTGGTGGAAAGCTTTCATGTCGACATACCACCAGCTTTTGTAAGGAGTACCCAGCAATGGTGTTAAAAGTTTCAACACAACATCACCACAGTAGTGAGCGCTCTCTCTCTCTCTTGTGCTCTCTCTCTCTCTCTCTCACACACACACACACACACACAATGGCTGCCAGGCACCAGCCACTGCATGGCAAGCATCATATACAAGCTAGAAAGTTACATGAGAGAATATTAAAATAACTGTTATGCCCAAGGGAGCAGGAGTGGGTAGCAGCGCCCTCAATACCACCAGCTAAACATTGTGATATATCAGCGTATCACAATGTCTGAAATAAAGATGGAACTGTGTAGAGGTGAGCGTCCCCCAAGGGATGAAAAAAAGAGTACTGTTGATATATAACTGGCGTAGAAAGCTGGGTTGAGCAATCGCTTGCTTCTAGAAGTAATTTCTCTCTAAAGATTTATAGGCCACAAGTGCAGGTCAGGCAGGCAATGAATGAAGCATGCCGCTGGCTAGCTTAACTCCAGAAGGAATAGCTGAGGAATATCTATGCCACCAACCCAGGCTAGAGTCCCAATTCTACTTCTGCAGTTTTGTCATGTTTCAGTATGGCTTTTACGCACCTGCCTCAGCTTTTGGGGATGGAGGGTGGCCATGCTTCAGGCCCATCTAATTGAGACACAGTACTTCTTAAGTACCTGCTCCAAAGGCTTCCAGGACTGAGTGCGCCATGGCAAAGGTCAGCATTTCTTGGCCATGTTGTCACTCCCGGCAGGGGTCTTAAGCTTTGATTTAACTGTCATGTTTGGCTTGGATGCATTTTACTGACCTCATAAACAAGTCCCTGATATGGTCATGGAGGCAATCAAAATTCAGGACAGCTGTCCCTGCTTTCCGATGGACTCCCGATAAGAAACGGAGGGGTTACTTGCAAGACAACAAGTCCCTCCTGTCTGAAATCTAGCCCTAGTAGTTCAGCTTCACAAAGAGCCAGAGAGTCCTGCCGGTGTATAAATTACTCCCTGAACTCCAAGCCTGTAAAACAATCTCATAGCTGCTTGTCATTCACCCTCCCAAGAGTCGGGCAATGACTGGAGACGGCTGGATCAGGTGTCAGGTCCCCAGAGCCCAAAGGATGGATCCTGACAATCAGCTTATTACACTAAAAGGTTCTTAAACACACTGTTTCCAAGGGGGTTTCCTCTGCTTGGATAACTTTAAACGCTCAGCTTCACAGGGCCTTAATTATTCAGACAAAATTACAGCTCTGTATCAAGTGCAGCTCCTTTGTTTGTGTAAAAAAACCTCCTCTCCATTTTCTGAACACACTAGCCTTTAGCACTCTCCACAAAGCGACGGAAAGGACAATGAGAGCTTCTGGTATGGAACGGAGCTGGTAAGAACATTCAAAATAATAATTTGATCTGCCAACCAGATCTGCAGAATGTGCTTGTGTCTGCTCAGGTCCCATTGAAATTAACCATGTTTTGGTTTCATTGTTTTTATTCACCGGTCCCTAAGGTCCCAAGGCAGGTTACATTAAAACGCAGTAGTAAAAACTTTAGTTCGTAAAAGAAGAGCTGGAGGACCATTGGCTCTCCAGATGCTGCTGGACTCTCATCTTCCCCATCACCCCTAGCCAGCATGGCCAATGATCAGGAATGATGGGAACCCAAGAAGATCTGGAAGGCCACCATCCCTGATGCAGAGATGAAAAGAGAGTCTCTCGGAATACAACCTGCTTCACCCATGACACTACATGGCGGTGAACACACATTTGCCACCAGGGTGTAGAGAGGGCAAGAAGCTGAGGCCCAATCCTGCCTCTTTGGCAGGTGCAACTGCTGTGCTTTTGCAAAGACCTGCTTGTCATCGTGAAGGGATGCCCCTTGCCTAGATTGAGGCATCTGTGCGCTACCGTACTGTCTGCTTTTTTCTTTCAGCTGTATCTGTTGTTTTATTGAATTCTAATGTTGCTCCCCGCTCTGGGATTGTGTCAAAAATGAAGAGCAGGTTATGAATGATGTAAATAAACAAACTGCATTTTAATTAGAAGCAGCAATGTATTGCCATGTGAAAGGCAAAAAAGAAGTGTGCCCATGTAAAAATGTTAAAGGGCCCTTAAAAAATATACAATTGACCCACGAAGTCATCCAAGAACTAAGCAATGTCTTTCTTATCACAATACATAGCAAGGTTAGCGACTATTTTCCAGCTTGAGGGCCATGTTAGTGGGTGGGCAATCTTCTGGGGGCCGCATGCCAGGGATAGGCAGGGCCAGGGGCAAAAAGTAGGTAGGAATAACAGATGTGACACCTCTGCACAGCAGGGTACATTCCAGCAAGACAAAAATCAGAGTTTCTCTCTCTTACTTCCATTCGCACACATTATATTATCCACTCAGGCAAGAAAGAGGCATAATCACAGTTCAAGGAACTTGAGGAGGTGGCAGAACAGGACCAGTGAGTGTTGTGGGCCAGAAAAAGGGGATATGGCCTTGGAAAAGTCCCAAGGGCCACATAGTGAGGCCTGGAGGGCCACATTTGCCCTTGAAGCCTGAGGTTCCCCATTCCTGCACTGTAATGTTTACCACTTGCAAGAATACAGAACCTCCTATCTTAAATCAGAAAGGCAATACAAGAACCAAATTCCTTTTCTATTTTAAAATTCCCCTTTCCACCAGCCAGCAAACAAAAGATCTTGAGCAGCGCCACACATACTTTCCGTTCCAAGAGAAGGCTGTCACTAGAATGTGGTGTTTAAAAATACTTCTAAGAATTTGGAAGATGGGCTGCCAATTGTTCTGTTACACTACTTTACAGCAATGCAAATAAGGTGTTTTATCTACCAGACTGGAAAAGCCAGAGGCAGCCAGATGGAGCACTGGCTACATCGCAGCCTTGTGAGAATAGGCTATAGAAATTGCCAGGCCTTTACTAAAGCAGCCCACTGACCCATATGATTCAGGGCAGAGGGACTTTGATTTAATACCTAGCAAATCCATACTGAAGTCACCTTGCAGAAAGGTCTCTTTTGTATTTTCTCATTGCAAAATGTGCTGACAGCAACTGAGCTCTTAGACTGTGCATTGAAGTTCTTCTCCAAGTAAGCAATGGGTGAGTAAAGTACATTAACTACCTAGGCAGCTAAATCAGACAAGTTTATTCATCACTTAGTAATGGAAGCAAGTGGCCAATTTTCATTTTCTACCTCTTTTTAAAAACACTGCACAGTGAAAAAAAGGCCATCAGAATTTTCTATCTAGAGAGAAGCAGTAAATACACATTCTCACTGTGTCTTGTCTTCATGCTGTCTAAAGTGCTAAGTTAGGCTTCTTTTAGAAAGCCCAAGTGTTCGAAAACAGAATCCACACCTGGTACCAATTCAAATGTGCAGTAATAGCACATGATACAGTCCTTCCTGGACTATACTATTCCAGAATACAGTAGGACAGCTGCATGATGAAATGCTCCAACATGTTAAAAAAAGAAAAGAAAAAAGGATTCCCTGCACATGGGAAATTAAGTCAGATCTTCCACCTTCCCAGAAAAGTGCTAAAGCAGCACACACTGTTGTGACCCTTACATTACTCAGGTACCACCTGAACTGCCCTTACCCGTCCATCTTTGATAGTTTGGTTGATGAAAACTGCCAAATACATGATGCACAGGCACCCACAAAGAGCTTATCACACAGAATGGCCGTCGTACAGTTTAGCTTTCCAGTGGCCTTCCTCACCTAGCAGTTGGAACACATGGATCAGGTTATTTGCTCCAAAGTCATGGACTCTCCAGGTGGTGCCTCAATATCTCCAGGCAACATGGTTCGATGTCTTAATTGATTCATTCTATCAGGCTTTATCGTTTGCTTAAAAGTCAGTCTGGGAGTCGGCATTCCCATTGGATGATTCACAAGTGACAACCTACAGATTATCTCTGTCCTGCAGCAAGAGCTCTCTCCTTATACGCGCCACACCATCTGGCCAGTAGGATTATCCACCGTGTGACTTCTGTTTCAGCATATCTGAAGACGTGTGCATGCACACGAAAGCTCATACTAATAACTAACTTAGTTGGTCTCTAAGGTGCTACTGGAAGGATTTTTTTTATTTTGTTAGCGCACAATAAGGCTGCAATGTAAGCAAAAGAGCATATTTCGCTTCAGGACAGCAGGCAATATAGCGATGAAAAGCTAGAGAGAAACAGGAGGTGAGACAAATAAAAACCCTTCACAAAACAAAACCAACTTCCACATGTGGAAGTTGTGGGGAGAGGCTGTATCTCGGTGGTGTGGCTTCTGTCCAGCATGCAGAAGGTCCCAGGTTCACTTCCCAGGAACAGGAAGTACGGCTGGGAATGTCCAACAGAAATCTGGAGAACTGATGCCTGTACATGTCAATTCTTCTGACTGCATTCAGTGGGGCTTACTCCAAAGAAAGTGGGGTTTGGATCACAGTTACCAGAGTTACCTTCCATTAATTGTCTCAACCTAACCTGCCCTCGAAAAAGGCTGCCGTGTGGGTAAAACTGAGATAACTATATAGGATTGAAAGTGGCAGGTTGATAGAAACCTATACAGTGGTACCTTGGGTTAAGTACTTAATTTGTTCCAGAGGTCCGTTCTTAACCTGAAACTGTTCTTAACCTGAAGCACCACTTTAGCTAATGGGGCCTCCTGCTGCTGCCGCACCGCCAGAGCACGATTTCTGTTCTCATCCTGAAGCAAAGTTCTTAACCTGAGGTACTATTTCTGGGTTAGCGGAGTCTGTAACCTGAAGTGTATGTAACCTGAAACGTATGTAACCCAAGGTACCGCTGTATTAGCTAAATAAAATGGAAGGTTCCTCTGCTCTTCTCTAGTAGTTAAAAAGGGTGGAGTGCTAATCCACGTTAATGATTATGAGAACACACCAGGTAAATCGGACCTGGAACAAAAGTCATAGCTTAATTAAGCACTTTAAGAACATTCCCATAATCATGCAATGAGACTGTGGAAAAGCTGCACCATTCTTTATAACGTATAACACACACCCTACGCAAACTAGAAGGTACAGTAGGATTAGGCAATCTGTGTTCAATTATTTTTAGAACTCGCCCTACAGCAAAGAATGATGACTCTAATTAATGTTATTAGCTGTGAGACTAGAACCAGATAGTTATGCTTGGTTAATTTTGCTAAAATTCAGCAATGCCATTTTATAGATTTTTCCTCAGGTGAGATAACCCATAGCATTTGGGATTTTTTATAATGCCTCATAATAAGCAGTGATGCTTCTCTTTTATTCATCTACAAGTTCTGCAACGCCTTGCGGAGGGTGGGAGGAGCAACCATGCAAGCAAGCCCACGACTTTGATGGATTACCAGCTGTGAAGTGAAAATAGCTTTGGAAATTTAAAGGTGGGGCAATCTGGCATAATAGTCTACTAACCACCACAAGCGATACAATTGATAGCATAAACTCAAGAACCATTTCATGGTGGGGAGGACTGTTTAAGGCATTACAAGCATTTCACTTAAGGTTTTCAGGATAAAATAATCCAGGGCAGGGCAGATCCACCGGGGGGGGGGGGGGGGCAGCAAAATACAAGAGCTGCAAGGTAACACCTGAAGAGCAATTTGGTACAAATAATAGGAGCATCTATTCAGATTTTGCAAACTGCTAAGTTCTTAATACTTGAGATATATACCTAAACAGGAGATTCCTCTCAACACAGCATGGGAGCACAGAACAATGAAGCCACATTTGGTTCTTGTTTTCTGCTCCAGTCCCCTCCCAGTTAGGGTTAGATATTAACTCTGCAAAGAATTGGGACATTTTTCTTCAAGTCAGGAGCCAAATAATCCTGACTGCATTTTCCTGATATATTTTTATTTATTGCATTTATTTCCCACCTTTCTCTCCAAGGGGTTCGTGGTGGTGTATATGGTTTTCCCCCTCCTCATTTAATCCCACAATCCTGTGAGGTAGGTAAGGCTAAGAGGGAATTACTGGCCCAAGGTGGCCCAGTGGGGATTTGCATTAGCAGACGACAAAGAAGAAGAAGAAGAAGAAGAAGAAGAAGAAGAAGCAGCAGCAGCAGCAGCAGCAGCAGCAGCAGCAGCGGAGGAGGAGGAGTTTGGATTTGATATCCCGCTTTATCACTACCCGCTAACATTCTCCTTTCCCTTCCTCCCCCACAACAAACACTCTGTGAGGTGAGTGGGGCTGAGAGACTTCAGAGAAGTGTGACTAGCCCAAGGTCACCCAGCAGCTGCATGTGGAGGAGCGGAGACGCGAACCCGGTTCCCCAGATTACGAGACTACCGCTCTTAACCACTACACCATACTGGCTCTCTTAGTCTTCATGTTTGTCTTTCACACTGTTCCTTTTCCATGTCATTCACTGCATTTATAACCTGCCCTTCAACGTAAGGTCCCATTGCAAAAACACAAATTCTAGAGGGGCAGTTGCTGTTTTAGTCTGCTACAACAAAGAAACAAAAATTCATTTTAGCACTTCAATGTACTACAGCACAATCCTAATCATGTGGTTCAGAAATAAGTCATACTGAATTAAATGAGGCTTCGCGCAGGTAAATGTCTGGATTACTAGACATGATAGAGGGGACAAATTTGAAGACATATCAGTGTTCAAAGTGAATCATGCTTAATGCTCCTTACTTCCTAAAAAGTATATTGGACAAAAGTGGAATGTGATAAGGAAGACAACTAAGGCTGAAAGGCTAACCTTACTAATCTGGGAGTAAGCCCCACTGAATTCAACTTGTTTCTGAGCAGACATGGTTAGGATTGCTCTGCAAAGCAGTATTATACACGTTTACCTGGAAGTCATTCATACTGAACTCAGTGGGGTTTACTTCTGAAGAGGCACGCATAGGATAAAACTGCTGCTGTCCGATTTCAGCTACCCAACAGAGGAAAATTCAAGATATAACAGCAATTTAAATTTTAGCTTAAAGGCATGGAAGGTTGAGTCCTGGATTCCAAAGTCTGGTGGTCTCATTTACAATCAGAAACAAAGGAAACAGAAATTATATATAGGACTGAGCATTATTAAGCACAACACGCCAGTGCTGACTCTGGTTCTTACCCCTGAGAGGCCAAAGCATGCTTTACTTGGACTTAATACATTTGTGGAGATCATCAGCATTGAACCCATGTATCCCAAAGTCCTATGGCACTTTAAATGAGAATATGAAATACGTACCAAAATGTATCAGGATAGCATTTTCTAAGGATAGTGCCATAAGGAAATCATAGCCTGTGTTCCTCATTACAGCATTTCCAACTTCTCCGGTGTACTTGTTGATCAGGAAACTGATTTCCCTTGTTTGCTTCTCGCGAAAACTGTTTGTGGAGCAGAGGCCAAAATACAGTTGGCTCCATTGCCAAGTAGTAGTGGTTGAGCCACTAAGTAATAGGGACCATAAATGTAAAGTTCTTGCCAAAAGAATCTCACCAAGGTGTTTAACAACAGGAAGCATTCAGGTATTTCAAGATCTATTGCTTTGCACAACAGACGCCTGAAGACCGCTGGGAGCGGGGGAACATCAGTGCATGATACACTGCAATTGAAGTGGACAAGTCCTGGAAGAATCTATAGTAGGTAACAATTCTGCATCGTCAAGAGTGGCAAAAAAGCTGACCCAGGAGGTCTTTAGCATCTCCAGCTCCTACATACTTATATTGATTATGTTACATAATTTATAGCACATTTAAAACCTCAATTGAGATTTCAAGGTAGTTAAACTATATAAGGAGAAGAGCGATCCACCATCTCTGCCTTCAGTTTGTTTACAATGAACAAAACCTCAAATGAACCCTTCCCATACCTAGCTACATCACAGCTTCTTCTTCTGTAGCAATTTAAAACAATATGTCAACTACCCTAGGAGACATTTCAGCACATAATAAATAGAGACAAGAAAAAATACTTATGTCAAAGCAAAGTCAACCTTCCCCAGGCAAAGCATCAAAGTATTTAGATAACTAAAGAAAACGCAAGCCTGTGATTTCATCAGGTCCCATTTACAAAAAATCCAAAGATACTGTAGTTAACAGGACTATTAAACTCCAGTTCTTAATCCAAGTCAATAGGCTTGCTTCAGGTTTGGTTACACAAGCAATAAATTCCAGTAGCTTGTGGGCAAACCCCTGTTCTTCCACATTTTCACCTGCTGTGGGTTTGCTTTCGGTTATGGGAAACTGCAAAATCTACTGCACAAAGTGATGAAGGTGTTGTCAAGGTGTCAGAACACCACTCACTCAAACTTTCATCATGTAAACAGACCTGTAGCAAGAGAACAAGGAAGGAGTGGATCCGAGGGTGCAAAATCAGTCCACGATCGTGCAGAAGTTCTGTTTTATTCCAGAAGCAACTATAGCTGTGTTGAGAGACATGATGCATCTGGCACAAGATGCCAGACAGTATTTTACAAGAGCAAAGGCTCTAATCAGTTATCTCCTGAAGTCCAGTCCTGTTCTTAGGATGCTGAAATTAATGGACCACCACCTACAGTGTGTGAGGCTATGAACAATTACAGCCACTTCCAGAAAGAGCCTCTCTCAGGTTTCAGAAGGTTAATTCAGCACACCTGATGTCTACACACTGCAGAAGGCCCATGGCACTCCTGTTCTGATACTTCCTAGTCAAAATGGCAGACCAGCAACCAGTAAGATCAGTCCAAGTGGCACAGTCCAGAAAAAAATGCTCAAGGACACCATGGTAGCTGGTACCTCTTCTCAATCCACCCATCCCTATTTTAGTATTACAGTGCTAAGCCAGGAATAGTGGAAAACATCTTGGTGAGATGAGCAGTATCTCAGGATCTTCAGGACTAAGCTATGTATTACCAATTAATGTTATTGACAGTCATGTATCTACTTCCAGGCATGACACTGTACACAAGTGTGTAGCAGGTGTGTGGTGACAGATGATGTGGTCTACTAGTCAAAGACCTGCAGTCGAACCAATGAGATCAAGTCTCAAATCTCCACTCAGCCATGAAACCCACAGGGTGACTATGGACCAGTTTTTCAGCCTGAGCTACCTTGCAGGGTTATACAGAAGGTGATGTGGAAAAAGAGAGAAGTATACACACTGCCTTGAGCTTCTTGGAAAGAAATGTGGAAGAACAATGTAATATAGTTAATTCTGGAGTCAGCTATATGCTCCTTGCCACATATAACTAATTCAAATCCAAGGATATATTTTAATCCAAAACTAATGAAGGACCCTTAAATTACTAGTGTTAACTTGCAAGCCGAATCTGCTTTAGCTGAAGAGGACTTGCTTGTTGTTGGCAGTCGTCTGTCTCAGGAGACAATGGAGTGCACCTCTGGTGGTGAGGTCAAACTGCTGGAGAATCACAGCATCTGCTGTGGCTGCAGAGGCCAATAACTCGTTACTGCTGCCAAATGAACTGAAATTGTAAGATCTCTGCAGCCACTACAGAATTACACATGCAAAGACAACAGTTATTAAAAGAGTTTGAAAGCTACCAGTACCCATACAATTGTTCCCTACAGTAAAATCCAGATGTTTGATTCAACCAGGTCTTCAGGTACTCCAACACCTACCTTTACAGTATTTCTACATTATAACTATGAATTAATTTTACAAATCCTGGTCATCACTTTATCACACTCCTAAGAAACATAATCTTGTGATAACCCTGAAAATCCTCTTGTCAGAGATCCAACCCACCCAAAAGAATAGTTCAAGGTTAAATATGGGTGTGTAAACATGACCTAGGAGAGCATTTGCAGAGTGCTTTCTTAAGAAATTATCCTGGTTCCAATCACATTTCTTGCTGCTCTGTCATATCAAATTGTATCCTCATAGCAATCAATCCCTCTTGGATTATTGCAGCCTGCAAAGATTTTCGCAACATGAGACGTCTGCATTTTCTTTGTAGGATTAAAACTGAAACAACACTAGGTTTGGATTAGGCCTGGGGTGACATTCTGCATCCTGATTTTATATATGGAAATTCTTTGTAAGAAGTTAAAAATAGGAGGACAAAGGGCAGAGATTTTTTTTTTTTTGCCATGGTTACCAGTAATTTGATCATACATCATACCAAATTGTTTAATGAATTATAGTAATGTACATTCTGCGTCACTTTGCCTTCTGAAGTACTGCCATCCTATGCTGCAATCCTGCGCTGCATTTCAGCAACATCGTAGCATGCATAAAGAGAACCTGAGAAGATTAATGTTTGTGATTATCTTTTGTGTGATCACTGGGCGAAAGCTAAAGGCAGAGACAGAGAGAAACACTGAAGCGAAGGAGCTGCCTGCTACGCAGAAAGGGAAATGGTTCCTGCAATTATGATTCATGCTGCGGAGCCGAACATGTTAAGAGATAATGGAGAAGCAGAGGAAAGGCTGACACATTTCTGGTGAGAAGAGCTGCTACCTACAGATCCTTTGCAGAGAAATACAAGCTCAGGAAGCAGCCGTCTCAGGCTTGGCATCAAAACAAGTGCTGTGGGGTGCCTTTGCAGCTTTTACAGGAAAGAAGCTGCTGCACAAATATGAAAATCACATGTAAAAGAGAAGGTGCTGAAGGAATTTCAGGGCTCCCAAAGAGCCACAGTCATTCAGAACATATGCAGCTGTGGGGTCTAAGGGCTGGGTAGGAAAGATGATCCTCAGACCGTGATTTGGTGGTGGTGTTTTTTTTGGAAAATCCAGGTGAGTGAAAGCCAGCAGGGGCTATGAAGAATATACCAGTTTTTACCCAGAACCAACCGCTCCAGGTAAACTGTGCAAACTCTGTTAAGGAAAACTGGTGTTCTTTACAGCCATTGGACGAGCACCTAAGAAAATGGATACTCTCAGGTGACTGCGGGCTAGTCAGGCATTTGGGAGAAATGGTGCTTCAGGGGGGCATTCATTGCCTTGCGGGGGGTGGGGTGCAAGGTCGAAACACCAGAAGCCTGCGAGATCTCCGGGCTCCAAGGCAGCCAGTTAGCCTTCATTTCAAGGCACGTCCCCCAGCCAGCCGGCCACCTTCGCACGGATGCCCCTGGGCTTCAGAAGCCTCCCCAGAACAGACGACGCCGCTGGTGCAGCATCCCTTTCCAAACAGGCAGCGGGATTATAATAATAATAATAACAGGATCCAGCTCGTTTAACTGCTGCCTTGCAAAGGGAGATGCAAGGCTGCATCGAGCAAGGCACTGGGGCGAGGAGGGCAGAGAAAAGGCAGATCCGGAGCGGGGCGCGGCTGCACGGGTGGAGGGGCAGCTGGCGTCCGGCGGGCCGCTCGGGGCAGCCTTCGGAGTCCGGGCGGGCGCCAAGGAGCTGCCCAGGCGCAGAGGCAAAAGGGGGGGGGTGAGCGGCTCCCCGCTGTCCTTACCGTGGATGCCGGTCTGGTGAGTCATGGCTCCGGATCAGGTCCGCTGCAACAGATCCCACCCTGGCCGCTTGTCTCCCGGGCAGGAAACGGCTCCGACTCCAGCACCGCCCGCTTCCGGGTTGCTGCCGACTGGAGCAGGAGGGGCTTGAGCGGGGTCCGCCCGGAGGGAGGGCCGCTCTTCGGCGGAGGGAGCGCGGAGGGGGCAGCGGGCGGGGCGTCGAGGAAAGAGGGGCGGGGGCGTCCCTTGTAGGCTGGCGGGGAGCGGGAGGGGGTCAAGGCGTGTCAGAGTGTCAGCCCCTCCGGGAAAACGGAATACTGTACTGTATATATATATATAAAGAGAGAGAGTATGCAGTGGAAATTACCTAGCACAAACGATGCATTGTCTCATCTATTGCATTTATTAGAGCCCACCTTCCCAGTAGCTTCCAGTACACGCTTCTCCCCCTCCACATCCCCTGCCTCATTTAGTCCCATAACAACCCAGTGAGGTGGGTTAGGCTGAGAGATTGTGACTGGACCAAGGTCACCCAGCGAACTTCATGGCTGAGTGGGGATTTGAACCCAGGTCTCCCAAGTCCTAGTCCAAACCGCTACCCCACATTAGTATTATTACTAATGCTAATAATCTGGCAGAGCTAGAAACAGCACCACTAAGGGGAAAAAAACTTACGCCAGTCCTAAGGCTGAGGAGAACCAGAGAACTAAAGAACTCCCAGTGTATAAAAAAGCTCAAGAGATTCCTCACTTAGCCGACACACATGATGCACAGTTTCTTTAAAGCCACAAAGACCATCTATGGGCCAATAAATCATGACATATGCCCCCTACGCTCAACAGACGGTAAGGTAAAGGGACCCCTGACCATTAGGTCCAGTCGTGATCGACTCTGGGGTTGCGGCGCTCATCTCGCTTTACTGGCTGAGGGAGCCGGCGTACAGCTTCCGGGTCATGTGGCCAGCATGACTAAGCCGCTTCTGGCGAACCAGAGCAGCGCACGGAAACGCCATTTACGTTTCCGCTGGAGTAGTACCTATTTATCTACTTGCACTTTGACGCTGGCAGGAGCAGGGACCGAGCAAAGGGAGCTCACCCTGTTGCAGGGATTTGAACCGCCGACCTTCTGATCGGCAAGTCCTAGGCTCTGTGATTTAACCCACAGCACCACCCACGTCCCACCCAACAGACGGTACCACACTTCAAAAAGATAAAGAAGCTATTGCATTGCATTGGAAATAACATTATCAGCATCTCCTTAACTGCAACTCCCCCGTAGCTGCAGAGGTCCTCACACAAATCCTGCAAAAACAAATTAGAGATGAGCTTGCAGTATCTCCAAATCTGGGGAAACTATCCCAAATATCTTTGCTTACAAAAAGCTTGGCCTATCGCTCAACATCCAAAAAACCAAAGTACTGTACCAAAAAGCACAAAACAAACCCCTCTGCAGCGCCACAAATCCAACTCATTAGTGTAACATTGGAAAGTATTGATCACTTCTCCTACCTGTGCAGTTATCTTTCCACAAGGGCCAGAACTGATGCCGAAATCCAGCATTGCCTGAGCTCTGCGAGTGCATTTTTCTCCAACTGAAGTGCAGAGTGTACGAGGACTGGGACATTCGCAGGGAAACCAAAATGCTTGTTTACAAAGCTATTGTACTACCAACCTTACTGTATGCTTGCAAAACATGGACCACTTATAAACGCCATCTCCAACTCCTTGAAAGGTTCCATCAACGGTGCCTCTGAAAAAATGTACATATCACTTGGGAAGACAGGCGAACTAATGCCAGTATACTGGAAGAAGCAAAGATCACCAGTGTCGAAGCAATGATTCTTCAACATCAACTTCGTTGGACTGATCATGTTGTTTGGATACCTGATTATCATCTTCCAAAGCAACTACTCTATTCCAAACTTAAAAAATTGAAAGCTTAATGCTGGTGGTCAACAAAAGAGGTTTAGAGTTTGGATTTGATATTCCGCTTTATCACTACCCTAAGGAGTCTCAAAGCAGCTAACAATCTCCTTTCCCTTCCTCCCCCACAACAAACACTCTGTGAGGTGAGTGAGGCTGAGAGACTTCAAGAAGTGTGGCTAGCCCAAGGTTACCCAGCAGCTGCATGTGGAGGAGCTGGACAGGAACCCAGTTCTCCAGATTACGAGTCCACTGCTCTTAACCACTACACCACACTGGCTCAAGGCAAGTCTTCAAAAATGTAGCATAAACACCAACAACTGGGAAACAATGGGAGCCTGCAAGTGCTCCCACTGGAGAACAGCCTTTACCAAAGGTGTCATGGACTTTGAAGAAGCACAAACTCTGAGCGAAAAGGAGAAATGCGCTAAGAGGAAGGCATGTTTGGCAAACCCCCACCATGATCAACTCCCACCCGGAAACCTATGTCCCCACTGTGGAAGGACGTGTGGATCCAGAATTGGCCTCCTCAGTCCCTTACGGACTCACCATTAAGACCATGTTCATCTTACTCGGCTAAAGGTGATCACCAAAGGATAAGAATTGGTATTAGTAATAATAACTTCATCATCGTAAAAAACATGGATATAATCCGCAATGCATGCCAGGTGTTGGAGCAGCATCCTGGATTAAAGTCTTTTTCCTTTCCTTGCATTATCCTTCAGCAATGCTCCATGAGGAATGGGGTGGGGTGGGGTGACTAAGAGGCTTGTTTTGGTTATTTCCTACTTTTATTACTCCTTGTAAACACAATTTTTAAAAAATCATTATTACTACATTTGCTAGTTGCCAAATACAAGGCAGTTTCTAGTTGACTTACAGTTGTTAAACAACAGCTATAAAGGGTCAGATAATCAAATCAGTACATTAAACACCATATTACACAGAGGTGGGGAAAATGTACTGTCACACTAATAAAAAGTCTGAATCCTATTTCGTCAAGTGCCCGACTGAGAGGAAAGCTTCAATCTGGCTACCGATATAGATGAGGGCACCCGGTAGGCCTCACTCACCACACAGAGAGCAAACCCAACACACCTGGCCACACAAAACAGCAGGCATCATGCAGGGGCACGTGTTGCCATTCTCATGCAATGCATGCTGGCACGGCCACTCCTGTATTACAGCAATAGCAGGCAGCTGCTGGGCAGATCAATGAGCAAGTGGTGGCAAGGGCTCAAAATACAGGGCAGTTTGTGTGTACCTGCACCCTGTAACCAAGCCTGCTCTCTTCAGGTACAGTGGATGGCACTCCCCATGGCCTGTGCTGAAGTATGATCCATCTGCAAGGCTGATTGGCTTCTGTATGTGGGGGAATGGCAGGGGGCTTCTCATTGTACTCTGGCAGGAAATGACATGCTCTCTCTCCATCTTCTTTTCTGTTTGTTTAAAAGGAGATAGTTCATGAAGCATTGGATTGGATATGACCCAGATTGAGTACAAGCCAACTGAAGACCACTGCCCTACAGAAGAATATGCTGCAGTTTCATCTGCAATGCACAGGGATTGCATAGCAGACGCATTGGGGTTCCTCCACAGGTACATGTGAAAAGTCTTCTCTAGGGGTAGGGAGATGTATTGGAATAGAAGCGGGAGAGCTTTGTTATCTGGAAAGTTAGACTGATGCTCACAATTGCCCCTTTAATGCCACAGCTTTGCACCTCACAACAGGCTTTGCCTGTATCTATTGGCTGTGAGTCCTGGAAGACCTGCTCCCTGCCTTGTCAGCTTTTTCCCATCTGGCTTGGGAGGGTGAGGCCTGATTGATGGATTCCAACTACAAAAGCTAAGGCTGCCCTTTGGACTCTTGGGTTGGAGTATTGTTTGGGGGGGTGTTAATTTGTTGTTATTGAGACAGGTAGATCCAATTTTGCATGTGTCCAATTGGCATGCGACCACTGATGTGCAGGTCCTTTTGAACCCGGAAAAGGGCAGGGTATAATGGGGTATAACGGGGCAAGGCAGGGTTATGTGTTCTCCACCGACGCACACGGGGCAAGGTACAGAACCCCACACAAAATATTCACTACCTGTAATAATTACTGTATCTTTTTTTCTAGCTCTTATTGTGCTTTATGTGGGAATTTTGTCTTGTGCTTTTTGATGTGTTTTGATTGTTGTTTATGACTACTTTTGTACTTACATAAATCTTTTCATGTTGTAAGCCACTTTGAGCATGGTTTTATTTCTTCCTCCACCTTTTAGGGCAAGGTCTCAGAGGGTGCTTTACTACTTTAGCATGTGCAATTTCAGATGTCGCGTTAGTATCTTTGTCAAATATATTTTCATAAACTTGCTTTTAAAGGCTGCCTTTACTTCAGGCTGTGAATTTACATCCTCTCTTCCAGTGGGTGTATCTCTAGGATTCTCTTATTGCTGTTGTTGGAAACAACAATTCTTTTCTGATACTGATAACTACTCTCTCGAGCACCAGTGGAACATATTGCCCCTAGTACCACATTCATACTAGCTGAACAACATCACTGAAAGGGGTGGCAAAGCATACTAGGAAGCTGTGCTTATTGTAAGCAAAGCACCTATTATACTAATTAGATACAGACTATCGAATCCCCGCGACAGGGTGAGCTCCCATTGCTCGGTCCCTGCTCCTGCCAATTTAGCAGTTTGAAAGCACGTCAAAGTGCAAGTAGATAAATAGGTACCGCTCCGGCGGGAAGGTAAACGGCGTTTCCGTGCGCTGCTCTGGTTCACCAGAAGCAGCTTAGTCATGCTGGCCACATGCATGCCAGCTCCCTCAGCCAATAAAGCGAGATGAGCGCAGCAACCCCAGAGTCGATCACGACTGGACCTAATGGTCAGGGGTCCCTTTACCTTTATATAAGAATAAATATATGATAATAAATAAATATTGATATATTTTATTTAATTAAAAAAGAGTGCACTGATTATTCTGTGCCATTGCTAGGCAAACCGAACAGGACATTAAATCCAATCATTAGTAGTTGAAAGGTTTCCCTTGGATTTCATGATATCTTTTGCTGGACACTGAACAACTCGAGACCAGAGTCTGCTTTGGGGTCTTGCTGCCATCTGGTGGAGTGAGAGCCCTTTGCATCTCCTGTAATTTCAACAACCAGATGCCTATAGGAAGTGTGCAGTCTTAACCTGAGCCTTGAACCGAGTCTCAATTGAATGGAATGGATTGGGGAAAATAAAGCAGCCTTCTTTGAGATGCTGGGTAGCTGAACTGCTGTTTGCTCTTTTATAGAATAAAATCA